GTCACCAGCATACTAAAGCCAGGATGAAATAATTTTATAGTACCAACTCTAACTAACGAGGTCACATGATCATGGGTTAATCTGGATCTTTGCAAATGTTTAATTAATTCCAGTAATGCAAAAAAGTTACTTTTATCATTTCATGTATAGATCAGTAAAAAAACAAATGACAGATTTTTTCGACAAGACATTTCGCGCCACATTGCATGGCATAGGATTGCTTGAATTATTATTGATATTTAGTAACAAAAAAGTTGTATAATTATATTAATATACAAACACATGGAAATTTTCTGTTCGAAGTTGGTCTTCGAATTTGTCATATTGACTGCTGAGCTTATTGTGTTTTTCATTGTACTGATGGAAATATGACAAATTAAACAATGTGCTTCAGAGAATTTTGTGAAATGCAGAAATATTGCAACTCCCATTTTCTTCGAAAATGCCACCTTCTTCATGTACTTTGCGTTCAATTTAATAACTCAAGTGTTTTATTCAAGTATTCTTTTGCTAGCTTGATGTGTATTCTTAAATGGGTCAAAATGTGAACAAAAAAAATTAATTTTTTAAAACTACTTTTAGTAAATTGTTTTCTGTGTGAATATTCAATTTCACTTTAAAAAGTTTGAAAAATCTGTTACATTTAGATAAAAAAAACTTCCAAAATACTTTTACAATTATTGTTAAGCTTTCGAGGCCGCACTGGAAGTTCTCTGGGGCCGCGAGTTTGGTCTAGATTGGAGTTGTCCAAAATATATACCAGTATTTTATCATGAATCATGATTATACCCTTTCCTGAATTTTTTCTATAGTACTACCAAAAATTGATGAACCAAATATAACATAGGTGTAGTGACCCGTAATCCTCATTTTTCAAAGCTGTTTTAAGTATGCCTGGCATGTTTTGTGCTTTTTCACAAAGAAGACCGCTTATGCAATCTTACGCATTGGAATTTTTAGTTATTTTCCTCAAGCCTTGCAGGATGTAGGGGCCATACACAACTCTACCGGAGGGTCAAATGCTTTTGCATGCCTTCATAGGTTGTTCTTCTATTGCAAACATTTATGGAGTATTCTAATTATATTTCTTGGAATCACACTGTCACTGATATGTCGCCAGACTTCTGATATCTCCCCTTCTGCTACAGTTGTCCTGTGAATAAATAATAGGAAATTGAGAGTAGACGAATAGTTGAAAGTTTTGCTATATGTCGGCTTAATTTTTTGATTGATATACTTACTATTTTCGCTATTGCCTCTTGTGCTGCAGGAGTCTCACAATGCTTAGACAGGTTTGTCCACAACTTTCACATCTGAAGAAAGAGAGGAGATTTATTAATTTTCGTTAAGAATAAATAAAGCAGTCAATATGACTTAGAATGGAAAAGCTAATAAATCCAATATCTCATGTTTAATGTAAAAAATGTTTTACTGAATTTGGTATATAAATCAACTAATAAAAGGGTTTAGTCAGAAAATTACAAGCATTCGTGGCTCCAAATACTTGAGAGATCATACTATACAATATAGACCGGTATGAGTAAAATGTTGGGTGAACTTGTTAACCCTTTGATTCAATACGCAAATAAAAGTGAATGAGCAATAGTATGCTACAGCAATGAGTATATATTTCTACACTGATTAGAAAAATCTAAATGGAGGTGCATGAACTATTTGAAACCATAAAGGGTAAGTAAATACGCAATTTCGGCAAATGGGCAACTACGTACCGTATTGATTTGATAACTTCGTTGTATTTGACAAAAGCTGGCTTTCCCACATGTACTTAACAGTGCTATGTCCGGGTGTGATATACAACAATAGTATTTACCTTACCTTTTTCCGATTTCTTTTTACCTTCAATTTTCCAAAATATCATTAAAATCGACAACAACTGTCAAAGCAGGCACGAACACCATTTGTGCTACGCCTTGAAAGCAGCACACATCCGCTCGTTTTCGTCTCGTCAAGTATGTGCATTGGAGCGTGCTATCGAATACGATCTTCGGACAAAAATGCCGGAGTTGCGCATCATGTTGTTAAATGTCATTGGTCAAACCAATGTCTAACAATGACTTCACGATGGATAGAAAACTGATTGTATCTCAACACACGTTGCACGCTTGAATGAGTGGCCTACTGTAAAATGTATGCTCCAGCGCTTGAACAATGCTTTTCTCATGGCGTTATGCCGTGTGGAATTGAAGTCCAAAATTTAGTATTATACCGATAAATTTTATGTTAAATACGTTCAAACGGTCGTATTTATATACATTGTTAAAATAGAATTTATATGATGTATTAGGACAAATTTATAATTGATCACAAATTAGAACATATGCGTGGCATTGTATATTAAATCCAAGTTATAGTCGCCGTTTTAATCGGTGTGAGCCGTAACGCTAGGCCGTGAACACCTTCACGTCGTTATTTATTCTCGCTTAATTTCCCGCTGCCAACTTTTTTGTTCTGCATTATCAAATACATAAAATAAACGGAAAACACCATTAGTTTTTTTTCAGGTCCGTGACAGATTAAAAACGCGTTCTCTGACGTTGTAAATCGCAAAATAGGCACACATTATGATAAATTGCCTTGGGGAACTACACTTACCGTGTTGCCCCAAAAATAAGACAGTGTCTTATTCCATTTTTTCTAAATAACACTAGGGCCTTTTTTTGGGGGATGTCTGTTATTTTCGTTTATCAAAATTAAAATTACAAAGTAGAGAATAACGAGATTTCCATATATCCAAAATATGAAAATCGTATAACCATAATATCGTAAATATATACTACTACGATAATATATATCCATTTACATATAAATAACATGTTTTTATTTAAAATAACTGCTAAACATAGATTATAATCATTTCAATCAATCAATCAATCAAATTGTGTTTTATTAGCCATCCAGGCAAACGGGAACAACAAAGTTAAATCAAAATTGAAAATATATACATATTCATGCTTTTGCCCAGAATGGACAGGATAACCGCGAAATGACCATTCGGTCTACCTGTCAGCGGCTACCTTGCAATAGCTGTATTAATTAAAATTTATGAATTAAAGTCACCACAAGACAAGTAAACGCTTTTATGTGAGAACAACATAGCCTCGAAAATTTTTGCGCTACCGACCAGGTCTCATTTTAAAGGGAGGGCTTATATTAAAATCATTTTTAAAATTCAGACTAGATCTTATTTTCGGGGAAACACGGAATAGCACTATATATAATATATATACTATGCCCGCGCAATGAGCATATATATATGCTCATTGGCCCGCGGTAATCGGTTGAATCTTGTTAGGATTTTCATCCCCGATACCCCTGAAGGCGCTATGGAGCTTCTATCCTTCGGGTCACGAGGTGACTATTTCGCCTCCTTCCAGTACAGTTTATAAATATCTTGTGGCGTCTGTCTTTCTAGATGTGTCTATTTTTTCTGCTTTTCTTTTATGCCAGCATTAAATTGAGTTACCGGTAGTTATTTATTTAGTCTGTTAGTAGTGTTGGTACTGGTACCGACAGCAGCCATATTTAGGGAGTAGATCACGTGAATGACTTTGTCTTATTCTGTTACCGTATTATGTAATTCACAAATTTCGCTCTATAGGCAGTTACAAACTTAACGAAAACAGAGAAAAACCGTAGGGAAACATTTTTAGCGTCTCATGTAGTTTCGTACTTAACATACTTCTAGTGGGCGTAGCATGACAATTTTTTCACGTATCAATCCTAACCCCCACCTGACTACATCATCCAAAAATTACGTCAACACAGTCACAGTGACGTAATAGAGCCCTTCAGGCTTCAAACTATATGAACTGCCATCCAAGACCTGCAAACGAGCACCTGAAATTGAACAGTTACTTTTCTCGTTTTCTCTAACCTAACATATCTACTTCTAGTGGGCGTAGCATGACAATTTTTTCACGTATCGATCCTAACCCCCACCTGACTACACCATCCAAAAATTACGTCAACACGACGTCACAGTGACTAGAGCCCTTCAAACTATACGAACTGCCATCCAAGACGCGCAAACGAGCACCCGAAATCGAACAGTTACTTCTCTCGTTCTAATAGGAGAGAGATCGATAATGTCAGTCAGTTCTTTATCGTCGTCGCCAATGCCATTTCGGGCGATTGTACGTATATTTGAACAAGCTCTATGACGTGATTGTGATGTCGTAGTGACCTAATTTTTGGATGGCGTAGTCAGATGGGGTTAGGATTGACATACGCCCACTAGAAGTACGTTAGGTACGAAACTACACGAGACCCCATTTTTCTTTCATTATTTAGCGTCTGTGAAATTTTAAACAATTTGACGGGAAACGGTACCGTATGGCGTATACAGTGGTAGGGAATGATCACAAGTTTATATCAGTAATCTTCAACATCTTCAAATAACCCAACATTGTGGTCAGGTTGTGCTAAAAATTTCTAAAATTTGCCAAAAACTCTCGAATGCTACGGTAAAAATTTTTATCCTTCAGTAGATCAGTTTATTTTTTCCCAAGGAATTCAATGAGGACGTTAATAGATTGCGCTTTTTTGTAGTATTTTGCGCAACCTCATTATACTGTATTATTACCGATATTGAGGGACAACAATGTCCAGACGTCTCCCAAAGGAGGGGTGTCTGATCTGATCATCTGTAAAATGGGTTTTTCTGAAACGGAACAATGTCACCCGATTTGTATAGTGTGCCGTACTGTATAACCAATCATTGCATGTAAATAAGATCAAGATACTTGGTTAGTAATCTGAGATTTACCCACTTCCTGACTTCAGTACTAACCTGCAAAAATGATGATCAATTGCTAATGCAGTAATGTCGGAATGTTAAAGTGTTTTTCATTTCGCTCTAAATTTATGATAGGGCTGGCTTATAAACTCATTCTCGCTTTACTGTTTCGCTCTATTTTCCATTCCTATTCTGTGTGTTTTCCTTAGTTTCATAAAAATGCAGTGACACTGATTAAGTAATTCTATTCTCTAAAAGTTTTCAGATCATTTAGTTCAAGATACAGTACCGGTATGTCACCACCCCGTCACATGACAAATGAGGATCCATTCCCAGAAAAGACGAAAGGGAAATTGCGGTTTTACAACATGCGATACTGCCCTTATGCTCTTCGGGCACGACTAATGCTTACACTAAAAGAAGTTAATTTTGAAACCATTAATATTCATCTAGGAAAGAAACCTGAATGGTTTTTAGAGAAATTTTCCGCTGGAACTGTTCCGGTGATTGAAATAGATGAGAAAATTTTGGGAGAGTCTTTAGTAATAGCCGAGTATATTGATGAGGTGTACTCAAAGCCAGGAGAGCAAATAGTACCAAAGGATCCATATGAGCGAGCAAGAGCTAGGATGCTCATTTCAAATCTCTTCCCCAAGGTGATTAGTGCAGTCTACCAGCGACTCAAAAAAGAAGAAAACTGGAAGGTAGATTTCTATAAATATTTTGATAAAATTGAAAAAATCCTCGCTGAAAAGAATTTTTTTGCTGGGGACGTACTCGGATATGCTGATTATATGATATGGCCATGGATGCGGTATTTTGGTCCTCATTGCGTTGACGATGCATTAACAGAGGGAAGGTTCCCCAGTCTAGAGCGTTGGTTGGCAGCCATGAAGAAGGATCCTGTTGTAGTAAAATGTGCCATTCCTCCTAATATTCTTGCCAAGTTCGCAGAAGCTTATGCTACAAGGGAATTTGTCTTTGATTTGGAGTAGATTGTTTGCTTTAAAGATGCCAGAATAAGGAAGTATTCTGCTGAACTATGATTCTATTTTACTATAATTACTGATTTATCCACACTGAATTTGAAGCCACAATGTTGTCAATATATATTATACAACTTCGATTTTTTTCAATAAAATTACACATATAGTATGTAACCACTATCAATTTGAGCAATGTTCATCAGATTCATTATGTGCAATGGCATTCTCTCCTTTATCATTTCAGTGCAATTTAATCAAAGGTTTGATTATATCAAAATTATCCATACTTAGTTTCTGAAATTATATTTTATGTTTTTTTCAATATCTCTATCAATACCATAAAATTTTTTCAATCTACCGCTATATTCCTCAGGACCAATCTGTAACTCAGGACCGATTGGAGGGTTAATCAAGCTTCAATTTCACATTACATTGTAAATTAAATTCTCCTCTATGGATTGCTATTTTTAATTTCAATCATTGTTTAATTAACATTGTGTTTATATTTTTTTTTTTTTGGTATTCAATTCAACGTCCAATGAAATTAATATTAATGGTACTGAATATTATGCCTCGCTTTAAAAAATACCTTCAATTATGCAGAAATTTCAAGTCAATGGACTGATTCAATCATATTATTTATTAGCTTTCTTTATAATGTTTGCTCCAGTATCAATATAAGTGTACCTAGTTGAAGTGCTATTTTTCAGTTATGAAATTATTGGTAGGCAATATGCATACTCTATTTCTAACATCTTTCTTTTTGTTCTTGTATTCAGCAGTGTTATTAACAAATTTTAAAACTATCAAAGTTGTATTTGTTTCATTGCTGAGGGCTGAGATTCACATTATTTTGTTTACTGATCGTTTACTTCATTTGCTAAAATGGCAGGCATTGAGGTAGGTATTGGGGCTGAAGTTTATTTCTTCTTTTGTATGAAGATATTACTTACTAGAGACGACCTCCTACCTTTAATAACACTTAGTTTTTTTACCGATGACTGAATGTTTTGAAAAACTCAATATCCCACTTATTGTACACAAACTGTACATAGGTATGGATTGTTTGCTAAATTCTCGTTGTTGTGGGAAAAAAATTGCTTTTCTATATAACTGATGGACCAATTGATGTCAAATTTTCAGTTTTTGGTACATATGGAACTGAATTTCAGTACAGATGGAAGAAGTTGCTACAGGGCTATTTCGTTTATTTATTATTTCAAATTTTCCTTTTGTCTTATCAGCCTCGATATTTCACCAAAAATGATGATGTTCTATTTAAAGTCCAACACTAGTTTATCTATATTGCTTTGAGTGTCTCTGCGTTGCTTGTGCACCGATATTTTCGACATCTTGGTACTCTCAGTCGATATTGATGTGGATTTTTTTATGCAAAAGGTTTGAGCATTGCTCTTTTGATTGGGCAGAGCAGAGTCCTATATTTTGATTCCCCGCATGAATCAAGCAAATGGAATAGGCATGCTGTGTACACAATCATTTCCTGTAATTCAATAAATGGCGCCGAACGGTTTGAATAAATCAATATTTTTCAGTTAGATTGAAATATAAGTCTTTCAGGAAGCTGTGTCATCATCATTTATTTTTTGAGTTTCCTCTCTTCGGAAATTTGCTTCCTTTTGCTGAAATATTTGAATTGATATTACAACATGGTTTTATCTGCCCTGTGAGGAAATTTTTTTTTTGACGTTGTAGAACTCCGTAATCCAAAACTGATATACCATATCACTGGTATTCTGGTTTTTATTTTCTTTGCTCAAAGTCAATATTTAGTAAATTTTATGTACATTAATATGATCTTTTATACATTCTCTCCCAACAAGGCCCTGTATAAGCAGCCACTGCTGTCTACTGGAATGTAAGGATTTGACACTTACATTTCACTTTTCATAATGAAAATAAAGTTATCAATATTATATCCCGTCTACTAATCTTACAGAATCAAGCATTCAGTGACCAAAGTGTTCCAGAAACTTCTGAAGACAAACCTGCCATATTAGATGTTACAAAGGAAGGTCATTTTAAAATTAACAAAGCTGGAAAAGTGAAGGTGGCATACCATTGAATTAAAAAAAATTATATTTCTTCCTTAATTCGAATCATATGGCATATGTTACTTTATAAATAGCTCATTGTAGAAATATTTCTGGAATTATTCCCAGTTTGTTTGACAATGCTAATAGTTTGATGAGAGATTCAGTCTATATCAGATATCAGATAAACTCTTCATTTTAAACCAACCAATTTATTTTTGTCTGGGGATTAAAAGGATTTTTTTCGTTTTGTTTGTATAATAAAATCACTCTCTCTTCAAACCGGGCCTTGGCCCTCTCCAGAAGCCATGAAATGGTCACGGAGGAAAGGCCTTCACTAGATACCATTTTTAATATTGAACGTGACACATAAAATAAGTGATGGAATCGTAGTAAAAGCAAAACTAAATATTTTTAAGGAACAGCAAACCTTGCGAGTTCTTGGAAGAGGTTTATAAAAATTTAAGAACTGTGTTCCATTATATCCTAATTTATCATCTTTACATGTAGGTGCCAAGAAGAGTATTACATTGCAGTGATGGTGTTTATGAAGAATACAGCACAGATGAAGAAGAAGATGAAGCAGAGTTACAACCAGTTGTTGATCCGGTATGTGAAATTGATGTCATTCAGAAAGTTTCAGAATTATTACACATGTACTATTAATATGCATATAAAGCACAACATTCAAGGAACATTCACATTGGTTGAATTGCTATTGAAGCATAATTTCTAGATTCTATAGTAAGCGAGAAAATCTTTTTGAAGTGTCATTGACACAAGGCTGGGGAGTCTAAGGTGGATCCATCAAGCTTATAAGAGATAGTTTAAACTCTATTATTTTGAATGATCAATTCAAATCTGCTAACTATATCCTGGGGTCTGAGCTGTGGGCATTCTAGTTCAATTTCAAAAATGCTCACTGGTTTTGTCCATAGAGAAAGCATAAAGGAGAGTCTCCTGCTTTTTTAGCTCTGTCATCTTGTTAGTGTTCTTTACAGTGGTGTGTATCTCATATGCCATAATTTTTTTTTTGCAGAAGACCCTCAAGTGGGCACCATATCTTTGGTATTGGACGACTAGATCAGCAGTAAAAAGCTTAGCAGGTATGACATATTCATTGGTAACAAAAATATGAGGTAAAATAAAGACTAAAGAGTAAGATTTTGAGTTGTGCATAACTTTATTGACATTAGTGAGTGTCTTAATTTCAAATTCTCTGGAATCATGAGTCCAAACTGGATTCAACATTTCGAATTCTTCGGAATCTGATTCAGAATTTCAGACGAACAATCAAAATAATCAAAATTTCTGACTGAATCTCAAAAAGCATCAAGTTGAGTCGTTAACTAAGTGTTATCAAAAGACAATCAGTGAAGCCTTGCATACACAATAGATTTTTTATTCAAAATTCAGTTTTCTCATGCTTGAGTCAGTGTCAATATTGTTTACAACCTGATGTCTGGAAACGAAATCAGAACTGTTATTGAAAGGACTTATCTTCTAATATTTTTCATTCGCTTACATAACTTGACTTTAAGGTACTCCCGTGGTATATGTGTACCAGGTTAGGGTTAGGCTATAATTTTATTGCGATTTTCCTTATTTTAGTTCTCTTACAAGTTCGGGGACTGTCTGCGTTAGCCAAGTGAATATACCCCTGCCCATAGGTTTTGACAACTTGATATTAAAGTAGGCGAACAAAATTAGTTACCTTCATATTGGTACACATACTTATGAAGCGCTGACTTTTATGCACAAAAATTCAAATTTATACAGTATGCGATTATCTTGGCGAGAAACTGGCTTGGTTCTTCGGAATTACGAGTCCAAGATATCAGTACGCTCTTGATGAATTGGAAAGAATGAAACAAGAGGAAAAGGAACAGGAGGAAATGGAAAAGGAAGAAAGAGAAGCTGAACTTGATTTTGTGAAAACTTCCGAATCCAAACTTCAATCTCATCCTCCAAAACAGATAAATTATGGGTAAGGTGTTATTGTTCAATAATTTGCCAACCAGTAAATTTTTTCCGTATACATAAATCGGTGCTTCAGAAGTATGCGCACCAGGATGTCGCACAACCTGAATCCTAACCGATACACAATACTATGTTCAGGTTGTGCGTCATCTTGGTACGCATACTTCTGGAGGTCCCATAAATCAGTTTAGGCAATTTCAGAAAATCATTCGCTCTGGAATAACACCGATTAGGAACCAAGATTTTATATATATATCTGCTTATATTGAAACTAGTAAAATTTATATTTCTGAACTAACATCACCTGAGGTAATAATAGAGTCTTCCATTCCTTACCATATTAGCTGTATGAATATTTCGCGAAGGTACCGTAATTTTATATTCTGATTTCCGCTAGATGGATGCGTGACATTATTATTTGTTTTATTATTTTATTACTTTGACAATACCATGCTACTGCATTAGAATTTTTTCATTGCAAACCATGCGTGGTTGCCAGTCCATGTAGGGAATTCATCACACCAGGTATTGTTTCATTGCATGGGAATGATGGGTTCATGCTGATTTGATTAGATTTCAACTAGATAGTAGCTGTTATACATTATCAAAATTTGAATTTCAGAACTTCCCAATCCGTTTCCACTCCACTTGATGTGAGTGATGTGAAACTGACCTCCAACGAGGAAGGCGATCGCTGACATACTTCGGAATTGAAAAATAATAGCAAGTTTTTGACACTGTGAACAAAACCTAACCCTATACTTCTTCACTTTTTTTTAGTTTGTTATTACTGTGTCTATGCCGTTATCTAGAGCTGTACAAGATTTTTTTGAAATTTTTCGGAGTTACTTACATTTGTTATATCTCTTTAAAAATGGCAAAAGGGGCTTAGAACCACCCTATTCAATATATGACTATGACATTCGATACCTATTTATTGCTCAACATTTTGTTGATAAAATAATTCTTACAATATTGCCAGACTGATGTTAAAATTCATGCAGTAATAATATTCATAGATGTCAGAGTTCCATCGGCCCGAATTTACCATATATTGTGCCCTGATTAATATTTAATAATGTCAGTCATTTAGTTTGGTTGTAGATTTAAATGTTGTTTTGTAATTGTAAATTTCACATAGTCTTCATATAGTGAATATAATCTGTTTTTATATTTTGAATTTCCTTGTGGTAGCTATACATACACATGATGTCATTTGTTAATGTCAACATTTTCAGTGTTGTTGTCTTAGTTGAGCAGATCTAGCTAAATGATCATATGACCATTTGTTGCTTTTGAATTGACGTCATATTCTCATTCAATTGAGCTCCCACTATTGAATAGCAATAGTTTTTATTAATAATTTGAAACTATATGCTTTGAAGTTTCTTCCTTCACCTGTAATTTGTGTTCATTCAAAGTCCATGCACTGTTTCTGCCGTATCAATCGCACAGTATGTGCAATTTGTTCGTGTTTGTTATTTATAGTCAAGTTCAGTTTTTTTGGCCAATTATAAAGATACACAAACCATATATAATCGCCGATTTTTGACAAATAATTTTTGTCGGACACCAGAGTTCCCTCTCTATACAGTGCCTGTACTTCGGTATTTAAATTTGTGTAATTAGCAATAGTTCAAATTTATATTTGATATTTCAGTGTTGATTAGATCGAACATTGCAGTATACAGTTTTCTGAATAGATGGCAATTTTGTCATAAACGCATGAGGAAAACTGGAAACAAACTCGTTTAACTAACAAATGGCCATGACTGTCTCTGCCTCCAACTTAGCAACAGAGCAATGATTAGTAACTAACCTTGTACTAAAAATTTTCAATTATGAAGGTTATACTTGTAATAAAAGTTTGTTTTTTAAAGTGGTGTGTTTTATTTTTATGCTATCATGGTTTCATTGATAAGCGTCAACAGATGAGCAGAGGGTTTATCACAGCTTTTTAAACGCTCCTTGCATAAAGAGTGCGCTACGATGAAATGGAATGAATGAACAACGTAGAGGTCGGCGACCCACGGTCCGAGAGCCGGACCCGGCCGCGACGCTTCACCGAACTATAGTAACAAAACAACTGTTTTGGCAATATTATTCTTTACGTACCGAATTTATTGTGAGATACGTGTGGACTAAATTATATTAAGAGTAAAAGTAACCTAATAAGTGTATATTTATATAATTCACAATTACTCGTTTAAAGAGCCTATGATTTAATTATAATCAGGCAAATGTCAACAAAACGCGGAAAAGTTTATGCAAAGGGTTCAAGGGCGCAGAAAATATTCAAATGTAATTTTTTGAGATGCAATGCAATGAGGAAATAAATCTATATATATTCTATTCTAATCAAGTGATGTATCACTGCTTGATTTTTATTATAAAAAGAATAATCTTTCGGTTTTCAACTTTCGAAAATATGTCCCGCCCGCCAATGACTTACAACTCTTAATTTTGGCCCGCGATCGACAAAAGGTTGCCGACCCCTTAGTCGTAGTTGAATCCTATATAATAACAGAAATTCCTCACCAGGAAATATAGTGCTTCTCAAAAAATGGGACAAACCACTAAAGTTAAGTATTAAATGTGTAGCTATTACTTCTGTGAATTCTTCTCGTCAGTTTGTATATATATATCATATGTTACTGGTTTAATTTTCATGAACTTTTATATAATGGTGATCGTCGTCATATATATTAATTTTACGTGGTATGCGTATTTTTAGCGTATTTATATTACGCTAAATACGATATCGAATTTGTGCTTTCTTATGGGGTCGGAGAACGGAAAGAAACGACGAGCTTTTCCCTCCTCCCGCCGCATCGGTTTATGATGTCTTATCCCAAGCGGAAGTATGAGTGAGATCAAGATAAAGTATATATATATATTATAATTTATAACATCACGCTATATTTCTTAGCATAATGATTGGAATTCACATGTGGTAAGCGTTCTCCAACTCCGAAAATTTCCATCAGTGCTGCTCTATTCTTCATTTTATTACTACATGTTTAAACCATGATAGTGTCTTTATTGGACAGAAATCCGTAACAAATCATAATTAGTTTGAAGAATTATGATCTGGACTGATATTCTGCTGATAGAAATAATACAAAACAACAAAACAGTATAAAAGTGGTAACAAAATATAATACAAAAAACAGGCTTGGAACTTCCAATGAGTAAAAAAGTTTGGTCACGACTTTGCTTTTCGGGTAAAACCAAAACGAGTTCGGGTTGACGGCGTCTGATGTGAATGATCTTGCTTGTCCCTCCTTGAAGCAGGTACCGATATGCTGTTATCGCTAGGCAATACTTCATTCGACTGAATCCACGAATTCTTGATTGTTCCCCTAAAAACGCATGTGATCATAGTAATCAATTATTACTGAACCCAACAGTAAATAACTTGCATTGAATAAACTGGAAGCATTCTTTATTGCGTATAATGCTAATGCAACAACAGAAGATGCCAAATTACGCTACATTTGTGGTATAGTTTTGTGGTGGCGCAAAAATAACCCCAAGATAAGTAAATTTGTTGAAATATGGAACCCCATAGGACTCGGAGAAAGTTTAAAAATGATAAATTATAGCCTTATTGCGACTTCTATACGAACCTCAATTACATAGAAAATCAGATTTCGATTGGTTTATTGATTGAAGAGAAAGATTTTTCCACATCAACAACAAGCCTAACAACAATTTTGCAACACTTTGCATCCAATAAAAACATATTATATATTTCTGCAAATTCACGAACGCACTGCAAACAACGTAACTTGTGGAAAATAGAATAAGGTCAATATACATTTTGTACTTACTTACCCTATATTCTCCCCGATATCATTGCTTAATTGTTCTGCACTAGTGAAGGAATTTCCTGCTCTGACAATATCCGGTCTTACTTGTGAAATAACGTTCGGTGATCGGTAACGAAAATCCGCACTTGCTGTTGAAGTGCAACTCGGTGATTTTTGACTTCGTCGTAACTTGGGAGACAAAAGTTTACTGACGAAACTAGGACTAGAGGATGATTTTAAACTTTTTATTGTCTCATTTTCCTGCTTTTTCGTGGTCTTTGATTTAGCAGGTGATTTACTGTTCATAATGTTACTCCTATGTGGTGATTTTGATTTCACTTCATCTTTTTCCTTTTTGCTTCCAAACCTCTTGAGTCCACCCCATTTTGACCGTTTTGACGGACTTTGTTTTGCCGTATCGTTACTCAAAAATGGCGCGCTATTTTGATTTCCTTTTTTCGACGAAACGAGTCGCTTGTTATTTTTTATCTTATCTTCTGTCGGCATTGCACAGCCGCTTGTAGATGTATCATTTTCTGAAGTAATTACCAATTCAAGACCAAAAGCCTCGCCGTTCCTCTTTACCAAAGAAAGCTGCGTACCCTGGGTTCCGCTAGACCCAGCCACCAAAATCTGTTTGTTTTTTGCCATGCCCGTACTCGCTTTCATCGCACTTGACTGTTTTAATTTGGACGAATCCTCTGGTACTGGTAATTTTGTTGCAGCTTTTTTATAAAATTCATCTTTAGGTTTATTGCTTGCGCATTGTTTTATAGGATTAATTTCGCCGAATGATTTTGGTTTGACATAGTTTATTTCCAAACTAGACGAGTCATATAATAGTACTTGCGACGGAGATGAAGTCGTTGAGGTTGCGTCTATGGCAGATTCTTCTGTAGAATTCCTATTTAGTGTAGAATAACTTTTAACTATGTCTTCATTTTTTATGTCATCATCATTATTACAATCTGGCAACAGTTCTATGGGGGTCCCAGAATTTGCATCAAAAGTTACGCTTCGCCTTAGGCTAGAACTTGATCTTACAAAATTCTGGTCGGTGTTATCAGATACACATTTTTCGGGCGGAAATGTCCGGTTAACTTTTTCTGCCCATTTTTGAATCGGATTTGATTCGGTGTCGTCCCCGGTGCTTGTTTCATCGCTACCACGCTCTTCTTTGCTCATACGTTTACGTTTAGTGACTTCTTTCACAAAAGAGCGTTTTGACAGAGGTATCAGTGGGTTCTTAGTTGTGAAACTCAGGCAATAAAAATTGACATCAATTACGTCATCGCCTTCACTGACGTCACAATCACTTGTGTATGTGTCTTCGTCTTCATCAGAATTCCATTCATCGTCGTTGACGTTAACAAACATACTTTCTGGTCTCATATCATTGAACGATGCAGGAATGGTCGTTTTTACTGATTGTTGTTTCTCTCTCGCTTCTACTGAACTTAAAACGTCTTCAAAATTTTGAAGGCACTTCGAAAGATCGGTGTTAGAAATTGAAGGATCGGATAAAATGATTTGATTGTAGGATATGTTTTGCACAGATTTCTGAGAACGAAACCGTAAAATTGAGTCCTGTGAATCTTCATTCCTGTAAGACCTCTCGCGATCAATGTAATCCTCTACCATTTGATGTGCTGGGACAATATCTTCGGGCAGTTCAAATTCTGGCTCAAAATTCACATTGTGATCATTAAGTGAATTCCCGAGTTGCCAATCATTCTCTGAAGTTGGGACGTTTTCCAAATGATTTCCATCGTCATTATCATATTCATTATTCGAAATTGGTTCGTCCAAGTTTTCTGAAGCATGCGAGGAATGAAGAGTTTCGTAGGTAGGATGGTGCTCTGTTCGATAGTCAGATTGCAAGCTATCTCCTTGTGTTGGCAATGGATCGGAACTATTATGACGTAGCCGAGTTGTTGGAAGGCGTGGCGGGGGCGGGGGTGGTATTCGACTTCTCCGTTTTTGAGATTTTATACTACTGGAAGAAGTTTGTTTCGAATTGTCGAAGTTTCTATTGAGAGACGAAGTATTTTCATATGGGTTGGACGAATTTTTTGACCGGGTTTGGCAAGGTTGTTTTGAAGTTTCAGAACTTGAATTAGAGGACGGTTTGCTTACTCTAGTCGTCTTGTGAAAGTCATTATTTCGACAAAGGTTTTTCACTAATTTTGCGTGATTTTCCAACTTCAATTGCGTGTTTGATGTAGAGTGGACCATTTGTACATTTGACTTTGCATTGTGACGTTTGGACTGTGAACTTTTATGGGTTTCTCTGAATTTTGAAACAGGTATTTTTCCACGGCTTTTCGCTTTTACGTTTTCATTATTTCTTGGCTTATTTTCAATAATACCATTGCTTTCGTTTATTTTTGAGAGGGACTTTGCAACTTGAGGCGGAGACCTCACTGGTACAGACGGAGGCGGGCCTTCATTATCTGTCAACTCTCTGTCGCTGAATGGTACACCATTTGGTCGGACATATATAACTGTATCGCATGATACTTCACTGCCTGATGTTTCCCCGACTCCTGAGCTGAAATATATATTATTATAGAACATTACTATACAAATCTTATTAATGTCATGCTTTTATATCCAAAATGTTTTTTTAAAAAATACCTTGTTCCAACGCTTTCCTCATCCGTACCTCGTTTATGCGACTTCACAGATCTTGAAAGATGACAATTTGGTCCAATGCCTCTAACAGACGTTGTGGACGAAGACTATAAAATTTAGAAGTTTAGAAATAAAAAATATGTCCAAGCTGACAACGTCTTAGTGAAATTATCCTGCAAGAAATTCCCAAAACGAAAAAATCAGAAGTCAAGTTTGGAATACATTTAAAGAATACCCAGAAAATATATACACAAATCACGAAGATACTCCGGTAGAAATATGGATGATAAATCATTAGAGACTGGTGACACCTTTCATGGGTCATTGTCAACCACATACTCAAAATTGAGGCATTCACCAAAATACATTAACCTGACGTAAATGAGACAGCGTCTCTCAATGCGTAGGTTACAAATTGAAAAGAGAAGAGATTTGCGCTTGAGGTTCAGCAAAGATTTTGAAGGTTAACTTGACAAGCTGATAAAAGGACACAAGGATTAGATCGGTCATTGACCCTTTTACTACATTGCTTACTTTAATAAAGACATTTTTTATCGGATTTAAAACTTTTTTTTCAAATTCTTTGTGTTTTTTTTTTGACGCTGAATATGGGCAACAATGAATAATGACTAAAAACCACTAATCCGAGGACCGAAATAGTAGAAATTTTTTTGGACTCTGCATTAAATAAGTTATTGTAATGATGAAACAGTTTATTCACCTTGCTTTTCTTTTTCATGAGAACTCGATGAATTCGCGATGCCATTTGCACGGTAGACATGGTATCAGCATAATGGGTTGAAGCTTTGGCGACATGAGCAAGCATAACAGTTCGACAGTTGAAGTTTCCTAACAATTCTTGTAGAACCATAGTTAGCTTACTTTCTCTGGAAATAATATTCAAAACTTATATTACACTTTAATGTCTACTACTAACATTTGGTAAACAATTGTGTAAGCTATGTAGGAAAGCAAACTTGCTCTCCTTTCAAATCACAGTAGCACCCTACGTACAGTTAATCATACAAATCCCCTTTTGGACAGATAGAACACTTAAAACACTGCAACTCCTAGTGGATTGAAGCAGTGGTTCTCAAACCTTTTCAGCCGCGCCCCCTTTTTAGAATTAGTACCTCCCCCCACCTCAAAAATAACTAGCCAATAATAAGCTACAAATACCAATTAGTAAGGCGTAAGTAATACGCGGATGGAACGTAAATAATGAAATAAATGAAATGTTTCCAAAACAAGCAAAACATGTTGCTATTTTTATAAGTGCAGTTGTTTTTGGCTGACAAAATAGGAAATGTAAATATCCAAAATAAGGCGGGCAAGATTAAATCTAACCAAATATTTTTATTTAGATTCACGCTCCTCGAAAAATTGGCTGAGGGGGGGTGGTCAGCCCTACCGTTTGAGAACCACTGGATTGAAGTCATGATTGTAGTAAAAATGTATGAACAAATGCATCAGATGATGTAGCACAGGTATTAGTAGACTTCTAAAATCATTTGTGACGCATTCTTCGAGGTTTGAAGTTGATTTTTGAAATATAACCCTCTATTTATTTCTAATGTCCAGGTTCAAATTGTTTAGGTTGAACAATTTACCAATAATGAGTATGTGGACACAAAGGCCGAGTATCGGTACCTAGGGCACCAAGTTTACTGTGAAGACCGATGGACCAGCGGGCGGAGTAAAAAATGTTCTCTTTTCGGAATTTGAAAAAATAAATGAATAAAAGGTAATAATAGCCTTCTAGCGCATATAGTTATCTTTAAGTAGTGAATTTTTTGTAAATCGATTGCGGGATAAATCTATTTTTTCCATGATAATAACCAACTCAACAATTCATAAGAATTCATCAAAATGATTTATAGATTCGTGCCCAAAGATATTGTACGTTATATGTATGAATTTCTCATTAAAGCTGATGATCAATTGGTGAACCTTTGAACAAATTTGTAAATTATTCGCAAAGCGAGCAAAGTTAGCGCGTTTCGTAGTAAATCCTAATCTACTTGCCTCATATTGACATTCAGTTGGTTCGATTTTGTGTTTGAAACTCACTTTGCCCGATAGCCGTAACCCACAATTTTTATTTTTAAAAATTTGAAGAAAAATATAGGTACTGTTTTGGGGTTTTAAACGCACTGAAAATTTCGTCCCAATCCACTTTAAATTCGAAAAAAAAGTAAATTAGAAATAATCGATCGAATTAAATTTTACTGTATTCAACGAGGAATTGGCAGTATAAAAATAAAGTCAAATTTACATAAAGTTACTGGTTTATGACAAGATTAGTGTTCTCTATTCCTCGAAAGAGTCTTTCAAAAAATTCCCATCGTGCAAAAGATTGATGTGTATTTTCAAATTTTTTTCTGGTGAGTGTATCTTGCAATTCGGCGAACTGGTCTTCCCCTCCCATCGTCCAAGTATATTTAACCGTACAATAAAGAATTTTCCATTTTTCATTTCCGGGGTCATTATCCTAGATGTTGAATCACCACTGCCCGTGTATTGAAGGAAGTGTTAATATTGCTCTGTTATTCTGGATTTCATAACGTGATGACTCGCGGAAACAACTTTTTAATCTTATTATCGATTGAATTCCCCGTGGTGTAAAATCTCTAATGTATGTTTTACAATTCATTTCCAACATTAAGAATTAGATCGATCGAATCAAGGGAAAATTCTTCGGTCGAATAAAGCGGGAATAAGTTATTTATATTATATTCAGCCGCCAACGCCTAAAATCATCATTCAGTGTCCTTGTAATTTGAAGTTGTGTATTGGGTATAGAACCCTGAACCCAGGTCACCGAGTCACGAATCATTCGAGTCTGGAGTCGAGTCAAACACTAAGTTGAGCCTCAGTTAGATGATAACCATTTTTAAATGACCCCCCCCCCCACGGGATTCACGCCTACGTACTAAAGAGGATAACTGAATATAACTGATATTTAAAGTTTTGAGATTGAAACACCATCAGAAATAATCATTTTGGCAAGTTATTTATTTGCCCAAAATTCCGATTTACGACATTTCATTGTTAATTGTTAATGTTATATTTCTATATTTAGGCTACACCAGTATCGGGTACTCAATTCAATGCGTGAAAAAAAAAAAAAAATTATCAAATTTTGCTACAGCGTGTCAAAGGCACATGAGCATTGGTAATGATACCACGAATTCGCCTTCGAATTTTTCTAATTTGGCTAACTCAGAATTCTCATTCCCCTAACAAGGGGGTAAACAATGCACAAATCTTGGCAAGGCAAATAACAAAAACTTCATTGTGAATACGTATTTTCGTACCAGATATATACCGTCAAGGACGCGGATATTATGCGTAGCATATTTAGACCCTATCACTAATGTATTTTGCTAATGCGTTTCCATGAATACTAAAAACAGTCTGATATATATTTATATTCGTAAATTTGATTTTTCCAGCCAGTCAAACACTGAATAAATAAATCTTTTGTAATTCCAATTGATCAATAACTCACAATCGCAATTAGATTTTGTTAGTTCATTAGTAGGTGGGAAACAGTAAGCACATAACATCGATCGCTGAGGTATTTGTTTTCACGCAAAAGAAATCTTAATAAATCGAACATCTGTTGCTTGAAATCCTGTAGCCACAAGTTCAATTTGTGACAGAGGAAGATTTTCATCTGTCACATATGGCCCATAGGTGGGATTTATCGCAGACTAGGTTTTATATCAGATCGAAATACTAAAAATATTCAAAGATAAGTAATGGTAAACGTACTTGAACGGAACATGCTTTGAATTGTTGATGATTGCCATAATCACATGGCCAAGTGAATTTAGTGATAATGTGAGAGAATTTGGAGTTTTGACCAATGTTCTCTCGCAACTTCCAAGGTCGATGAAGTGAAGACGGCTTCTTCCCCCGGAGACTGAAAATTAAAAATCAAATGTGGCGTATAAATTTTAAGATTGCGTAGAAAAAAAGAAATGCGAAATAATAATTTTAATACCTAAACTCATGGTATTGGACAACGCCCATTTGAATATATAAACAATAAAAAGTGTTATTAGTAATATTATTAACGTTAAAGACTTTCACGTTGAAACATATTATTAAGTTAATATCGAGGATGTCAAGTGGGAAGGCGGAGTGGTATTTTCAAACTCCTCCGAGTCGGAGTCAAAATTCTGAATTTTTCAGAGTTGGAATTGCAGACTTTCAATGGTTTGACTCTCAACCCGGATTCGGGTTGAGAGTCAAAATTCAGAATCGAAGACAAAGTTTTTTTATTTTTTATTCTACTTTCGATTCGACTATACATCCGCCGCTTAAAGATTCACCCTTTTGAAGCGGCAAAAGTCCATTTCATAGTATTTATACAATTAAATAAATGCAGTTACACAAAATCACCTCCAGTTTGTCCTGTCTTATCTAGGCGATATTGGTAAACATGAAGCGTGTATACCATATGAGAATGCCTTCTCGCTTCTTCCGTCGATCGCGATCCTGAACTCGACCTGGTAGACAACGCAGCGTCTAACAGATACGCCGCTTTCTCCGCAGATGAAGCACGCAGTTCAGATTGATTTTGCAACTAAATTAATTAAAAAAGAATCATTTTTAAACGTGCTGGTCGTACAAAAACTGACTGACTTGTGAAAGGATAGGGGCATATGTCAAGTACCCTCAAGTTCCATGAATCAGAAGACATCACATTGGAATTTTGCTGTGGGGGTCTGATGTCTGTTTGATATAATCACTGATATTTGCCTTGATAACAATGTCTATTCAACAAACCAGACACATCGACAATAACAAAGTAAAACTAAAATCCCAGATCATTTTAACTTTATATTAGAACCTTGGATGTCGCTTCTCGATAACCAGCTTCGGTTACCGGCGGCTTTTTGCCCAATTAAACTGAGTGCTCATCTTTTTCTTGTAATTTTTGTACATATTTGACTTGACTTTTTTAAATACGACGATATTAACACGAGACTGTATTTTTGAAATGCGAAAATTGGTAAAATTGCCGTACAAGTATACTTAAATGAATTACAGCCAATTGCATGAATGACCAGAATAAAAATTGATAATGAAATGCTTTCAGATTGAATCGAATTTTAAGATAATTATCTTATCTCGTAGATTGGCGGAAAAGGGAGAATAGTTAAGTATATTGAACAGAGCACAAAATTAGGGAAGAAAACTAGATTTCACAAAATGCGTAACAAAAGATCCAAGGTATATTGCATTATTCTTGATGCATCCGCGTGAACGAACAGAAGACACGTTAAATTGTGTGGTCAAGCGGGTTTCATCGATAGCCTTGCTATCATTGTCAAAAATCCAGTCATCCGTGTTCGGTCTCGACCCAAAGATAATAAATTGCAAATCACGTACCATCTATGGATCAGGCTCGGTGAGTTTTTAAATCCACAAATTACCTACATCAAGTGACAGATGTTTGTTTTACTCCACTACGAAATAATGCTTGCATAATCAACGACACCGACGTGAAAGAATGTGGAATTGGAGACTAATCCTATTCCCTTGATGCAACACAAAGGAAGGATTATCCCAATATTCAAATATTCTTCCACTCGAGGGAAGCCTATTGCCTATATTATGTTTTGATCATGCCAATTTGGTTTTTCCATCTCATTTGTTTGTCAATTATTTCAACGGCCACATTCATGGTGACAAAAACCAATTTTGCCAATTTTATTGATTTTATAGGCGATGGGATAAATCGATCAGATACTAAAAAACACGAGAATGTGTGAAATTAATTTTGATTTCTTGGAAAGTCTTCGATATTATACTTTGTACTTAGACGTATAAATAAATACGCTTGTAGTATATTTCATTTCTACGGGTCATTGAATCGGCCGAATTAAGGGGGTATTTAACTTTCTATTTCCAGAAGGCACATGACTTAAGTTAGGTAAAAATTCCAATGCAAAATAATGCAGTAATAGTATGTGCAATTGGGATGGATATACGGCATTCTCTGTAAAGAAATATTGGGCCATGTAGACATCGGGTTTGGTTTCTATAGCAACTACACAAGACGTGTACGTCAGTCATTTGTATGGTACCATGTGAACCCTTATTCTTTTAATGAATTCAAATGTTTTTAGCCTAAATAAAAATGATAAGAAATGTTTCAAGATCTGTGTAAAGTTTTACTATAATAATTCTGAGACACGCTTTGATCTCATATTATGGAATATGTTTAGTATAAGATATCTAACATTTTACCCAAAAAAATCAAACAACATTACAACACCACGATAAGACATGAATGTCTGTGAATACAAGAATTTCCCATGACAAACATCGGTGAATTAGATACCTGTGTTCCAAACAGCGGGTCCTCCCGCACACACAAATCATCTGTTGGTCCTCCATCTTGAATAGGCAAGCGTGAAATGTACAAATCATTAAGTATGATATTATTCAAGGGGAATATTTGTCGGTAAAAAATACTATTCCCAAAAGACTATATGATACATTCGTAATGAAATCCCTTTGGACACTTCGCAAAGGTACGAAGAGTTTTTTTTTTTAGTTTCATTAGTGTTGAAATAATATGTAAATATGTGACTAATATTTTGTGGTACATTCTTGCTTTTTATTAAATTTTTCTCCGTTGAATAAATATAAAACGCTCTTGGCGTTGGTGTTTTAAACAGCGAAAATATTACATAAATGAAGCAGCATACGATCCGAGACGGCTGAAGATTTTACGCTCGTGTTAACATAAGACAATTTCATGGTATCACTAATTGTATTAAACAGTTGTCTCCCGGTGTGTCGTGCCGCGTCTTTTGCCATTATTTGAATTTATACACATGATATAGGTGGGAAGCCGATAAGACGGCTTAATCGTATGGCGACTCACGGTTTCTCAACCGGTTACCAGTACCAGGGTTTACCGTGTAGTTAGAATCTATTTTCACTATTCCATGTAACAAATACGGTAAGGAATAATGGGTTCTAAGTTCTAAAAATGGCAAAATTTTGACAGTATTTTCTTACCTTTAGAAAACTCCTTCAATAAATCTTTCAGTTTTTCAGTTCTGCCTTGAATTTCTATAGCGGATACACGAACAGAAAACCGTCCTTTAGTTTTTTCTTTCATTTCATCGATTGCTCGATATAACCAGCTTATTCCACACGGAATTAGTCCTACTTCATATTCATTGGCGTCGGAGCCGATCAGAGTGTATGTTTTTCCTATAATTCGTAATATATATGAAATAATTGAAATATAAATAATCCATTACGTATTTTTGCATCAAACTTTTCAATTTTGTTATGCTATTATGTTAAACAATAAAATTATGTCAAATTTTGAATATGCATCTCACCCAACCCGGAGTGACCGTAACAAAACACTGCCCCATCTGCTCCTTGCACCACAGCTTGAATGACGTCGGTGAGACTCGTGGAGCAAACTTCAATCTATGAAATAAAATATAAATTGTTGAATTCTACACTTCTTATTTTCCCGATGGCTAACTGTTGAAATAAAAAATACACGTACACAGTTTTTGGAGAACGGTCGGCGTAGCACACGTAATCGGTGGACTTGAGGGGAAAATTTGAGCCATTGACTCGACTAACCATTAATCAAAGACTCGAGCTTTATGAATGAAATGACTCGGACTGCGAGACTCAACTCCCTGATTGATCGTCTACGGACATGAATTGAACTCCAAACTAAGATGATCTGTGTCTCGACTTGACTCGCGATATTCAGTCGCGTAAAAGGTCAATAAAAGAGATTTTAGGCGTCTTGACAGTGCATACCTGAGATGATTCTTCGGGAAATACAGCGTCAAATGCGTACAATTTCGGTGCCGACACCCCGACCTTCATTTGTGCTGATTGTAGACCACTCTCTGAGTCGAATATAGTCACGTGTTTACGGTTTCCTTCGACACGCAAGATGCTTTCTTGTTGTTGAGGCGATTGCTTTGATTTTTGAACAACATCGTTTTTCAAAACTCTTTGAGGACATACTCTCAGCAAAACTTTGACCTACCAGAAGAAAATAGAAGTCTTTAATTTTGTCGTCGTAAAATTATGAAGTTTTATATCTCAGTAAAATAAAATGGTACACGTAGAACTTCTGGTGAAAGCACTAGGAAACAATCTGTTTTCGATACAAAAATTGAGTGAAACCCTGAATGCCGAAAATGGTTTTACAGCGAACATTATCTGTCGATACTTGGCGGCCCCCAACCCAATAAAGATTACTTTACGCAATTAGAAGACTGCAACAAGTCAATACTCCCATAGCAAAGAGAGAAAATTGGATAATGGCATGGCGAGATTATATCGTCTCTCAGAAGTAGTTTCGTATTACAATTGTACAAAAAATATTTAAATGTATTGTAGGCACCTCGCAACTTTTATAGGAATGTAGATTTGACATAAAATTATTAATTGATATGAAACTCTTGAAAACATGTACGATGTCCCGATGGAGATCCTAAATCAGTCATTTTTTCGTAAATGACTACTTTCAAATGAAATAGTTTAAAAAGAAGAGCAATGTGCGGAAATAGGCTGTCTATTTTGTATAAGAACTTTGTTTTAATTTCGTTCATTACGGATGAGGGGTGACTAGATATTGTGCTCACTTTGCAGTATAGTTGATACTATTACGGTTTACTGGACTTATGCATGCATGCATTCAACTGTTTTTTTTTTAATATATCGCCGCCTTAAAAAATATTCGAACAAATTTTCTCTGAATTCACCAATGCTCACAGTCTTTAGTCGGGTTCAAAACAAGGCGGTTTCACTAAATGCAAGAGAGAGGTGACGAAATGAAATTAAATCAGCACCGCCCGATTGCATCCAATGCATTGCAGTCGCAGAGTTCACAGTCTATTCATATTTTATGTGCGTATTACGAAGGTGCGCTTGCCATATGGCGTTGGAATTGGATACGCGGAAAGCGCAAGCCAAAATGCAGACAAACAATGTCGTCTAAAATTCAGAATGATGCATATCGGACATGCAACAGTCAAATCGTATTATAATAAACTCAACGAAACTTGTATCTTCGTGACCAAATAATTTTTGATCCGAGGGTTGTAATTGGTATTTTCAATTAAACAATATTTCTCTGGCTGCTGTACATTTAGCTTTAGGCATGCGCTTACAGGTGAAAATATATATGGAAACTGAACAATAACATAAACTCGTAGATCGGTCGCGGTCTAGCCCTGGTCTCACATTTTAGTCGGTCATATATATTCAGTATTTTTTCTATTTGTTAATATACAACATTCAAACGACGTCCGCGACTAAATTTTTTTTCGTGTAAATATAAAATTAGTCCAGAATTGGTCATGGGCCTAAATAATTTGTTAAATATGTTGTGTTTCCCCGAATTTCTAGAATAATGTTCAAAATTCGAACTCTGTTTTTGAAAAAAAAACAGTAAGAAGAGGTCACGCAGGTCAATGACTCATATTTTGATAAAAACTTTTATGCAGGTTAATGATTATTATCATGAGCAAGTCGACAAAATTGAAGTGACTTATTCCCAACGCAGTAATTAGCGACAGACGAATATTGATCACAAATACACTTAGTGTTGAACAGCAATTTGTTTTGTGGTCTTTTACGAGGTCATATCGACCACATCAGCACAATAACTTTGGTGTCAACTCTTGATTGTTTGACAAATTTACGATGGTGCTTTCAATTATAGCGTGAAATATATTAGATCCTGTATTTTTCAAATGTTTCGGATAAATTTAGGCAATATTTTAAACTGATATACTCGCCAAACAAATTTCATATTTTTACATACTATTTGCATACATCCACAAAAATTTGAGAAGTTTTGCTCCAGCGTTACCGACAGTAAAATTAAGAAGGAGAGCAACTAAGAGTCCAAAAGAGTACAATTTTAAAGATAATCTATGTTTTGCAGATGTAAAGAGTTACATAAATCGCCTTTCGCCCGCCAATGAAATTGATGAAGTTCAGAATAGGCTGGTATTTTAGAAAAATATATGTATTCTTACCCTTCCCGGTCCCACATTGTCCTTCTTTTTGTGTGGATGAGCATTTGTTGCATTTTGAAAGCCTGGTTCCAGCTCCGACACGAAACGGAGGAGTGAAGGTGGAATTGCCGGCGGATTTCGTCGTATGGAACTGCTGAACGATGTGTGGAAGCGCCTGTGTCGTCTTGGTGCGGGTACATGACATGTTGATATATCTCCATGCAATTTTCTTGGTACTGGAACCGGCATAGTCCTCTTGGCTATTCCACTATTGACATTTTTAGGATGTATAGTTGATCTCGTTTCTGCTTTTGGATTTGTTCTGGTACGAGGTAGGCGACTCATTTAGGTTATCAAAAAACAATAACAATATATCGCGTCACCATTTTCATTTAGCTTTCCTCGAAAAAATTATTCCTGATTTTGTTCAACATATAGGCAGCAAAAATGCTTAGGTCAAACTTAAAATTCAAAACTTAAAAAACACCCGTCTACCCCAGCGCTTGATCTGAATAAACTGGTTCGGTTCGCCACTCTGTGACTGATTCCTACAGCATTCCATTTTTTCTTGTGAAGTAGCATTCCTCATTTCTTTATTATGCGTCGGTATTTTCGAATGTCTCCTCTCGCCAGAAAGAGAAAAAAACATCGATCTCGAGCAGGAACATTTCGACAAGGTGACGACGGCGAAGGTCGCTTCTCTTCTCGTTCGTATGTGCTGCTGCTGTCGTTGTACAAGCGTAAGGGCATTAATTATGCATGTACAATATGCATTGTTTTGTGCTTATTAGAGGTTGTACTCGCCAGTTCGAATACCGGGGCCTAGCTGTTTCTGAGATGATTGGTAAGCTAGTTAATTACCAAAAATACTTCACCTAGTCTGTGTATTAAAATATCAAGTTTCAACAATTGTACCGTCAAGCCTACACATGACTACGTTGTACGAAAAATTGCAATACCAGCACATGAGATGAAAATATCTTATTTCGGCTTTGTCGATTTCTAACAAATATATATACTGACGATAAAGGGGAGGGAGGACTCACAAGAGACCACTGGCTCGGTATGGGCTGCAACCGCGAACCTTTTTAATTAAGCAGGCGAGCGCAGTTGAGTGTAGTGTGGTGGGGATTTCGGGTAGGGGGCGGGCAGGGAATCAGATATAGGTAATCCAGGTATGCTTTGCGAGTGGGATCGGACATTAGGCAGGATTAGACAGTTGAAGTAGGGTGAGTGGATGGGAAGAATTAGACACTGGGAGTTCAGATCGGGATAGCGGGCGTTGCGGGTTACATATATGATATAGAGAAGCGGACATACATTTGGGTGTTCTCTCAGAATGAGGCATTAGGCAAGAAATATTTTTAATATATATCGCACAATACGAGTAAAATAATAAAAAATGGTCAACTCGCTTGACCAGTGCGGCGTTATCGGTTCTCGTTACTAGCTGTGGCGCTACTATAGCGTGCAAGCTTGTTGATCTTTGGACATAACAATCTCGATCAAAAGTTCAGTGCAATGTAAATCAATCACTGATAAGTACGTAGAGTCTTTGCTGTAAACACCGACTTCCCTAACAAATAGGTAATTGACATTTTTGGGAGATTTTCTGGCTATTATTATAGTCATACATACCATCTTCGATTTCAAATACTATGAAAAAAACGCCGATTGCCAGTTCGATATGCAAATAGGTAATTGACATTTTTGGGAGATTTTCTGGCTATTATTATAGTCATACATACCATCTTCGATTTCAAATACTATGAAAAAAACGCCGATTGCCAGTTCGATATGTTCGCCCACTCAGATGGTCGTATCCGACAACATGCATGACATAAATTATTAAATAAGTGAAGTTCATGAACACAAGTCCAGTCAATTTTCTCCAATAAATTGAAGGGCGAGAAATTTCCATTGGGGATCAAAAAAACGCTTTACGCATGGCCACAAACAGACAGTAATTACATTCTGCATCAGCAAACCCAAGTACAGCCTGGGCAAGTCACATTTATGAATTTATTTTGTATTCTAGCGTCACGATTGTTATTTTATCAAGAAATTAGCGATCTTTTCATGGGGTAGTTGCCAGGTGCAGATATACATCTGCGCTTACCGGCGTATGAAAAGTTGAAGTTTGCTCAAACAGAACGGTGTTTAACCGCTTTAACTTAGTTTTAGTCAGGTGTTTTTGTTATACCAGAATTGGCCAAATGTTCTCCGACATATGGACGGACTTTTTCTATAGTTCTACAGCTTTCTTCAAAATATTTTAAAAATAGACAATCTTCGGTGCTCCCGAAGTATGCGAACCAAGATGGCGGACATCGGAACGTAACATGGGTAACAGGTTAGGGTTAGGCGATAATTTTTTTCCAATTTTCCTTATTTTAGTCCTGTTATCAGTTCGAAGACTAGCCAAGAGCCTCCCGTAGTATTTATACCTAAAATTATGGCCTAACCCTAACCTAGCACACATATTACATTCCGATGTCCGCCATCTTGGTTCGCATACTTCGGGAGCCCCCAATCTTCAATACCACAAAATGTAGTTCTGTAAGCGGAAGGAATTTTGAGAAAAGAATATATTAAAATGTGAGATGAACAAAATTTAGACTTTCCCTCACATTTACTTTGTGGACATAAACAGACTCCCACAAAATACCGACTTACGGTGCGTTAAAAAATCAACTTTAATGTTAAAAATAACATAAAATACACAAGAGTTTGACAGTCATTGTGGAAATAGTATTTTTTTCAGAAATTCCTAAATACATGAGGTGGGGTGGGAAAAATGCTCTTATGACCCGTATATCAAGCCATTGAACACATACCAAATATAGGCATTATTATTAGGATTTAATATGCAATTAAAAACTAACAGTATTATTAGTACAAATTCATATTCTTTACGTTATCAATAGTAATTCAAATACCAAGAAAGTTAACACACTAAACACTAATAACCATACAAACAGATACAGTGAAATATTGACAGAACAATTTAAATTACAAAACAACAGTTCAAATCTAGAAATCCATGCCATACTGCCTCAAAAATAAATCACACCAAGCTGATAAATTCGGTAAGAAATACAAAGAACTGAATTTGTTCAATCCATACTCAAATCAAACAATATAGAGCTGGTTAAATCGCAAAAATTGATTCTTAATATTTAGACAAATAAGTCATTGCAGCACCAAATATTATAGAGAAGAATCTAACAATGATATCAATATATATTATATGATGTTCTCTATTTTTTTTTTCTAAAAATCATCTCTGGCATAGTAATACTGAATGTAGAAAAGACTCAAAATTAAACAAGTGCTATCTGTTCCACCAGCCTTTAGTAACCCAAGCAACAGCACTTGATACAAGTCCCTGTGATTCACTAATATCAACAGACTGGGCTTGAGACTGGAAAGGAGCTGCAGATGTGTATTGATGGGCAAGTGAAGACCTAGAAAATGATACGTTTTTATATTAGAGTTTGGTAGCAAAAAGGTTGGTTCATTTTTTATTTAATAATAAATGATAGATTTGAAATGTGAAGATTTATTAGCACAGGTCAAAATTGCATGAAATATTTGCCAGAAATTAGCATCAATAACCTATAAAATGAAATCACTATCTACGTTCAGTTCAGACATTTTCAATCATGTTCATAAAATATGGACTTGAGTGATGCTCTGATGTTTTAAAACCATTTATAGTTATCATGGGTTTTTAACCATTCATTGTTAATGTGACTTTTTTAAATGAAATGCTATTTATGTGTTTTCTTACTGCTTTGGTATCAAAGATTCCCAATCTTCAGAAAGTGAGTTTTCCCACTCAGATAGAGAATCCTCCATCCTGTTCTCGTCATCATCGGGTAGAGGATCGCTGCTCTCCTCGAGAGCCTCTTCTAATGATGAAATCAACTCGGGAGTTAATATTGATTGAGAAGTACTGAAAGAATGAATAAATCTGAACAGTCACACAATATGGTTCACTGCATCAACATATATATATATATGTTCAGTTTAATGCATATCTGTGGCCCATGGTGGAAATGTTTCCCCCGACACCGATTCCAAGCCATTGAAAAAATGATTCTGGCTCTGCATTGATGACTCTCGCTCCAAACTCCATGAACACCATATTTTCCACTAATAATGCTTTATATTACAACTGCCTGAATCACCGGCAGTGGGTTAATGTACAACATGTGTCAATGCCAAGGTATGACAATTATTTTCTGATAAAAATTTTAAGTTTTGAAACAAAGTTGAATGATTCAAATAGACAATGAACTTAAAATTACAGTCTAACGTTATCGACAGAATTTTTACCTGATTCCATTATGTAAATACATTTGTATAGCATTCTGGATATTGGGCAGTGTATGCAAAGGATGAATTAGTTGAGGTTGAACTCCATTACGAAGACAAAATGAAAGAACATTCCCATTGAGTTTATGCACATTCCACAGAAATTCTTGAACATTCATATCACCCACACTGAACTGTCTGAAGTTTAAAACACAGTAATAGATATTAAAACGTAATCATGTGTCCTAGTATACTAAAGAATACTGCATACAATCTGATTACAGTATTTGTATGATACTTTAAATTTAATACATTCACTCCGAAAAATGATGTAGACAAGTAGCCATCGATATGATTAAAAAAAACGAGAAATGAAACAATCACTCTGAACTATTGAATTTTTTTAAAATAGTATTCCTTAGTATATCATACAATGTATTGAAAGAGCAAGGAATATATCCTTAAAATGCATGAAAATATCCCGGAGGAAATCAGCAAAGCGGTTTGTTGCATCAATAACGCTGGATGGGAAATAAAACTACACAACAAAAGAGTGATACAACACTAACTTTTTCTGTCAATTTTTTTTACAAATCAGATAAAGAAATACCTGTAATGCAGTTTATAAGGCATATGCAAGCATAATATTTTTCGTATTGTATGCATCAAATGAGTTGCATGACACAAGGCTGCGTAAATACTGGCACCCGATGATCGGTGGGGTTCAGGACGATGAATAGATGAAGATGTTGAAGTTTCAGTGGATTCGGATGTTACTGAAATATGAAATAGGCACGGATGTATAAAAATGAATATTATAATCTAAAGAAAAGACTGAAGAAACTGCATTTTCTCGATCCTAGTCTTCCTTGTTCATATTCGCAACAATGACTGACAAGAATGCAACCAGCTTCCTGAACCATTTACTCAAGACTCGTGTAGGTCTGTAACTGAATGTTAGTATGTTCAATGCATAAAATCCACATTACTTACCAGATGCAGATAACAACATTGACTTCAACCATGCTTCACATGCTGTATAATTTCCATCTGCAGGTGCATTTACCCTACTAGATGCGATGGATAATCGAACAAGGTCAGGTCCTTCTCTCTAGTGAAATAAAAATGATTACTATAACTAACTTGAACCAAACTATCAAAATTATTGGCATAAGCGTTGGGTCATTGGCCATACAACAAGAACACACTTTCTATAGTAATAAAAGAAGTTACATTTTCAACAGAAATTCAAATAGGGTCAATTTTATAAAGCAATCTAAACAGTCTAGCAAAGAAGTCTTGCATATACCAAAGTTTTGAATATCAAAAATGATTTTAACGGATCTGGAGTCAGAGAAAAAATACGTTTCAACCCTGAGTTGGGAGTCATGACCCTCCGGGTTTCCTATGTTTCAGCATGATTCCTGTTCCATACAGCAGGAAGACATTTTGAACAATCTGACTACGTACTTGATCATATATCCATCTACCATGTACAAAAGAAAGTCGTCTGGCTTCTGCCAACTCTTCTTCAAGTAAATTCATTGAATTTTCCTTGTTATGTTCATCATCTGAAGATTTGTCACTAAAACAAAAATCAAGTACGGACTGTAACTCGGGGATAAGAACCTGAGAAAAGCAAACTATAATATAGGAGACTTATATCATAAATATACGATAATAATACGGTCGGTAATCTTTTGAAATGATAGCATAACTTAAATGTTCAAAAAATATAGTAGAAACGAAATTAGATAATCTTCAAAAAAGATCCTAATTGAGACTCAAATAATTAATTAAACAGGGCTACAAATTTTTCTCTTTAAAATTTTTACAATCTTGTAATGAACTATACATCAGTACAATAAAACACTATAATAATGCTATCATGCTTGTTTACATGACGCTAACATTATTTTGCTCCAAACAAAGTCCACTGATATCTAACATTCTGTGGGAACTCACTATTTTTGGAACGACTAAAATCATTCCAGATCGGGATTCCCTACCCGATTGAGATAAATTTTGAATATTTTCCAAAGTGATTACGTGTGGAGACTGAAAGAAAATAAACTCCGAAATATGAATCCCTGACACAATCTTACCTATCAAATGTTTCATCTTGTGATATTCCAACAATTGGAAAAATATGAGTCACAAGATCTTGTATTTGTTGTTTGCCAATGATTTCAAGTTCTTTACTCTGTTTCTGTAGTGATGTATGAACCTTTTCCACAACATACTGAAAAATGATTGATAAGCAGTATAGTAATTTCGATTTTTTTCATTCCCCCCCTATAAACATTCCGATGAAAAAAGTACAAAGTGACAAAACTTTCTACATGAACCTTGTGATTGATAACGTAATAACGTTGCAATATCAATAAATGGAAAGTAAATTTTTTACAGATCGTCTCTGATTGATTGATCTACTATGAGCATTCAAAGCAAGACAAAATTTAGTCAGCACTCAGCACTTGCAATAAGTTGAATCAACAAACAAAATATACCACATTAAATGAAATATAATAAAATTAAATATTAGACGGTTCAATATTTTCTACATCTTGACATTAGACAAGCAGAAGATTCCCCCCTTCGCAGGATATCTAAGTGCCCTGTTTTATCAAAATCTAATCTAACCTTCTTGGTATTCATGTAATCAGTGATTTTTGATTTTTTCAGTTGGGTTCTCTTAGATCTTCTGTGCAGTTGATCAATCGTTGATTCAACTGATTTCTTTTCCATTTCTAGTTTTTTCATCCCTTCAATTTGGATTCTACGCATCTTCTTTAACGTTTCTATTCTCAGTTTTGTCTCGATTATATCTGCCCTCTGGAAAAATTGAAATAGTGTTGTTAAGTCTGTTTTTTTATTTTTTTATATGCAAAAAAAGTTAATTTACACTGTACCAATTTTTGTCTTTGACTGAGAGTCTCAGTGGCTTCTATAACTCTGTAAAAATAGAATTGCTTACTAAAATGTATTTAACAAATGTCACGAGAAAAGGCCCGAGGACACCAACGAGATCGGCGTGTCAATCAATATGGAGCAGGTCGAACAATATGAATAAAAAATATTTCCTTTCGATTAAACTAAATCAACAAGCTTTTGATGAAATATCAGGTCCTATGAAAGTCGAAAAAAAAAAAATCTGAAAAAAAGTAATAGCTTTCTAAAAACTTCCACCATCTGTGACTGTGAATACCTAAATTTTGATAGGTTTATTAGTGTCTGAAAAAGTGATTTTTTACATCAATCATTTCAACAACAAGAATTTAGCAAACTGATACATACTTCCATCTTGTTTCAGCAGCATTTTAGACTAAAATGGAGTATATAAACAGATATAAATCAGACATGGGTGATTCATTATATGTATATTAATTATAGTATATTTGCATTGACAGATGAAGATAGTTGAGCTTTTTTTATAACTGCTACCAACCAGATTTTCACAAATCTGAATCATCTCAATATCTATTTTAGAACAAAAATAACATCAGAACATAACATAAAACTATCATAACATAAACTTTCTTACAATTTTTCTTTTTCGCTCAATGTAACACGTTTCTTCTTCAATTCCGAAACTTGAAATTTCGCCAGTCTGAAATTAGACAAAGAATTGGCGGGTCTGGTATAGTTTAGTTCAAGTTGGCCTGGCTCAACAATTTTTGCATATGTCAATCCTAACCACCACCTGACTACGTCACCGAAAAATTACGTCATTCCGACGTCACAGTGGCGTAATAAGGCCCAACGAAGTATCAATGGTCGTCCAAAACGCCCGACGATAACCCGAAACCGAGCAAGCTATTTCTCTCGTTTTCTCGTCGCAACGATCACGATAGGAGAGAGATCGCCTGCTTTAGCAAGTTCTTATCGGCGGCGCAGATGCCATTTCGGTCGATCGTAATTATACTTCGGCAACTCCTATGAAGTGATGGTGACGTCGAAGTGACGTAATTTTTTGATGCCATAGTTAGGTGAGGCTTAGGAATAACATATGTAAAAATCGTTATGCTACGCCCACTGGAAGTACTTGTGGTACTAAACTATACTAGACCCGAATTGGCAGTGATTTAATTTAACAACATTCCTAATAAAGATATATCTTGAAAATGTCAACTATTTTTTTTAGGTTTAGTAACGGTTAAATTGTATCAAATTTGACTAGACCCAATAATATTAAGACACGAAGTTAAAAGTTCTTTGAAATGAAGTTCTTTATTTTCTATCACTTCAAATGAATGTGAGTGTGTTATTATGTTCTGAAGCCATGATTTTCTGTATAATTTTTTATCTGGATTTTTCAAAATATTGCCAAGTCAATTAGGAAACAGCACAAACTGCGATAAGTAATATTGAAAAATATAAAGATACTGTATAAACATATTTGTAAACAAAACCTACCCTGATATAAAACCAGGAAACCGTTTTTCCTTTCCAGTTGGCGATGAAGGAATTTCTTGAGTTAAGAAACTCATATGTCCATCTACTTCTCTGCATTGTCGACATGAATAAAACTTCCTTACGCGTCTACATATTGAACAATTTGTTTCTTCTACTTTTATAACACGTGGCAAGATCTTTTCCGTTTTAACATTTTGACAATCATTACTATTTTTATGTAAATCCTCCATCAAAAACCAGACCTCATACGATATGCCAAAAAATATTTTGCCCTAGTGGAGCATCAGAAAGGAACCAAAACAAAGAAAATGATCTACGCTTGAATGATTTCTTCGATAGATCTAAACCAATTTAGTGTATACGCAATATTTATGACTTATATTCAAATAAAAAAATACTATATATAAATAAATGAGTCATTAACAAACGTACAACACAAGCAAAACCCAATAAAAGATAAGCCTATTTTTCATCCATCGGTCAACTGATCACGTGAGCAAATATCACCGCGCGGGGAAGTTGCATTGAGCTGAAAGTTAATGTAAAAAGACCAAGTTGAATCCGCAATTTTTTCGATTTTTTGTAGCCAAAAAGCAGAATAACGAGATGGGGGTGGACTCTGGTGTTACCCCTGCGTCTCCCAATTTGCCTTGGGTGGAAAAGTACAGGCCACAACGTTTGGAAGATTTAATTTCTCATGAAGACATTCTAAAAACAATCGGGAAATTCATGGATGAAAATCGTTTGCCTCATCTTTTGTTTTATGGTCCTCCAGGAACCGGAAAAACATCTACAATTTTGGCATGTGCCAAGCAGCTTTATTCGAAAAAGGAATTTAATTCAATGGTGCTGGAATTGAATGCATCTGACGATAGAGGAATTGGAGTAGTGAGGGAAAAGGTGACCATTTTTATATTTCTAGATATGTTAGTTTGATCTCAACTTTGGGTATGACAATGCACTAATAGTCGGTTCGCAAAATTGCTGTTTATACAGAAATGTTTATCTCATACGAACTTGACAATTTTTGGGTAATATACTCTGATTTGGATTCTTTTCAACTTGATTTCTCAATACTGCAATAAAGAAATACAAAAGCAGCATTATTGACAGCTTTAAGCCTCATTTTTCTTTCCCCAAACTATTATAACAGTATAAACAGATGGCAGCATGGTATTGTATTGACTGACGCCAAAGTCATATTTGAGTATTTGGTGATGATATTGTTCGGTATTTCCCTTTTTCGCAATAAATATGTTAAAATCATAACATAGTGCAGTAGTGATAATATTATCAACACCGTAACAGCAAAAATATGTCACTAAACTTGAAATATACACCAGGCAATGACTGCAATATAAACACATTAATAATATAGATTCACTCTCATTAAAAAAAATTCATTAAATCATTTCAGGTTCTCAGTTTTGCTAGTACAAGAACCATATTCAACAAGGGATTCAAACTGATTATTCTCGATGAAGCTGATGCAATGACGAAAGATGCACAAAATGCATTAAGAAGAGTCATGGAAAAGTTCACTGCCAACACTCGATTCTGTCTCATTTGCAACTATCTGACCAAGGTTTTTTTTCACATTCTTTGATTAAAAACTATTAAGTCAAAAGTTGGCATATTATTTTATTTTCCAGATAATTCCTGCATTGCAATCCAGATGTACAAGATTTCGTTTTGGACCGCTAACTACTGATCAGATGGTACCTCGAGTACAACATGTTGCCGATGCTGAAAACCTTGATATCACCGAAGATGGCATGAAGGCACTTTTAGCATTGTCATTTGGTGATATGAGGCGGGCCTTAAACATTCTACAAAGTACTTCAATGGCCCATGATATTGTTTCGGAAGACACCATTTATACATGTACAGGGCAACCGAAGCGCAGCGACATCGAAGATATGCTGGAATGGATGCTGAATAAAGAATTTTCAGTTGCATATCGGAATTTATCGGTTCTTAAAAAAGAAAAGGGAATAGCGTTACAAGATATTTTAACAGAAATGCATAGTTTTGTGCATCGGATAGATTTTCCTACAAATGTGAAAATCCATATTTTGGACAAGATGGCAGACATTGAATACAGGTTGGCTGCAGGGGCAAGTGAAAAAATACAAACAACGGCTCTCTTAGCAACATTCCAACAGGCTAAAAATATGACTGCAAAAGAAGTGAACTAAATATCGAACTCATTCAAAGCTCTTTCCTGTTCCCCATGCTGAAATGATGATTCTGCAATTTCGCCATCCTCGCAAGGTAAAAATTATTTGAAGAGGAGAAACTAGTAATAGTGTGCAGAAGCAACTCGAGGTCTTAAATCATTTCTGCCTTGCATACACTTGTACACAATTACAAGTTATTTGTTATCGCATATTTTTTTACGTGGAAACATTGGCCTGGGTAGCAAATAGTCAGGAAGTGGTACTCAAATGCACAGAATAATTGACTAGGGCTGTCCAAAATCGAATAGTTTTTTGATTCGAATCGAATATTTTCGCCGTATCGAACCGAATATTATTGCGCAATCCTAAATCTGTCTCTATTACACAATAAACGCCTGCCCTTCGATGTTGTGGTGACGTATGTGCAGGTACATCTTACTTACTGCTGGTATTTTGCAATACAATGTTTCAGATTTATGGAAGGAGTCACACGCTTGTATGAACTGGTCAAAATAATTGGAGGACTCCAAAATTTGGGTCTCGAAAACTGTTGAGTGTTAAGAGTAAAAATTGCAATCTCAATTCTAATGGATTCAGTTTTAATATGACATGTAAAGCCTGTAGATGCTATTTTAATCCTATTCATATTTTTTGTGTAATTTTCAGCAAAATAATAACAACCATTAATATAGATAAAACTGTTGCTCAAATTCAAAATTGCATTTAACAAATTCGAAGCTAATTTGATGACTATAATATTGTTAGTGTAAAACAGCCATCAAAATTCAAGAGTGCAACTATTTGTCTTGGTATATAGATGGATAATACAGTATTGCCATCATAAGGATCCCAAGAGACCTGTTTCAGCTTTGAGTTGTACCAAGTTCCTATGATAACTAATTTAACAGTTTCAGCTCGATTCTATTTATAGAACTATCGTTTTCTAAATTGCTTTTTTTCTCCTTGTTCTCTCTCAAAAACGTCATTACCGATAACTTTTAAGTTATGATGACCATGCATGAAATGGCTAATCTCGTGCCACCGGGCGGGCATTAGGAATGACATGTTTATCACAAAATGAAGGCGAGAGAAATATCGGGAAACCAATTAAGCCGGGAGCGAGAGTAGTCTAAACTCGAAGCGCCGCCTCTTGCCCAAGAAAAGACGTCTTGCAGATGTGGTTTCCTCTTAGCGATTCGATTTCGAATATTTGGTTCGCTTGGACAGCCCTACGCGCTGCACATTATGCTCTTGGAAGTCTGGTCAGGTCAATGATATAAGGTAGGAGGAGCAGTTGTTTTTTACCGGAGCGTATGCATAGCCGTCAGCTTTGAATATATATTTGATGCAAGTTGCTCTTTTCTGGCATGCAGCTTCACTATTGAATTTAACCACAGAAACAAAGGGGGCCAATAATTTATTACATTCTCGAATAAAATCAATAAAAAGGTAAAAAGATAAGATATATTATGTGATATTCGCGGATAAAAAATAAAGAGGTGTCCATTTATTACTTCCCATTCCATTTAAAAAATTGTGACTCTGTCTGAAGGTTCGCTCGATAACTTGTGGATTTTCAAGAGGAAAATCTCCATGAACGACTATCTCTCCCCTTGCAACAACTGCTAAATGATAGTTTGGTTTATCCGGACCCAGCATATTGCAGTCCACATTATTGTCATTTTCCGACAGGGATGTTTTCCAAGTTAAAATATTATCTGATATAGTTCTGCTCAAGTTCAAGATGTAAACGCACAACGGGTTACGATGACGTTCTAAAATGTTGTTACATTCCCCATTTAATACCGATTGTATTTCTAAAAAAGAAAAAAATACAAATGTCAGTCAATAGTAATAACGACATACTTTGAAATAAAATCTGTACAACTTGCCTTGATCTTCATACGGATAAAATCTTCTGATCGATTTTCTTTTACATGATGCTTTATTTGAAGGAGTAGAACCAAAGAAAATCAGGTTTTGTCCAACCTAGAAACAAATCTCTCAATGAGAATGACAAAAAGATAACTGCAAAATAAAAAGAAACCCGAACTCATCCGAATCTAAGTAATAATGCTAAACTGAATCGGCGTCTTCAGACCAGAGTTGAACCCAAATGGAAAAAAGACCTCATGAACTCTCACTTAGAATACGTTCAAATGCAGGTGTGGCGAACATGCGTGCTTCAAGACATTATATTAATCAACGTGACTCATAGAAGTACCTCATAGCATGTATGCAACATAAAACATGATCATATACCGGTATATGTCTTCTTTTAAAATGCTTTCACCATTTAAAAACATGTTCTGCCATTCAAACAACACTAAAATATCTCAAATTTTTGCATTAAAAATGGTTGAGTTTTACTTTTCCAATGCCATTTGAGTATATGTAGCCATGCTGTACCAATATTATTGGGTACGTCCGTAGTATGTGTATCAGGTGAGGGTTCGGCCATAATTTTATTCCATTTTCCCTATTTCAGTTCTATTACGAGTTCAGAGACTAGCCAAGTGACTCCTGTAGTACTTGTACCTGAAATTATGGCCTAACTCTAACCTGATACACATACTACGGGAGTACCTATTATTATATAGTATTACAGTTTATCGTGAAGCAGAATGAAAGTTAGTTACTACACATTATATAACAAGTAAACTCTAGGATAAGAATGCCTGAGGTCCCATCAACCCTAATCTACGCTAATTTGAGACATCAGGCTGTGTTTGAAAATAGAAAACTGGAATACCTTTACTCCACTTCTTTTAAAAACACTGATCTGTGGTAAAAAATCTCGTGGTCCGGGCCGGATAGCCAGTGAAGTGCTAGTCCACTCTCTGAATCCTGATCGAGTTAAAATCCAAGCATCTGTCAAAATTCTATTTTCTGTAGTGCTTCCTCCAACTATAAGAACTGCGCTTGAAAATGTATACTCGCTTCTGAAAGCAGCTTGTGTATGCATATGCCTGAAAATAAGAACCCATTATAGAAACTTCATAGAGATTAGGATAGTGAAGTAATTGTACAAATGCGTGTCAAATGATGATTATCGCACGTAATTATCCTTACGAGATTCAAACTAACTCACTCTTGAGCGTCTATTTTAGAGTATTTTTTCGTGACATATTTATACCCATTCCACTCTGAGCAATGCTATGTACATAGCTACAATAGTTTGGATAGACCGGCATTTCCTACCCAATTTCTTACACCCTGGGTGAGGTGGTGGACATGGTACTTGAGCCTGATATTGTGATCATGGTTGAGTTAAATTATCACAATTCACTAACTTTACAAGCAAGCGCCCACCTCTGTCTCACAAATTTGATATTACCTTGCTTCTGGTGGAGGTCCGATAATGGTAGGTTTCCACCAGTTGTATGTCGGTAAATCTAAGCACCAAATCTCAGAGCTGTCACCACCACCTCTTTCCTTTATTCCACCAAATATGAGCATACATTCATCACCATCTTCAGATTGGTTAGCTACTATACAGCTGCCATGCAGATAGAGGGCAGGTGGGGCATCTTGTATACTCTGCTTCAGTTTCCATTTACTCTAGATATAAATGAGATGTATTAGACCTCCATATATATCATAGTTGGCACAAAGCTGACAAGTTTGATATTTTGAAAATTTGTTAGGCCCAACCCAAATGGGACTAGTTCTAGATGCTAACAATTTACTAACTATATAATTAACTATAATATATATTAACTATATAATTAAGTCATTTAAATTATGAAATTCCTAACCTTCCAAATCAATACCAATTATGTACTAAGGTCCACTCTATGGCATAAAAATACGTCTAACCATACCGTATGTGTATCAAAGATGTGGAGTTCATCGCTACAATAATCAGGATGATACAAAACGAAAGGTGCTGAACGAGGCATGGATCGACCACCGTATAACACTAAAACATTCTTGTAACTTTCAAGTGAGCAGCCAAACTTTGGACGAGGAAAGTCACCTGTTGATTGAAAGTAACAAGTAATGAAAATTGTTATGTTTCGTGATATTGGATACATGGAAACAATTAGTTCACTTATATCCCCATTTGATTCAGATTTCGTTCAAATGTGTCAAGGACATTTATTCTCCAATTGCAATTTGTTAACTGTAAACTGATAAATTTAAAATATATGAAATAATAAAATTCTATACCATAGATGATTGGTCTTTCCCAGCGTTTAGTATGCATATTGAGCCGCCATAAGTCATTGAAACCAGCAGATTGGGAACCAACAGACCGACCCCCAAACACATATACTGATCTTGTTTCATCATTATAACACATAGAATGAAGTAATCTTGGTGACATAAAGCTTGAATTAGCAGGATGACGAGACCTGGAAATGATATGTGTTGTATATTGATTATGAATTCAATTTTAATTAATAATAAGAGTGGCTGTTCAACACTCCAGACATAAGGATATTTTTCACTAAATTAAAAATGCTTTGTCAGTTAATTGAGATAACCTTATGAATATTATTAAATCAAGTGACAAAAATATTGCAATTTTCAATTGTATTCAGAGCCTATGTTAATAAGTGGAGAAGTAAATATATTGATTTAAATCTAGAGATTAGGGGCACACATAAAACACTGGTATAATAGATTGGACAACTTTAAAACATTTTGTTTTATGTAGGATTTGTTCTTAATACTCACACATTCAAACAAACTTCTGTCCAAGCGAGTTTTCTAATGTTAAAAGCTTCTTCAAAACGTTTTTGTAGTTGGCTTGCAACCCCTGAAAAAACGCCAAGTTCAATACACTGAAAACAAATATGGAAAATGGGGAAGGGGGGGACCCTTGGTTAAAATGATACAATTCTGTTCTCGGTAACCCAATTAATAGAAAAAAATGACAACCCAGTACATGATCAGTCTCTAGCAAAATCAAGCACATTGTATTCATGTTGCTATCTTTTACTGAACTTGATTTTTGAAAACGGGTGAATAATCTGGTGAAATAATACACTTAATCATTAGGATAGGATTCACATATTTATCCCGAGGAGAGGAAAGCAGACTTAATGCAGCATTGCATGGCTTAATATTCTCATATCCTAAAAAACACAATCAAATATCTCTCAAGCTGGGCTCTATTACTAACAGTGGAGGTTCCTCCACAATTAAACCGTATGTCAATTCACGTATATTGTTAACAAGAACAAGCACCTGCGATAACTCGTCTCCACTGTTTGCATACCAAAGCAACATTGTCATACTCCTGGTAAGGTGAGAGGTTCAAGAAAACCTTTTCCAAAATTTCCTCTGGCAGAGACTAAAATAGAAATATTGGAATTATTAATGTTTTCAATACCGTATACCGGTATTTTAAGAGTGTGGTATGATGACGGTTAACAAGGTCACTTGCATTTAATCTTCCAGTTGCAATTTTTTTTTTTTTATGGTTCCAACAAAGTGGAATTTTCAATAATTAAATAATAAATAAGATAATAAATAAGGGACATATGTATGTGCAAATAGGAAAATAAGTATATACATTAACGACAGCATCATCAGTTGAAATATTTAAGCCGCTGAAATTGGTTACGAATATATTTCTAGTACTACTTACCTCAATTGTTGGCTTCATGATTGCAGCGTGCTGGCATTTATTCCACTCATTCTAGCCGCCTGACTGCATGGGCATCAACAGACCGCAGTAAACTACTGGCCTTCACTGTTAATCTAGCGCAAAACATTTACTATTTAAACTGATTCCCACGCGGAGTACGGTTTCCCATCAACGAGGTTTCGATTGACACTTTACCGGAATGACTAAATGAACTCACTCTTTCAAAATTTAATATCACAATTGAAACATTGAACAGAAAAAAAATAAAGTTTTAATAACACGTAAAACAAAATCGTGCTCTTAATTTTGCAAACATCATTGAAAAATCAAGAAATTTTCAGATAATCCGGTCGTATCTTTTATATATAATCCGAAAATCCAGAATAATATTAAAATATAGTTTCTATTTTTTTTAGAAAGTTGTATTAAGTTATGTTTTTGAAGTTTTCTATTAGGCCTGTCGGCAATGTCGTCGCTTGGATATCTATTTTTATCGGGCAACTTTTTCATTTATTGGGAACACTTTTTTTCTGCATAGGCAGTAGGTATAGACACCAGCGGTGTGTTCTGATTCGGCTTGCATCCGCCACGAGTACTGAGCTGCCGCTGTATATTGAATCGCCGGAGGTGAATGTCAGATAGCAACAATCTGTTATTACAACGTTATCATGGATATTAAACCCAGCAACACAGTTTATGTGAACAATCTTAACGAGAAAGTTAAGAAGGAAGGTGAGATTTTTATATAACTGTTATATTCAGTTTTTATTTATTAGTTTTTGTCAAATATTTTATCTCTTGTTATGAGATAGATAGATAGTTTATTTCGAAAACTCCATAACAAACCTAAATTAAAAATGGAGAATTCTGGAGGGCAAGCAAAACCTACAAAAAAGTTTAAAACATGAAGTATCTCATGTGCCTGCCCACCAGCACGCACACAAAAACACAAGCCCAATTAAATGAGGCTTGGGCCAAACTTAACAAACAAAATACACGATAGTAATAAACTTTCGGGCTGTTGTACTCTCTTTCAACAATTACGTTGATAATGACCAATACCTACAACCTCATGCAAAGATAATGTGGGGAGTGGAATGTAATAAATTTGCGACGATAGTCATACTCATGAAGCCATGAAAGCTTTAAGAAAAACCAAGCCATGAAAAACTACACTGATTGCTAGATTGGGCATTGCGGAAAAGGTGATAAGTGGTTTAATATACAAACAAACGCAAAACCATGGCGGCAAATTCGGTGTGCGGACACTCATTAAAGCAATTATTAGGAAAAACACTAATCACACGTGAGCAGGTCTGTAGCCTAATTGATACATTGACGTGGCCAACATTGTTAAAACAGTACCGGTATACACACAGAGAGAACAAATCAAAAATATGCCACTAAATGAATGTTTAAAAATGTTACACTGTAAGTTACACTGCAAACTATTTACTAGGGCCCGACCGATATATCGGCCGGCCGATATATCGGCCTTGTTTTTCACAAATTTTGAACTATCGGTATCGGCTAATTTTACCGATAGTTATCGGCTAATCACGTGACTGCCAAAGTGTCAAAATTGCGCCGGGAAAGCAGTTTTATCGCTTGTTTAATTCGAGAGCGGTTCTGCGTGAAACTCTTATTCTTCACTATTTCTATTTCTCTCTTATCAAAAGCGGTTTCACGGACGATTGCGACACGGGATTTCACACTTTGCAAGCAAGTTTGCAGCGTGGTGGCTTACAAATCGAAGCAATAGAACAGGTGAACGGCTTATTTGTGTCAAATAATATACGCTAGATAGAGAATTTTCGCGTAGTTTACACGGCGCTTGATTTTCCTTGCGCTTTAGTCGTTGAAGGTATTATTTAACTTCTTGTATTGGTATGTTATAGATGGCTGGTTCTAGCGGTAAGAGCAAAGTATGGGAATACTTTGTATGCCACAGTGATGGTGTACTTTGTAAAATATGCTCATCATTGTTAAGTCAAGGTTCCGCCGATTCCAAAAAGAAAAACACCAGTAATTTGTGGAGTCATCTCAGATCGAAACACAAGAGCAAGTATGATGAGATTTCGCAGACGCAGTTAACGCGAAAAAGGCCAGCTGAAGCTTCCCAGTTTAATCGGCAACCTTCATGGGAACACATAATGGATAAATTTAATAAATGGCATGGAAATGACGCAAGAACGAAATCACTTGATAAAATAATAATGGAGATGATAGCCACTGACAACAGGCCATTTGCAATAGTGCAAGATGATGGATTCCGCAGGCTAATAGAAACCATTGAACCTCGCTACGCCCTAAAGACTGAGAAGTATTTCAGAACAGAAATGCTGCCACAAATATATGAACTTGTGAGCCAGAAAATAATGACTCTTCTCGTGACAGAAAATGCTGGCGATGGATTGGCTTTTACTACAGACTGCTGGTCAGGACCAACAGAATCACTTATGAGCTTGACTGTTCATTTTATAAATTGTAATTGGGAAAGATTCCAAATTGTATCAAACATCAAGGCCATGCATGGCTCGCATACTGGAGAGTACATAGGAACCACTTTTTTGTTTCTAATATAAGGCGTTGAAAATTGCTATTCTTAAAAAAACTTAGTGATGCACAAATTTGCATTTTTTTATAATCATTGCATGAGTTTCAACATTTATTTCTTTTGCAAGAAAAACACAGAATTCTCAGAGTGTTGTTTGTTACTTGTAGCAATTTTTTTATGTGGCGAAACATCGGTATCGTTATCGGCTTATCGGCCTAGTTTTGGAAAACTAGCAGTATCGGTATCGGTTCAAAAAGGCAGTATCGGTCGGGCCCTACTATTTACACATATATAGTTGAATACTCAGTATTCAAGCGGAATTTCGAGAAATAGCAGTATATCATACTCTGTCACAAAATAAAATATCTGAATCAATCCCTGATGTATTCATCTTTCGATTCTGTTATGATGTCCGTATGTTGCCTTTATGCTGCCATATAATTTCATATTTCGGCCTTTACTTGTTGATATTCCTTAAGTGCTGGTTCATTGTTGTCAATCTAATCTTTCTGCGCCGTTCAAAAATGCGACGCGACCGCACCCGACGACTGCCAAACACAAACTTTAAATCCAATCTTTTATCCATAAACTTCTTTAATTCCGGTGGATGGGCCTTGATCATGTTGATATCACGAGATACAAATCTAATAGTAAATACCGAAACACACAGAGCGTAGCATTCTCAGTCCAACAGCATTGATTGATCTTTCATCTAACAGGGCAACAAAAACACGTCCGACCCAGACGGCAGTCTGGCAAAACTCACTACTGCAACCATAGACTACTTGGACAGCAAACAATCAAGTATTTATGCTGATTATGGGATCGAAATAAACTTATCCTTGAACTGTTTAATGAAGTAGTTGGTTGATCCATTTCTATACGGTATCTCTACTGCCTATGTGCTGAATGGCTGACCAATTTGCCGGGTCTCCTGAAGTACACACCCACATATACTTAACAATTTTTGCGTATGTCGTTCCTAACCCCAACCTGTCTGACCTGTGTACGTCATCCGAAAATTACATCACTGCGAAGTGGCAGAGACGTCATACGGCCCTCCAAAGTATATGGATGGTTGCGCAAACAATCATCCGAAATCGAGCAAGCAATTTCTCTCGTTATCTCGTCATAACGATAAGAAAGAGAAAGGTTGCTGGCGTTAGTGAGTTCATTATAGTTTATTTCAAAAAATCATAGCTATACTTTAGCAAGCTCTATGACGCAATTGTGACGCCGCAGTGATGTAATTTTTGGGTAACGAACTTAGGTAAGGGTTAGGAATATCATATGCAAATATCGCTGCGCTATGCCCACTAGAAGTACTCGAGGCTGTAATGGACCTTTCCCCGAAAAGAATTCGAAAAAGCTGTAATGGACCTCTCCCCGACCTTTGACCCCCGAAAATATTCTTCCTATACTTTACCATTACAAAATTTTCGTTGCTTATTTCAAGAATTTCGGTTTTGCTTCGGGCTCGGGCCTGCAAATCCAGTTAATTAGTCGGAGTCGGGCCTGCAAATCCAGTTAATTAGTCAGGCTCTGGTGGGTCGGGCTTGCAAGTCCAGTTAATTAGTTGGAGTCAGGTCGGGCTGGAATTTTTGGCCCGATCTAACCCCTAATCAGCATACAGGTATACCAGCCATATTTCTGTATTCAATAAATGAGTTTTTGGGTTGGCCTAGTGGTTTTTATCATAAAAATATCCCAGTCAGTTTTTAACAACAGAGTAATTGACTGACATAATGAATATTTTTTTCCAGAGTTAAAAAAGTCACTTTATGCGATCTTCTCACAATTTGGGCAAATATTGGACATTGTGGCTCTGAAAACACTGAAGATGCGTGGGCAGGCTTTTGTGATCTTCAAAGAAATATCGAGTGCATCTAATGCAATACGCTCAATGCAGGGTTTTCCATTTTACGACAAACCTATGGTAACACTTTTGAAATTAACCTTTTTTTTTATTGATTGAAAAGTAACTCCCTATTTTAAAATAAATACAATTTATTCAAATGCTATATCATGTTTCATGTTTCTAAATTTATGTGTATATATTACTTAATATATGGCAATTTAATTTATGTTCTTGTTTTCCTTTCAGATTTGTTTAAATATTGTTCAATTTCAATCTTTTCAAATTTATTTTATTTCAAAACCCTACAAAAATGGCTGGACGTCTTACTCTACAGGAACGTGCCCAGATAGCCGCGCGTTATGAAGTTTGGGGATGCATTGTTCAAGTGCAAAGATGGTGGAGAACTATTAAGGGAAAACATGCCCAAATTGACCCGAAGACGATCAAGAATTGTCATAAAAAACTTATGACCACAGGATCTGTGGCTGATACTCAAAGAAGCGGTCGTCCTTCCAAATCAAGAGATCCTGAGGTAGTGCAAGTTGTTAAAGAAATGTTTACCCGTAGCCCACATAAGTCAATTCGTCAAGCAACAAGAGAAAGTGGGCTCTCCTTTCATTGTGTACGTAATGTGCTAAAAAACGAGCTTAAATGGCGTGCTTGGAAGCCGCATTACTGTCAAGCACTCTCTGCAGAAGACTTTGACATTCGTATGGAGTTTGGTGAAATAATGTTGGCTTGGTTTAGAGATTGGCCCAACCTTTTTAAAAATATTCTATGGAGTGATGAAGCTGTATTCCACATAGGTGGATTTGTGAACCGTCATAACTGCCACTACTGGGCGGAAGAAGATCCTCGTGTTACTTGTGAAAAAATGCAAAATCGATCCAAAGTAACGGTATGGTGTGGAATTACTTTTGATAGGATTGTGGGTCCCTTCATTCTTCGCGATACCATGAATGCCGAAAGGTACCTCGCTATGTTGAAAGATGAAATTTGGCCAATTATCAGTGCTTGGGAAAATATTGAAGATTTGATTTTCATGCAAGATGGAGCTCCTCCACACTTTGCTATTGTTGTTCGTGAATGGCTAAATGCTCAATTTCCTGGAAGATGGATGGGTTGTCGCGGTTCGCACGAATGGCCTGCCAGAAGTCCTGACTTAACACCCTGCGACTTTTTTCTCTGGGGTTGGCTGAAAGAGGAAGTCTACTCAACCAAACCAAGAAATTTGGAAGAACTTGAGGGGCGAATACGTGAAGTTATGACTTCCATCCCGCAAGAGTTTCTTGCGAAATCAGTTGATGCGATTCCTGGTCGACTTGAGAAGCTGGTGGCAAATAAAGGCGCCCATATTGAATTTTAAATAAAAGCCCATGCATTATACTTCCTTCTCATATTCATTAATTGTAGAAATTATATTTTAAAAATAAACTATAGTTTTTTTAAAATAGGGAGTTACCTTTCAATCACCCTGTATATCTGTGCAATTTGACAAAAGGTAATTTATATTTTTAACAATCCATACTGATTTTTGTTGTTTGCTTCTTGTGATGTATAGAGAATCGCTTATTCCAAGAAAGATTCAGATATAATTGCAAAACTCAAAGGAACATTTCAGGAAAGACCAAAAAAGAAAAAGAAGAAAGAAACTAAATCCAAGGTTGATTTTCAACTCCTAGGAACATTGCATGTTATTCAGTAGTTTTATATATTATTTAAATGTATCTACATTACTTTCAGGCAAAAAAAGGAGCATCAAATGGACCAGCAGCCGCAGCCATGCCAGGAATGATGCCAAGTAGGCTTTGATAAGATATTTATTTGTAGCAGTGTTTGTACGTTATTAATATTCAACTTATGTGTAAAAATTGGATTCATTACATCGCTATTAAAAACTTGAAGAATGGAAGATGGAAATTAGTCTGAAACTAGATTTTAAAAAATTTAATTTTTTTGTTTTCTTGCTATTTGTTCAATTTCCATATTTTGCCATTTGTAGTGGTACCTGGGACGAAGCCAACTGATGATGGCAGAAACAATCCACCAAATCATATTTTGTTTTTGGACAATTTGCCAGAGGAAACAGATGAAGGAATGCTTAAAGTTTTATGCAACAGGTATTTATCTGGAAGTTGCTCGCTTGGAAGGATTGTTCAACAACTGATAGTGTCAATTCTTATATTACTGTTGTTTTTAGTTTCATGAGTTAAGAAGATTAACTTTGTACGTTAAATGTTCAGGTTCCCAGGATTTAAAGAAATACGTATGGTTCCTGGCAGACATGACATTGCGTTTGTTGAATTCGATAATGAAGGACAATCTGCATCTGCAAAAGACTCACTGGAAGGTTTCAAAATTTCTCCAACTCACGCAATGCATGTCACTTTTGCTAAAAAATGATCTGCCATTGTAGGTAGTGTTTTTCGTGATTCAAATTGATGATGAACCAAAATTGTTATGAAGTATTTGGAATACTGGGAGGGAGAGAATTGATATTTTCTCTCCTATCTCTTTTGTGATCGTAAGTTGGCGATATTTGTTTTCATACTCTGCACCCCAAGGCTGCATCATATGCTGGCATTGCACACTTGGATTTTTTTTACTGATTCTGCTAAATAAATGAAAATTGAAGATTTAGGTGTTTTCTATTGATGACCATTTAGTAGGGATTTGCTGTGGGAAGTGTTGTGTTCAATGATATCCATAACATACTGCTGATTTCGTTTTAAGAAAACTTATATCTTTAATTATCCACAGCCAAACATATATGTACGGCCAAGACAAATATCGGATTAATCCTCTTATTTTTCATCCATGTTTGTTTATCTCATTGCCAATTGGACCTAAATTCGTAGTATTTTAACGAAAGTGACGAAGGGTCTCGATATAAGGGTGATGGCTTCCAGGAAAGTTTCTTGATCATCGTGGTTTTTGTTCTGATTGAACCGCAATTTTCACAAGACAGCTGCTTTGAAATTCGGATCACTTAAAAAGGATAAGATGTTTTTACACTGTGATGTCACATCCGTTCTTCGAGTGTCCGGTCATTCTTACCATATATCTCTCATGCCTAAAAGGCCAGTCTGTCCAATGGACCTTTCCCCGAGCATCGACTTCCTTATTTACTTCGTGACATTGGCTAATCAGCAAGATGCGAAAAGTGACGTAACAATGCTCCCTTTTCGAGGCGCAGTTCTTACCACTTCATGGCAGCTCCTGCCACGAATAAACCGCGGCAGCTCTTGCCATAGGTTTTATAGCGCTTTTCAGTATTTAGTAATCAGTATTAACGGTATATTCACAAATTAATGTACCAGATTTTTATTGATCATGCGGAATTATATCTACTTAAAGCCTAACCTTAACCCCAAATCCGTCAAAACTGTATCCATAAGAAAATCGTTCCAACTTACCCAATATTTGTCACCATAAGGGACAGCCCTGTCTTTACGGCCCACCTTCCGTGGTTACGGCAGCAATATTTTACCTGCCATTGGGTTTTCAATTTGCTGCCGCGGTAACGGCAGCTCGTCATTGGTTTGTGGCAGCTAAAAAGTCAGTCGTCGTAGGTTCGGCCGTAGCGGCCATGGTATGGAAATACCGCCATGGTTTTGCGGCAGCTGCAGACGCCACAAAATACTTAAAACTGCACTTGCCCTTTTCGCATCCGCTCAGACACTTTTCTCACTTAGACAGATTTTCAGGCGCGGTCGTAAACATTACCTCGTTTTCGAATTTTTGAACTGTATTGGTTAGTTTTCAGTTGTGATGCGGAAACTTAAATATAAATCAGATAATTCAATGATCACTCTGTCTTCCTAGGAGGTCTAATTTAATTGCAGTAATAAAAAATTAGTGTAGGAATAGCTGTGATAGACAGACTAGGCTAAAATTCTTTACCGGTACTTTTAAAAATCAGATTGTTGTATGCGATGAATCATAATGATGGTTTGAAACACATACCCCATTTTACAGGCGCCAACTCGCAAAAGCACTCTTAAAATAGCCCCGACAATTTTGCAATGGTAAAGAATTTTGCGGGGGTCAAAGATCGGGGAAAGGTCCATGAGTCTACCACGATGCAGCGGTATTTATTGTTGTTAAATGAGGAAAATACGATAAATCTACGTAACTCATTACGCACGTTGATTTTTTTTTGGTAAGCGCATTTACCAATCATTAATAATTTATTCAAATTCAGTTTTTATGCGCTCTTCCAAAAAAGGGCAAGAAAAATTTTGCTGAAAGCAATGATGTTGGATTTAAAATAGTTTATTAGCAAATATTGGAAAATTATTAATGTGAAATATAATGCAATGGTTAGAAAAGGAAGCCACCATAATTTGTGCCAGGTCCGGCTTCATTGGATATGATAAACTTGACTCCAGCTCTAACAGAGTGTTACGGCTCAGCTGCAGTCCAGGTTGTGTAAAGGACGTGTAAAGGTTACGGTGATGCTTGAAAAAATCAAAAACTTTAGGAATATCTGGTGAATTACGATGCAACAATGGGACTGTCTCCCATGAGTCACCACCGGTAGTCAACCTGGTAGAAAAGATGGTCAGAGCTAGTTACAATATTCAATCAATTGAACAAAGTCATTGCTCTAAAAAAACAATCCTGCAATGCTCAGAGCCGTAAATAAATTATTGCATAGATTAGCCTTATCAAAGCTTCCCACACTTAATGACGGTTCTTCTGTTCAAATACAAAACCTGGCTGGACCAGCAACCTGAAATAAAAAAGCGATGGCTTACCACTGTACCATGTTCTGATGTTTATTCATACCTGTGTTTTAGGTGTCAACTCTGCAGCTATATTATAAATGTCTACTGAAATTAAAGTATCTGGTGACATAGAGACTCGGCAACGTTTACATGGCTTGGATATATTGGTGGGAGAAATTCAAAGCATGAAAAATACTGGAAAGGTTTTTAAAAAACAAGAAAACAGCAACTTGTTTTTTTTAACTGATAAAGAGCACATCTTAGAGTCTTGCAAAAAAGAAAAAGAGAAACTTATTAAAACAAATCATTCTGCAACTCACAAAGCAAGCATATGATATTCTTGAATTTGCATGGCAAATTTAATTGTTGATCCTATCTTAATGCTTAGACGTATTCAAGCACACCAGAGTTATATCAAGCCAATTTTAAATATCAATGCCAATAATTCTAAAGGCTCAGTAATGAAACCTCCGAATATTCTGGTATACCAACCAAAATCTATTCAAAACTGTCCAAAAGATTGTCTTACAGTTGCTGTAGAAAGATGCCTCCCGTTAGATAAGTTTGCTGTTTATCGTTTACGATATGAAGAGGCTGCCAGTGCTCCATGGATGGACAATTGCCAACTGTTAGTTGTACCAAGTACAGCAAGTAAAAATGTTGACCTGGATGAATCTGAAATTGTTTTGTTCGAAAAGTACCTTTCTTTACATGGAAAGATTCTTAGCTTTTCTTCGGAAGTTGCAAAATATTTTAAATTCCAAACTCGCGACATAGAACCTGTTGATAAATGCTGTTTCATAGATAAATTTAACAAACCATTTTCTGAAGCTCCCGTTTTAGAATTCTGCGGGCGAGTGTTTCAATCTTCTGATAGTTTTCAATCAGCGTCAAACAGTGTTGTATTATCTTCAAAATTTAATGATTCCCAACTGGATCCTGTTGCAATAATATCAGTTCGAAATGGTGGGAAAATATTGCATTGCTCGCTGCCTTTGTTGACATGCTGTGACTCAGGCAAGCATTGTTGTCAAGATTGCTCAGTGGATGAAAATAGCAAAGTTCTGTTGAATTACTTTTTCCGGGAGTTGGATATTGCAACTATGTCTGAATTGAATATGTCAATTCCAAAAGAGACACCATGTGTTATCCTAAGTAAAAATCCTGATGAACTGTCTGCATTTTTTAAAGACTTGGATATTGTCCATCCTGAATCATGTGTCTTGAAAGGCACTTCAACAAGCCTAAAATTTATGCAAGTCCAAGGTTTTACGAGTGAATTGATGCAGTCATTGGTATCAAGTAATACCACAAACCCATTCGTACCTGTCCTTCATTGTCCGAGTCCTGAATCCGCATCAAATTCAATAAATTTTGATTGGATAAAATTCCAACAGAATTTGAAAACAGAAAGATTTGCGAAAACTATTATTTACTCAGATGTTGTCACTTCTACAATGGACATTGTAGAACCTTTTACAGGGAAGATGTTACATAAAAATGACATTACTGTGACTTGTATTTCTAAACAGCAAACTCAAGGTAAAGGGAGGGGTGGTAATAAATGGTTGAGTCCAATTGGTACGGCCATGTTTTCCCATGTATTGTCAGTATCTAAATGGTCAAATTTGGGTCAACGTATGTCTGTTTTGCAACATTTGACAACTGTATCTGTTGTTCACGCGATACGTTCAATTCCTGAGCTGAATAACTTAGATCTACGGGTAAAATGGCCAAATGATATTTACATTGGAAGAGACATTAAAATTGGTGGTGTTTTGGTCAAGTCTACGATGTTCAATAACAATCTGATTGCGACGATCGGTTGTGGAGTTAATGTCAGCAATGATTTTCCAACCAAGTGTATCAATGATGCTATAAGAATAGCAAATATTCCATATTCACCTTTAACATGCGAAGAAGTTTTAGCACGAACATTGTCATGTTTAGAGGATATGATAAACTCTTATCAGGTAAATGGGGCAGACGAATTCCTAAAATTATATTACAAATACTGGATACACAGCAATCAAGAAATTCAAATTTCTCACCCAAGCAACAAAGTTTTTACTAAAGGTGTGATAGTTGGGATCGACAGCAGTGGGTTTTTATGTGCCGATCTCCATGATGGCAAAAGAATTAGTCTTCAGCCAGACAGCAACAGTTTTGACATGACTAAAAATCTTATAGCTATGAAATCAACACATTGATCCTGCAGATGCTGAAAAATGGCCTGTTATTATTGTTTAATTAATTTCATATTTTATTACTTATTTATTACACTATGACTATGTACTGGAGCATATCAATAGTGAATGGCATCCGTGATTGGATGTGCTATTTTTCCTTAATGACTGAAAATATTTGCTTGTATTAAATATACCTCCGACACTCAGAGGTAGAAATAATGAACTGGCAGGGTTATCATTCTTATTTTACGAACTATAAGGCGCACTCTCTCCGTTTTAACTAAAATCAATTGTGCGAATTATAACCAGTGCAGGTGGCGGTACCACTGTTTCGCCCTTTTTTTGAATAAAATGAAATAAAAAATATCATGTTTATTTTTTTAATGAGCTCTGTACGGTAACCCGAAACTTCAAAAACCGTTGCCTCTCATGTGTGGACAAAACCCCAATGTGAGCTATTAACTGACGCTGCGACTAATGGTCAGTAAAATATAGCAAAGCAGCTGTTTTGACGATTATATTCTTTACGTATCAGGATTTATTGTGAGACAAGTGTAGACTAAATTATATTATAATCTAACAAGTATGAAATTCACAACTACTCGTTTAATGAACCTATAATTTAATTATAATTAGACAAATGGTAACAAAACGCGGAAAAGTTGATGCTAAGTGCAAAGGGTTCAATGGTGCCAAAAATATTCAAATGGAATTTCTTTGAGATGCAATGCAATGGGGAAATAAATTTATATTCTTTTTGAGAGATGTATCACTGCTTGATTTTTATTATAAAAAGTATCATCCGTTCGGTTTTCAACTTTCCAAAAAATATATGCGTCCCGCCAATGACTTGCAACCCTTAAATTTGGCCTGCGAGCGACAAAAGTTTGCCGACCCCTGCTCTAAATTCATCCGTTGTCAAATTGACTGAGGAAAGCTGAAGCTGATTTGATAATCTCTGTGGTCGGTGTTCCCATACACAGATATAGGATTTCCACTCAAACTTGCCGAATCGAGAGTCGTAGCTGACTTGCAATGAACAATCCACACCAGATGCCATTTTCCAGTTAAGACTAAAACAAAAGTTTTAATGTTGTACCACCTATTGGAAAGTTCCTGTGTTATACAAGTGTATCAGAAATAAAGAAATACTATCAGAATGGATCGTAGGCCTAACTACAAAAGCAAAAGCAAACCAGAAATGCTAGTAAGTGCATGATAAAAACAACCGAGAGAAAATGAGATCAACAATACAAATAAATTTGAAAACTAAATAAATGTAAAATAATGAAATTAAATGAATAGAAATATGCAATTGCCCAAACCAATAACTACACGCTCAACATTTATATATTTTGCCTTTGTGCGATCAAATAGCCGCCTGATAAAAACATCTATATATATACATGGATTATTTAAATGACCTATTCTTTTGATGTTTCGGTTGATGGGTTTTGTATTTCCTCTTCTATGTGGCAAGCTTTTTTTGTTAAAGCGTCTTCGGTCTCTGTCGTGATCAATCCTACATGCTAAAATCATTTGACCAACGCGACTTCCTACCCGATGTTCAGTGCTACTTCATCTTACATGACGTTATCGACATCGTTCTATGGGTGCCACAGCAGTTTATACTGTAGTTGCGGAAAAGTTTGTTTCGTAGACTCCTATATATATATATATTTTTTTTTTTTGCCACCAGTTCCTATCTGAATATATTTGTATCTCCACCTTTTGTAAATAAATTGTACGATAATGATGATTATCTAGAGCTGTACAGCAAATTGTCATGTCAGGAAACTCAGTCAGCAATACAAATTTTTCTGTATCACTGCTGAGATGATCGTAAATGACAATATTTTTGATTATTCATGGAAATTGAATAACATATTATACAAATGATTTCGAAATGTAGCGCAAACAGATTTGAACGAAGCACTTTTTTGAGCTCGTCATCCTTGTAGGCCTGTGGTAAACTGCAAAAATTCATCGCGCGGACAGCTCGAACTTTCGGCAGCCCTGTTTTTCACATTTATAACACCCTGATGTTCCCTCCCAAATGTTTCTAAGTTGCCTAATATTACCAGAACGAAGCACCTGACGAGATCTGTTTGGTAATCTAAAATATCATGTCGCGAAGGAATCCACTCAGTAGTTTCCATGGCGTTGTATTACATTGGCACGAAGTCCTATTCCTCCTGACCCTATTAAGACATTGATAAGAAACAGAGAATTCCATCAAATAATCAATTTTATTTGAATTCGATCATGGTTATATGATAAACTTCATCAAAAGATGGATCTGCTTTTTTTTTGCAATAATTTGACAATAAACAAATAAGCAACATAAAAGTATTGGACTTCCGATTGCAAATTTTCTGTGATCTGTTCTTGACTGGAAAAATCGTTTAGTCTTCGGATTTCTCCATTTCTTCATCTTGTTCAACTTCTTCGGCTAAAAGTAAAAGAAATAAATAAACGGGGGTAAAAGGAGATACGAGAATAAAAAAAATCCAAAAATCTTTTCTGTCTTACTCAAGGCAGGGAGGTCTTCGGCGTCTTCGTTGAATTCAGGAAGCAAATCCAGGAGTTCATTCACGTCTTCTGAGTCCTGTATGGATATAAATTAGCGTTCACTCATGTACTGTGATTTATTATAGTTTAAACTAATCCGTGCTGTTTTTGTATACTAAAAAGTATTATATTCGATTAAATACATTTTGTAAATGAATGTATAATTTATTTTTACCTCGACAGGCTCCATTTCTGGCATGTCTTCATCTCCACGGGCAATACGGCTGTTAAAAAAGTCATATGTGCCATGGTTATATTGAAAAATTTGAGAAATTTCACCACATAATAAAACTATTATTTACTAAGATATTTCACCAACTATATTCATTGGTATAAATTGGCCCATAAATATGAAATCTTGAAGTAGGCTAACGAGATTTTTTGATGCAGCGAATAATAGGCGAGGTTGCTCAATAACTCCAATGGTGGTAACACACACACATAAAAAAAATAAAAACGATAATTCGACACCACATTGCTTGATCAGTACGTATTTATTTGTCTTCAACACATACACAATGCATACCCCATATTGAAAAAATTGGCTTGTTTGAGCCTACTATAACAGTCCTACCTGTGAACGTTGTGCATATTGGTAGATGCAGCACGCATGCGGTTCACGAACGCCAACAGTCTGCGGTAGTGCGTCAGAAGTTTGATGTACTTGCCGTAACTAACAGTTCTGCATTTAGATTCGAGTGCATTGTAACTTCTAGCGAGTGCGATGTAACGTCTTCTCCAGTACGCGGCTTGTCGAACTTTAATATTGTAGGCTCTTCTACTCACGTATCGAGCGTCACTCTCCTCGATTGCAAAAATTGCAACAAGAACAAGGGCAATGACTAGCTTCATGTTGCAAACCTGTTGTGACATAAATAAAAAAATGTCTATATACTCTTAACGAAGTATTAGATTAAACCGAATTAGATTAGATTCATACCTGTGGTTTATGTTTCCAAACAATGTGTAGTAAAGACAATATCTTCTCGAAGTGGATTGCTGTTGTCGGATTCCTCTATTTATACACTGCCATCTACTATTTTGCATTCATTAAGAACTTTCTATTAAAATCGAATTATTGTTATAAGCAATATGACCATGACAGATTGTGCGCAATATGCAAACGAATGATCAGTTATTCAAAATTTCGAGTTGTTCTGTTGTTTGTAAATTATAAGGCTTTCCGGAAATATTCAAAGATCCACTGCTGATAATTTGATATCCAAAGATGGTCTACTTTTGAATTCCAATTTTTTAACGCTTTGATCTTCACAAAACTCTGTATGAATTGTTCGAGAGATTTCATTTGTATGAACAAAATTTTGTAACAGACCATTTGCGGTTATTTCCTGGTTTATTTCCTGAAGTTGGCAATCGCTCCGGCTCAGGCTACTAACTGTAAACTATTTCACAACCGATTTGATAATTTAAAAAAAGACGTGCATAAAGAAATATACACAATGCCGAAACCCACACATTTTTCATTAGTAAAGTTACAAAAACATTCCGATTTTTATATTAGTATCGAGATTCAGTGAAATGTGTGTATACTAGATTTTCAACGTAGACAATTATTTGAAAATGTTTGTTAATGAACTTCCAGAATCCATCTCCCTACATTGCGTGTCAAGTATTGAGATGGGTTTAGTATGGATCACTTCTCCGCAAGACAAATACTAAAATCCAATTTTTAGCGATGTGCAAAAACATGTCATATTTTGAAGATATAGCGGGTACAAAATTCACGGGTTCGCTTTTTAAAATAGCGTTCCTAAATATAAACAATAATTTTAAATCTAAAAAGAACAGTTGTAATATAAATAAAATAAGAGATTTGAAGCCACATCTGAGTTATATTTTTGCATTGAAATGTTCATGAAGCAACGCTTCCTGTTTGACGCAATTAATACCAGATGGCACGATGAGAGCAATCGTTTAGAATTTAAATTTTCTGTTCTTTGTGTATTAGGTTGTTTTGCATATTCTCGCTTTTGTTTTTGTCATTCAAATTGTAGAAAATTTCTGATTGAATTGTAATTTTACACCGTTAAATCCTGATTGTCCTGAGATAATTAATAAATACACATTGCAGCAAGTAATTTTGATCTTACAGAGCGTAAATGTCCATATTTACCTACTTTTCTCTAGATCATAATTACGTTATAAGTAAATGTAAATACACTGAAAGTATAAAAATACAAAAAGTTTGCTAAATGAAAAATTTTTGATGCTCTTTTGAGAGTGTTTTAGAAGTCAGCGATTACAATCAGATTTACATGTACAAGGCCATTATTTTCATTAAAAATATTCAACCACGTGAAGGTTCTGATAGTTAATTTTAGACTGGGGAGAAACTTTTATTTACTTCAACTACACTAAAACTCTTCAGAAGACATGATTTTTAATTCTGTTATTTCATTTACAACTTATTGTTGGAAACACAACTCAAAACTAACAATTAACTCGCAAAAACCACGAAAACGAGACAATGAATGTTTCCTCGAGCACACCAATTGAAATTTGTCTAACCGCTCAGACAGATATTTAAGCTTGATTTTAAACATTGCCCCGTTTTCTCAGTTTTGCGTGTTATTTGTCAGTTTTCATTTTTGTTTCCAAAAATTGGTTAAAAATCATATAACTTAATTGTCATTATGACTTCGTAGGAGCTTTAGCTTAGTTGCAATATTAGTTACCGTAGTTACGAAAAAGCTGCGATAGACAAGTCTAAAATTCAGCTACCAATACCTAGGATTACCATATTTTTCTCGAAAGACAACGACCCCTTAGCTGTGTTTTCATAACTTCACATTTTCCGATTTTACTACATAGGCCTACATTCCTACATTTAAAGCTATCTCGGCTGTGTTTATTGACCATATTGTTATCGGAATTTCATGCGCATATTCTCTGTCCAAATATCGGGTTCAGTTCGAAAAATAGGAAGGAATTGACGTTAACGATACCGGTACAAATAATTCGAATTTAGACTAATTAGTATTGGTTTTACATGCGATACGTCTGCCATCAATGGGAATCAGCAGAAAACGAACGCATTCATCTTCAGTAAGTAGGCTAGCGCTGCGCTACACAGAAACAACAGTAACGAGAACATGTTTGTGTATTATGCTGGAAAAGCGGGACTTTTGGCTGACTTATCGGGACGGCGGGACAAAACGCTGAAAAGCGGGACGTATGGTAAGCCTACCAAAACCTTAAATTAAGCGACACATGGTTAAATATTTTTTTATTAATATTTGACGTTTTTTATCATGTAACCAGTTTGTAAGCGCTAACTCACTAAAACAATTCCATAATAAGCATGAAAACATTCGTAAGGCTAAAGTATAGAGAGAATTTGCCTAGGGTCAAAGGTCGGGGAAACAACCATGCTGACAAACCATGCGTCTGAGCGGAAGAATGTCTGAGCGGCAGTTCAAATTACAATTGTTGACTTACTGCTGATTTCCTTTTTTACAGATATAAACAAAGAAATGCCTGGGCACCATCCATTGAATGTCGGAGTAAACCATAACTTTATAATTCATTTTGAACTTTCAACTTTATATTACTTTAAACCTGAAATATACTCATCGCTCTGCAAGCGATTGATGGGAATTTGAATTACATGGACTGCTTTTGCATCGTTGCACCTGTTGGCAACCTGTTTTGCAGTTTTTACTCGACTTATTGGTAAAAACAGCGCCGAAATATTGGGAGCTGATCGTAACGTCAACTACTAGCATGTCATAGTTACTAATTAGCAGCGCAGTTGTTTGTACTCCGCACACATTCTGATTTTAGTTTGGGTTTGGCATAAAATGTACTATACACCATTTAAGCTGTATTTAAGTTTGTTTATTTTGCTATTTGTTGGACAAGAAAGGTATGTATGGGGCGTTTTGTTATTATGTTGTTGTTGATCTTCTTGTTGGTATTTTCTTCTTGTTAATTGAAATATTCAGTGATTAAAGATTGTTGACTTTTATTTTCTTCTAAATTTTATATAAATCCGATAACGACTGATATTTCATCCCAAATTTTACTGTATATTATTTTTTTAATGGGAACCCCGTTATTGATCCGCAAAGTGTGACGACTCTCTTCCGTGTTGATTTTGTGAAATTGTGCTACGAGAAAGTTTTCCGATACCTGTTTTGTTAAGCTGAGGATAAGCTGCGTTGATGTGAAATGTTTTGGCATTCGTGACTATATATTTGAGAATCATTCTCTTGTCTTAATAACACTTAATGTGTTTTTACCTAACACTTGCAATTTTGGGTTTGATTTTGTCGAGGATATCAGATATGAAATGCCCGGACTAACATGTGTCTGCAGATAATTACACGTGTATATCCACCTTATAAATACATATATATATATTCGCCTTCGCCATGCCTCGACGACCCCCACCTCGAAAAAAAATTACAAAGAATCCAATCAATTATTAAATTTTTTAAGTCGATCTGGATTATATGATAAACATCATCAAAAGATGGATCTGATTTTTTTTGCACTAAATTAACAATAACCAAATGAGCAGCACATATACGAATCACAGTTTCAGTTGCAATTTTTCTGTCATCTATGCTTGCCTGGAAAAATCGATTAGTCTTCGGATTTCTCAATTTCTTCATCTTGTTCGACCTCTTCGGCTGAAAGTAAAATAAATAAATAAATAAGGGGTTTACGGCAATAAAATGAATTCTGAAAATATTTTCTGTCTTACTCAAGGCAAGGAGGTCGTCGACATCTTCGTTGAATTCAGGAAGCAAATTCAGGAGTTCATTCATGTCTTCTGAGTCCTGTATATAGATGTATATAAGTTACCCATCACTCGTGTATTGTGATTTATAATAGTTGACCTTCACCCTTCGCGTACAAATAAAACATTATTATATTTGAACGAATTTTGTAAATGATTCCATCAACATTTTACTAACTTATTCTATATAAATAGACTATACCTCAACAAGCTGCATTTCTGGCATGTCTTCGTCTCCACCGGCAATACGTCTGTTAAATTTTTTTAGAAATTTGCGAGAGATTTCATGATATAATAAAATTATTGATTCTTAGATTATATACCAATTATTTTGTTGATGTGAATTAGCCCAGGAATGTGGAATTCTAAAGTATCGAGTACTTTTGGCGGAATGTATATATAAAGGACGAGAGATTTGAATAATTTATTTAAATAACTGATGATTCGGCATCACGTCTTTCATCGGTATAATATGTATTTATTCGACTTTGATTAATACAAACAAGAATCCAATATTGAAACAATTGGTCAATTTTAGACCTAGCAATCCTACCTGTGAGTGTTATGCATATTGTGAGATGCGACACGCATGCGATTCACGAACGCCACCAGTCTGCGGTATCCTGCAAGTAGTCTGTTGTACCGGGTGTAACTCACAGTCCTGCATCTACTTGCGAGTGCATTGTAACTTCTAGCAAGTGCGCTGTAACGATTTCTCCAGTACGCGACTTGTCGAACTTGAATATTGTAGGCTCTTCTACTCACGTATCGTGCGTCACTCTCCTCGAATGCAAAAATTGCAACAAGAACAAGGGCAATAACCAGCTTCATTTTGCAAACCTGTTGTGATATAAATAAAATTAATGGCCATGTATAATTTCTCTTGGACGACGTCAATGTTTGACTAATACCAATAAACTAAATTGTATTTAGATTAACGCGAAGAAACTTGTTCAAAGCATCATCTAGTGATTGATCTAGTTTGATGCTTGATCTAGTTGATGCATCACAAAAGTGAAATTGAACCGATGTAATCGAAGAGATAATTGTCGAAAAATCTTCACGTGTCTTTTCTGTTTAATGTGGTCTGTCTGTGTTAAGCCTGAAATGTTGTTTTTTCCACTAGTTGAAAATATAGAACATACCACGCAACACACAAACATAGTGAACATTTATTATCTGGGTTTATTTACCGTCAAGTTGGCCTACAGCAAATGACGACTGGCAATATTTACTGTAACACGAATGTAATTCAAAATGCTAACGAAATATTTTGTTAATATACATACCTGTATCTTTATGTTTCCAAACTACGTGTAGTAAAGACAATATCTTCTCGAAGTGGATTGCTGTTGTCGCATTCCACTATTTATACACTACAATCCACTATTTTGCATCATTTGGGGAATTGTTTGGCATTATTGTTTATCGCCAATAAGACAATAGCACATTGTGGGGAATGTGCAAGTGAATGATTCGTTTTTCAGAAGTCTTCCCTAGAATATTAAAAAATCTATAGCGGACAATTGGTCCATACTTTGATAGATAAAAGTTCTCTACTTTCGTATTCAAATTTTATTTTACAAAATCATGTATGGGAATTGTTTGAGAACAAAAATTTGTATTGGTAATATTTCCCAACAGACCATTTGAGGTTAATTCCTGGTTCATAGCGAGGGTTGGCTTGCTAACCGTAAACCATTTTTTTAAAACCTACACGGAATACTTTTTAATATGGAGATCTAATGTATATATATATTTTTTCTAAACAATCTTCATACAAATGACACTAACATCAACAATTTTTCCAGTTATGATAATGTCGAGATTTAGTCAAATGTGTGCGTACGTTCAAAGTAGGTGGTTATATGTACATGCTTTCATTGCATTTTATCCAAAGATCGTTTGTGTCATTCTCATTTCAAACTCCATAATACTGGAAATGTAGATTGCTAAATTACTATTTCAGATTTGAAAATAAGTAAGGCTGGGCATTCCGAATCGAATCGAAAATTATTCGAATCGGTTTAGAGCAAATTTTCGAATCGCCGCCATCTTGTTTCACTCTTTCTACCAATGGTCGAGGTAAATTTCTCAATTTTTTCTGATTGAAGCCATATTTTTTCAACACAATTCTGACATATGACTTTTTTCTGTATTGAGGTATTGATGAAAATGTTTTTTTTTTATTGTCAGTGATGTATTCTATGTTTTCAGTAATTTAGGTGTCTGGAGGACCTAAAATAATAAGAAAGTTACATACAATTTCATACCTTCCAAGTATTCGAGATTCGATTCGATTCGAAATAATTATTCGATCGATTCTGAAATCATCAGGTATTCGAAAATGCCCAGCCCTAGAAATAAGCGATTGTTGTTAATTAATATACATTAGTCTCAGAGTCCCCAGCCGCACATTGCGTGTGAAGTATTGGGTTCATATTTACTATGAATCACTTCTCCACAAGAAAAATATTAGAAACCCAATATCGTTGTAAATTTACTTAATACTAAAAAAATGTCATATTTGGAAGCTATAGTGGGGTCAAGAAGGTACAAATATTATTGGGTTCAATATCGCTCTTCCGTCCATTTTCAACTGATTACAAATGGAGTTGATAGAAATAAATATGAAGCCATATTTTGTTTTTTTTTTGTGCTGGAAGGAAGAATATTTGTCAGTATATTAGCTGCTGTCGTTTAAATTAACAAATCTATTATGTTGCATCGCCTTTAGAAATTTTCATAAAGCAAAGCTTCCTAGTTGCCTGACACGATTAATACCAGATGGCACGGTATGTGCAATTGTTTGAAATTTAAATTTTTTGTTTGTTGTGTGTTGGGTAATTTTGCATATTTCCGCTTGTGTTTTTATAATTCAAATCAAAACAAATTTATAATTGCAGGTATTTGCAGCGTAATTTTACATCCGAAAATTGAATTTGTCAATTCAATGCATATGAGACGGCGTAATTAAAAATAGAGTTTTTACAAACAATTGGTTTAAAGACATCAATTCAAACGCGCACAAACAGACATTTTAATAAGGGAAGATAGGATGATAGTTATTGCATCAGTGATGCTGAGTTTTTTGTGTATGATAATATAGTTGTCTGATGAGTGGTGCGCTTAGAATTACTTTTTAAAAACGATTGAAGTTTTCACTGAAATTTGAACTCAACAAGTGGTACAAATATTATACCAGTTTGTACAGAGCGTTGCTCTGAATTTAAATAAAATAATGGAGCTGGCTTTAATAATAAGTTTATTTAAAAATAAAAATAATAAAACTTTCCGAGTTCATTTGAATATAGAATTTATTTATTCAACTTCCGTCATCGGAGATTATGCAAAATTACCGGTTCGCATTGTCATTGAGGATAAATTAAAATATTCAGGACAATGGAACTTTTATGGCATTTCCAGCGGTATTTAAATTCATCATATGTTTATCTGAATACCTGATATGAATGCCTATGATAAATACCACATTTGTATATGAATACAAAATTTAAGCAAATAGTATTTATTCGTAATTTACTAATTCTTATACCATATGCGATATGCAAAAAAATCTTGGCAATTTTACCTAGCCAACCATTCAGCAAATTGAGTTTATTTTCATAATGATAAAATTGAAATCAAAAGCCTGTGCTATTTTAATAAATTTTTTTGTGTATATTTGACACTTATATGAGTATTATCAAAATATTTATTTATTTGAACATTCGCATAAATAACTGTTTGTATTATTAATTATGAATATATATATCACTCGTATGTATTTTTAATTTTACACATTGTCAAAAAGTCACAAAAAAGTTAGTTGCAACCAATCATCAAAGCGCTAATAATTGTATGTTAAATTAAAACATCTTGAAACATCTTTCCAATGGAATTTGATGCATTTTGTTGGGAGCTAGAAGACAAGCTGCCAATATTTGGCTTAGAGCTCAAATAAGATACATCAGACTTAAAAATGACACTTGCATACAGACCGATAATTAAGCGAAAGCAATATGATAAAATATACGGACATGAAGATCATCCGTGCCGGTACTGTTCGGCGTTCTAGCTTAGCATCAAAACCGAGTTTGCAGACAAGATCGGTAGACAAGCGTGATGAAGGCAGACAAGGTTGACGTTATAAAGTTTTTCCATACTCCATATCAAATTTCACATAAATTTAAATTAACCAGAAAAATTTCCTGTAAACACGCCTCATACGAAATTATAAAAAGTAATATACAATATATATATCCTTACAGCGACTTCAACAATTTTCAAGCATAGAAATGTGGTCGATTGTTCCATTGTTTGCGGATAAAAGCGACAATAACATCTCCAACAATAACGAGAAAAAAAATATTTTAGCATTACATACATTACGATACATTTGCGCAATAATTATGGACGCGCGAGATAGTTGTCTAGTGCGGGTCGGTGTCTACACTTACACACATCTGTAAATTTTAGCCAGAGCCTTTCTTTTTGCATTATATCAAGGTAAATTACTTGTCTAATTCGCAATTGACTGTTAACCAAAACTTAACACATCCGCCCAATTCCAAATCTGTTAGAATTTTGTACTTTTCTTCCGGATTGCAGGATATATATATCTCTTACGTGGTTATCATTGAAATATGTCCGGGATCTTTATATATATACGATGCCGTTATCTATATTTGTGACACCAATTATTTTGTAGTTCATTCTGTTCATTCTGTGTCGCCCTCCCCCTCACCCACAGTGACATGCGTCCTATCGATCTGGCTACAATGAACCCGTCTTCACACAGATTTTCAGACAAATAGTGATTTGATTTTATTAAATCTCATTTGGCACAGCCTCAAATTATAGGAACATATCTCGACAGAGCTACCTGCAATGCCGTATCGACACGCACGAATGCACAAGTGCTGGCCGAAATAGGACATTTGTCAGACAAAACCAACGCAAAACGTTTAAGATTCTGCCTTCATGAATGCAGGCGGTTAAATTCGTCAGATATTATTTCATAACTTGAAGTTGAATGAATGCCTTTGAGATGTAAATTATGAAAGATAACAATTAATAATATATTTTCGGGGTCAAATCATCACATTTACTTGGTCATATCATCTCGTTCTTGAATAAGCTCATCTACATACGGGTAGAGCTGATCAAGTGTAACGGTAGGTCCGAATCGATACCTGAAAAATAATGGGATATGTAACTGAATCGATAGTCTTACCATACGTCCCGATTTTACCATGTTGTCCCGCCGTCCCGGCCGGTTGACCTAAATGTCCCGGCCATGCAGTATGACAACAATTTTTCATTTAATAATGATATATACAAACTTTTTTATAACTGAGGTAGCTGATTTGGTTCCATTACATTTGAACCCACGTACATTTGAACCCATGACAATTGCACCTGTATGCTATTGCACCTATAGGTTTTTTTTTGTTTCACGGATAGTTAAACCCATACTAACCCTAACCCATGGGTTTTAGCACCCGCATATAGATTGAACCCGTGGATATACACATGGGTTCAAATGTACGTGGGTTCAAATGTACGGTCACCAGCTGATTTACCACCGCTTTGCAACTCACTCCACTAGTTTAGATTATATTGCCATAGTTATGATATAAAGTATGAGCCATGCGTTAATTTAACACCCGACCGTACTGTCGCTGAATCATCAAAATGACAAAAAGAAAAAAAATTGTAAAGTGTGTTGAAAGGGGATTTCCATTATTGAAGGCAAAACCAATAGCGGATATTTTAATATGATTCACAGCTAATTTTGACGACCGTAATATACCCACAAAGGCATGGGAAAAGATTAAACTATTACTAAGCCTCAGAATCGAGCCAAGGTTGGCTCTTCCCATCCGTACTGCCCCTTTATTTTGTCTCAGATATATGCCTATGAATAGAGCAACTGAATTACTAAGTGTCAAAAGTCTTCGAGTGGAAGCGTAATCAACCTATTTCTTCAATTTTTTAGCTTCAGACATCGAATAACCGGTTCTGATTTGAAATCTCCAGTCATATGAATTACCTTGGTTTTCCGGTAAAGTCGATGAGAAACTTTCCGTAGTTCCATGTGACATCGCGAGCATCTATATCATCCCAATACATCAGTTGTCTATTACCGATGTTCTCTGTTACCGCGGGACAAGAAGCCTTGTTGCAATAGAAGAATTTATTAAGAAAACTCAACAATGAATGCCATAGGTATACAGTTACCAAGAATTTTATGATTATCTAGGAAAAGTATATCCACATGACTACTTCAAGGTTTTGCAGAAAACAACCAAATATTAAATTATACCACTTTATCGTTTTTAACCTTCATTTAAGTCATATTTCTGTATCGGTGTCACGCCAAATGGTGATTATAATGAAATGGAGTTTATCAGGTGCTGTATCAGATATAGGAAGGTCGCAGTTAGCTTACGAGAACGCACGCAGCGTATTGAAAATTGAACATAAACAAAGTAAAGTACCTTTAAGAATTTATAAAGTGAGTGCGCCGATACTCCGTTCACGTCGACTTTACCAAAGATGTTGTACAAGTTGTGTGGTGCCCAACTATCCCCTGGACGAACAAACTCGTAACAATTCATCACTTCATCGGGCCTCCCTGGCTCTTGTTTTTTGAATTGGTTACAGGGGAACCCTAGACCAACTACTCCGGCTTCCTCATATTTCTGTTAAAAAAGGCCACTATTATTTAAACTATGTATGCGCTGTCGACTAGTCATTTTGACTAGACATATTTTATTTTGATTGATGTGCCATGTACACTAGCATATATGTTAGCGTATCGACTATTTGTATATTTTGTACCAACCTCCGCCACTAATGTTTGAAAAGTTTGAAAAACACTCCCGCAAAGTTTTAAAATAACAAATTATCCAGTTGGGGTTAGGGTCAGCTATGATTAGAAAATTTGAATTTCCAGCTCAACCTGCATTCCTAACCCTAACTGGATAATTACTAACTTTCTTGTTTTGAGCGTTGGCAGGGCTTTAGACAATAGATTCTTAAATTTTATGTAATAACTGGAATCACCACCGAATAGAATAGAAACGTTTCATTGCAATTTATGAATTTAAAAAATTTATTCTTTCTGCGGTTCAAAACTGTTCGTTCTCGTTTTTTCATTGCAATATAGCAGATTTTTTTTAAAATTTTGCATGTAATGTACTAGTGGTATTTGGGGGTGGCTTGAATAATATGCATCTTGGAATGATTACTTACTCATAGGGTAAATATACTCACCGTGAGAAGTGCATTCATGCCGGGTAGCATGGTCGGTGTTAAACCTCAGAAGCATGCTGAGTTCATGATAACAGCAATCGATCCGTTGAACAGACCCAAATCCACTGCTTGATCATCCAATGTATTTACATTGTAAGAATAAACGGATTCCTTTGGAATATTTGATTGAGTTAGTTGAGTGTAAATATGTCATTTAAAAGCAAATGTTGCCGATTTGTATTTCTTATTAAGTTTTTTTATTAAAGTGGTTGTATGTACACACTTATAACAAAAGCATTGTTTGTCTGAACTTTCCGCTTTTGTTGCACCAAGAAAACATTTTCGTCGAATATACTGAGTTAGCGGCTAATTTTCGTTCATTCACAATGATATATTTTTTCAATATAATTTCCATGCAAAAATATTTCTCTAAAAAGTGTTACGTGTATTCACAACCAATAGGCTTTAGTCTTGTTAATTAGACTATTTTATACGAATGAAAAGATTTTATGACGATTCCTTCACATACCGTAACACTCCCATCACATTGTGACATCAGCTCAGGCGCCGCCAAGACCTGTAAGGCCTGGAGAAGCACCACGAACCCAATCTTCTGTTTCATCTTCTTCGAATACTTTGCTTTTACCAATAATTTCATTTATATATTCATGATTTACGCAGATACGAAAGAGAAGAACACCCCAGTCGGTAATGAGTGTGATCGCGTAAAGCGTCTTGTCGAGTGAGAAAGCCTCAAACTGACTTTTCCGATCACGAATAAGCTATGAGATGCAGACAATGTTACGTTCGCGCTCTAAATACATCAGGCTCGCATAATGACAATGCAAAAGACGGTGTTTACATAGACCCCTTGTTTTGCTATTTATATTCCAAAGTAACACAACATTTGTATATTCCCACACGTTTCGTAACAGGTCATAAAGATAAGGCTGTATTGCCGATGTAGCGAACGCAACCTTCATCGACGATGAAATTATTTGTGTGGAAGATATAGCTAGAAAACGCTTGAATAAACATCCAAATACAGGCGTTCGTACATTACTGCAGTCAAAGTACTGTACTTCATTGCACAATATTCCAATAACGTATTTTCGCGCCCAAACTACATTTAGTTCCAATGGTGACCGTACATTTGAACCCATGCGTATATCCACGGGTTCAATCTATATGCGGGTGCTAAAACACATGGGTCAGGGTTAGTATGGGTTTAACTATCCGTGAAACAAAAAAAATTCCATAGGTGCAATAGCATAGGCCTACAGGTGCAATTGTCATGGGTTCAAATGTACGTGGGTTCAAATGTAATGGAACCAGTCCCAATATCTTGAAAAATTGCGGGTTGGTTCCTCGTTTCCTTTCAACTAATAACAAACCAATCAGGATATACAACCAATATTTCTACAATGTAAAATAATAGTATTTTTTACATCCATTTCAGCATATATATATCGGTTCTTTCGTTTGAGGGATTTTTATTAATAAACATAGCGCATAGGTTATTTGATGGGAAAGCGTTGAACACAAAAGTATAGATATTCATTATTTAACCAATTCGAAGTGCTCTTTTATTAAAGACTACAGTATTCAGAAAAGGCTGGCTCACGCCGAAGAAATGAGCCAGTTCGACAGAAGAGCAATAACAAATAAGCGGGTTTATTTATCTCTTCAAGGCCAGAAAATGTGGGTCACTTCACTAGTTCAGATAGAGAGAAAAATTGTTATGTCATGATTAGGGCTGGGAATTTCAGTGAAAACACTTTAACCGTAGCGTGACGTTTGACGTAATAATTTAAGCGTGTTACGTCACAATGGTTAGAAAGCAATTTCGCTTGATCTTACCCCGATATCGCTCAAAATTATTCACGATTCGAGATAGAACATGATTGCTCTTCTGCAAGAGTTATGCAGCGTTGTTCGGACACGTGGATGTATTTCAGAAAACTCGATTCTGTTATCAAACGTCATTTATGTGACAATGTTTTGTGACAGTGTTCGATGTACAAATTCTACTTCGAGATATAAAGAAAAACGGCATCATCTGCGCACTTGTTGGATGACATTGAATATACGATTCTGCAATAAAATTGTGGAAAATATATTTTGACCGAAAATCGATTCCGCCTTTATTATTGTAAATTTTCAGGATAAGCAATCTTGGTACTTGGTTGTTTTTCACATTTATTGGTACCCACACAGTTAGTGATATTTTTTTGAATTAAATGCCGCAGGAGATAAATTTGCGATGACTCAATCATTTTTGAAGAAATTGTACAGTATAAAAATGATTTGTACCCGAGATGTCAGTTATCGGTTAAAATAAATCGTAACCGTTAACCATCTAAAATTGGTTAACCGGTTAATCATTCCCAGCCCTAGTCATGATACGTTATTTTACCAACTGTACTGTCGTTGAATCCTTGAAAAGCCGGAAACAAAGTGCATGTTTTCTAATGATTTCTATTATTTGAAGCAAAGACCAATATTGGATATTTTATTAGGATTTACAGCTAATTTTGATGCCCGTAATCTGCCCACAGTGGTATGGAAAACGTTTAAACTATTACCAAGCCTCTGGAATCGAACCTAGGTTGGCTTGTCCGATCCGCGCAGTTCCGTTTTTTTGCTTTAGAAATATGGTAAGCCTAAATAGAATGTGCGACAAGATTTTTAGAGTTTTGCCACAAGCTGAAAAAGTTTGACAGCCACTGCACTGGAGATTGATTCATTTCTCAACAACTGAATACCTTTTTTTTCCTGAACAATGGCTTCTAGCAACATTCGCCAATATTGACACCCAATGCATAATGCTTTTACCAAAACAAAAGTCAAACGCAATGTGGAACATAAATTGGATTTTATAAAACCATTTACACCAGAGGTACTGGATCCACGATGTCTTATATTAGAATGGAAGAGAGCAAGAATGACTATATAATAACATTGTTCACACTGACAACTTCATATGATTTCAAGCCACATGAAGCCCGTAGTTTATGTGCTCACACTGCCAGATATCAGATAGAAAATGCTAATAAATCTATTTTTTTTGATTTAGGTATTATTCAGGACAATATCTTATCACAGTTCATATACTCGTTGATGTTTTCACTTTATCCGAATCTTCAGTTTCATCATTTTTATCTGCTGATTCATTCCAGCCTTCAAGTCCTTTTGGTAATGTTGTATCTTCTTCAAAACTACCAGTACCGGCAACAAAGTCCTCGTATGAAAATTGTTCTTTGAAGGGTCGTTCTCCTATTAGTTCAATCATGTCTTCTCGCTCCAAATGCTCTTTTTCCAATAACCTCAGAGCCAACTGTATGCAATACATAAAAAAAGGTGATGGAAAATGTTCTCAAATAATAATAAACTATTACAATAGTTCTTTAGGAGCATGTCAAACATAATTACCCATTATCTAATAATTGTGTACGCAATATTGAAAATTTCAGACACGACAATGTTATTTATTCCAGCTTTATGCATTTTAATAAATATACCGATATAAAATCTTCATCATTGGACTGCCCAATATTGATATTAAAAAAATTCATTACATTTGGTTGGAACTTTGTGATGTACATAATAGTGATAGTATTTTTTGTCAATATAATATTAGAACATCGCTCTCCTGTTTTACTAATAAACCATATTGACTTTTAATGCTCTGTAATTGGAAAACTGGATCTTTCTCTTCTTCATTAACATTGATTGTATATAGAAAAAAGACGCATATTCTGTTAGAAATGATTCTTTATGAATATAAATTTACCAGACCTTTTCCACCTCTTGTCGTTTGTCCTTAATGATACTCAATGTTCGTTCATAAGCTTTTGTAACAATATCTCGAACCTAATATATAAACAATAAAATAATGTCCATAAAATAGTAGTAAAAAACAACACACTTATTGATAGAAAAGATGGGTATTACTATGGAGCTGACGAACTACGGCCTCCGGGCCCCAAGATCCCTATTATATCCTTTTTATCCATCGATCATTACCAATAGTGTTAGCCAATGCCTACAACTGCAAAATAGCAATACTGACTTCCTCATCTATTAATTGTGCTGTAGCTTCACTGAATGGCTTTTGTATGTGACCTTCTTGCATATCAAATGAAACTTGTCCAACTTTTTCGCTCATTCCAAATTGTGTGACCTGTAAAATGTGGACATTATTCACATACAACATACTATTGTTCACATGCTATTCTCGCATGGCTATCAAAAAAGAATCTTAATCATTGAAGATACGTTTGGTTTTTTTCAGATTTTTACCCGCTATGTTGGATTTTGAGTCAATGTTACAAAAATAAACGAGTCGATGAGGGACATCTATTACAGTTATCGAGTCTCATGCTATTTTTGTTACCTGGCCATATGCTAGTCTTGTAACTTTTTGAAGATCGTCTTGAGCACCGGACGTAATTTCATTGAAAAATGTTTGTTCTGAACATCTCCCGCCCAACATCATGCACATCCTATCCATCATCTAATTTAGGGAACAGAAAAAAAATCATTTTAGAAAAACTGCGAAATATTGTGTTTAATCATAGCTGTTCATTTTATAACTATTACAAATATTTAATTAATCACCATTCGATTTCCATGTGAGCTAGAAAATGTACTAAATTGGGGCCTAACATGAAACTTTAGCTGTGGTAAAAGCTATAATTCTTTCTCAACAGGTGGTGTAGCACCTCTATCATTTTGAATCAATTTCACAAGAGATTTGACTACGAATGTCCAAGACAAATCGAACATCAAATTCATTTGAAATTGGGTTTTATATTCCATACAGTGAACTCATGGTTTTAAAAATGATTTAGATTAGTTACATTTAAACATTCATTATCTGGAGCATTTGATATCTGATAGGCAGATAAAAAATATACTCAGTTTTACTTATTAATAAAATTAATGCTCATCTCAAACATTTTGCAAAATCAAATATAATTTCTATTAATATACAATGTATAATAATTATACAATATACAAATATAATAAACAATGTCTTGCATAAAATAGTCTGTTGAACATGACCAAGTTCAGAATAAATGTTCCATATTCGAAAACATCATTTCAGAATATATATTCGGAATTAGTAAAGTATTTAAATCGACTATCCCTATGCTCGACTTAAATAAAGTCTTGTAGAATCATCATGTGGGAATGCCTCGTTAAACACTTAGTTCACTTTACCTAAAATTTTGTTTATTTAGTCTTTGTGGCTTTATTTCAGGATAATGCTAATAAAAGAGTTTATTTCATAATGATGAACAAAATTATTTAAGTATTTAAGAAATTTCGGTTAGTGACAATACATGAATATAAGTGAAGGAGCATGATAAGATACTTTCTAGTACAGTGGTCCGAACTGCCGGTCCACGAAACTTTTTTGCCGATCCGCGAGAAATTTCATTGTTTTGTTTTTATGCCTATTTAACTGTTTTACCGAAGATGGTTTATTACGCAATTTCCCTTCCGCCTTCGTATTGCGACATCTTGGCGCAGAATAATCACACTTTTCGCTTATTCGGCTCCAATTCGACGCGAATGCGCTCCATCAAATCTCGCATGTGTGCTTATTCTGTTCTGCATGATTTTCCTGATTAATATGTCCATCCATATAAAAGGTTATGCATATTTCTTTGTTTAGACCAGAAAACAGTCAAGAACAGTAAAGTAGGATTTTGAGCCTGGTGCTGAGTTACCGATAGCTTTGTCATTGTAATGTAAACTCATTTTGTTTGAGGAGTCGATCAACTGCAGAGGGATTAATATGATAAACCCCATGAAAAAAAAAAGGTTGATTAAAATTGCGATTCTACTTTACAGTCCAGATTTAAAAAAAGAACCACTGTCAGAATTTTGGCTGTCTTTTAATAACGAATACCCATTGCTAAGTAATCAAGCAATCTAACTGCTGTCCGTATCTTCAACCAGTTACTTATGCGTTATCACTAGCTTTAATTAAAACGAAGAATAGAAATCGGCTGCATGCTGCTGCAGAGCTATGTGTTGCAGAAACTTCTTTGAGGCCTCGTTTGCAATCCTATATTGGAAACGAAACAGCAGCAAAATTCACACTAGAGGTAATTGCGTTTGTACATGATTTGGCCTTTTACATGTTTTTTATGTGCCTTTCCTACGCATAATTAGTGCCCAGCACTGCATTTCATTACGCAAATATAGGGTATGTATTATTTTATGTTTCATTTCAATTTCTTAGTGTCACATTATTTGATAGTTTTTCTTTGTGTGAAATGTTTTCAAGAGTGCCTTTTATGTCTAGAAGCATATTGAGTGCCCGACATTGCATTATATTACGCAAATACCGTATTTGCTCGTTTTATAGCCCGGGCTATTCACGTCTTAAAAGTAATTATTCACATCTTAAAAGTAATTCTCTAAATTTTTTTACACACCGAAGGTACTAATCCGCAAAAGAAGAAAAGTTCTGCGACGCCCCATCAATATTGAAATGACGCACTTGGGCGTTGCGACGCCCAGTTTGAGAACAACGGTGTTACGTAATCAATGCTATCTGTTATGTGATTGGACGCGTAAGGCGTGAGTGTTATCTACCAGCACTTAAAATTTAACAGCGTTGTGACAAAAGCGCTTCTTATGTCCTATTGTTCTTTACCATTGAAAAATCAGCTTTTACATTGGGCGGGTATTCAAGTCCCGGCCCTTATTTATTTTAATGTCCTGTTCACACGGGCGGCTATTCAAACGGTCCCTTAATCAAGATCGGGTGATAAAACGAGCATATACGGTATATGTTATTATTCTCTGTTCTGGTCATTTCAATTTTTTGCCGGTCTGTGGGTACATTTTAATTTAGTTTTACCGGTTCGCCAGGATAGAAAGGTTGGGAACCACTGCTCTAGTCGAGCTTCAAACTCGGTAGCTTCATTAAGATATTGTATGGATATGAGTGAGAAGTAAGAGTGGACAAAATTAAATACCCGCTAATGGTTTTTAAAATGATGAACAATTAGAATATAAAAGTACTGACAACAATCACTATAATATAGTTAATGTCCAACGGTGTAATGAAGTACCTAGCAACATAAAGAACAAATATATCTCTCTACCTGTTGTGTTGACATTAAATACTGTTCTTTTGGTTGATACATTGCATAACCGAGACCTTTGCCACGAGGTACTATTGAAACTTTTAAAAGTGGATCTGCATGCTCTAAAAACCAACCAACAACAGCGTGACCTGCTTCGTGATATGCAACAGTTTTTTTCTCATCTTTCTGTAGTACCCTCGTCTTTTTTTCGATACCTGATTATTAAATGATAAGTCGATAACATAGCCATAATATATCTTAAATTTGAAAATCTTGTAACAAAATGTGCAATTTTCACATTTTGATTTCTTATAGGCCTATTGGATCTAACTACTTACTACAAACTAACATATTGATACAGGTTAGAGATCCTGATTTTGATTCGTTAATCATGACCCTTATTTTAAACCAGGGCTGTGATGTCGGGAGCAATTTACAATCAACAAAAATATCCAATTCAATTCTGACTGCAAATTGGAAAAAAAGATTCTCTTTCAGATTGTGAAATATTAAGGAAATCAAATTTTGGAAATCTGTACTCATCATCTGATTTATTACATTCTTGGTAAGGTGTTGAGCATGAGAATTGAACCCAGAGATGCATAACATGTAACGTCAACATGAATACGACTAGCGCTTTAGTCACTAGGTCATCTCCACCCCCTTTGTCACAAAAAAAGACAATTGTTATTAGACATAAAACTTTACCTCCTATAACTCTTTCAATAGCCGCACCAAAATGTTTTTCCTCAACCACAGTGCCTCCATCTCTCGCTGCTATAAGTGCTGCTTCATTGCACATGTTAGCAATATCAGCACCTAAACAAGATAAAAAATATTTTGTTTTTGTTTTTTTGAGTTGAAAAGAATTTTGTATCAGACATCATGGTTGATGGAAATTTTGAAATAAAACTTTGGTAATAAAAATTTCGATGCATGCCTTTTTAAATACGGTTGAGAACACTCAGTCAACCTAATTGTTTTCGAATTTCCGTAGTAAACTTTGAATTTGATTACCACCACTAATAAAAGGCTGACTACCCCCTCCGGAAAATTCAAAATTTACGATTCTAACCTCGGGAGTCTGAAAATCAGAATTATGATATACAACTTAGCCAATTAATGGAAATGAAGACATTGATATGCAACGAATAAATTCAACAAAATTCAAAATTAGTTGCATCACATCATTAGAACTTTGTCAAAACATGTGTGCAGACCTTAAAAATAATATACCGGTAGATTGGAAAGCGTGGTTGGTATTCTACTTGGGGAATATTTCATCATTAGAACTCAAAATTTAAGAGATAGTGGATTAATATACAGGAAATCCTGACATTGTTCCAGTCAATAGTTATGAACTGGAGCTAACTATCCAGCTAACAAAATTACAATTGATATTGTAATGCCAGCCCCAATATCAACATAACTATTCACAATATATAGAGTAAGAGTAAAGTATTTATTTAGTTAAACAAAAAGCACACATTCGACATTATTTACTACTTTAAATTGGAGCAAATTATCAAAAAATATATTCCAAACTTATCAAGATTTTCAAGTTTGTGTACAGGCATATTCTGCAAAAAAAAAAGAAATTCGATAAATAAATACCTGAAAATCCGGACGTCCTCGCGGCCATTTTTCTTGCAAGAGGTTCCTTGTCTAAATCTGTTTTAATCGGTTGCAAATGAACTTTAAATATGGATGCTCGTCCTTTAATGTCTGGTAATCCGACATAAATATTTCTGTCAAATCTTCCAGGTCGTAGAAGTGCAGGATCTAGAACATCTGCTCGATTCGTGCCAGCAAGAACAATTACGTTGGCTCCGATAGTATTGAATCCTGATATAAGAAAAAAAATCAATTGCAACAATTTTAAATGATCATATTCCTAAGACATGAAACTGTAGCCGTGATGTCCTAGCTCAAGGGTGGGTAAACCATGGCCCGCGACCGCATCCGGTCCACCGAATTGTTTCATCCGGCCCACTGGTGTCTTCTAAAAATACTTTATCTATAGGTACTATAGATATAAATTTTTCTTGAAAATAATATGAAAATGTCTTATTATTATATAAACGTTAACCTAGCTGTTGGACTAGCTTTTGCAAATTAACTGTCATTCATTCATTCATAGTTTTTCAAATTGAGTTTTGAGTGTCCGGCCCATTAACCAAGTCAATTTTTGTAACAGGCCTACTCAGAAACGTAACTGCCCACCCCTGCCCTAGATCAACCGATATAATTTTAAGTGGTCGTGCAATATCATTTCATTGGGCTGGAAAACCTTATTCGGAACCTCGTATAAATTTTTCAAATCTGTTAATATTACATGTCTCAAGCATTAAATATAAAGTCTTAGCCTATAGTCACATATAAATCTAGGCAGGGTTTATCAAACTGGGTCCTTGGTACTCTAGGGCAGTGGTGCACAACTCAAATGAGGATATGTGCCAAATTTTTCAAAATAATCTTGTCGCGTGCCACGCACAATTTTTGGTATTGTAAACAAACTCCCGTATAACATATATCAAACAAACTTCAATAATAATACATAATGACGAATATCTATTTATTAAAACGATTTGATCCCGTGTAAAACCGCTGATTTGAAGACGTTTTTGTTGGACCAAATTTGAAATGTTGAGCTTCAAGGGAGAAATAGCGATTCGCATCACTGAATCTATATGCTCATCTAGTAAACGGGTCCGTAGCTGGAATTTGTTTATTTTCATGATTGAGAATGCCTGTTAACAACTGTACGTGCTTGCAAATTAACAATTCCAGACTTTTGAATTTCTCAACAAAACTGGATAATTCTCTTCTCCGAGGCGAGAGTAGAACTCAAGTACTGTTGAAAAACATCCTGCAAAACTTGGTTTGACCTCAAATCCAGAAGTCTCCAGTTGAGCGTCAGCGCCTTCAATATATTCAACATCCACACTCAATGGTCTTTGAAATAAATTCATTTGCCCCTTCCGGTCATTATAATCTTGAAAGCGTTTTGAAAAGATTTGACGACGGAAACTCCATATTATAGCACACTTCTCAAAGTCAGGAACCAAGCTTTTTTCCTGTAAAAATATTTCAATTTCTTCAAAAAGGCTAAGAAAGTGCTGCAAAAGTTTCCATCGACTTAACCAGCAAACTTGAGAGTGATGCACTAAGTCCTTGTATTGTGTATTCATCTCCAACAAGAATGCTCGAAATTGGCGATGCTTCAATCTATTCGACAGAATTTCATTTACACATTTTACAATAACGTCCATAACATGAGTCATCTTTATACATTGAGCACAAAGAGACTCTTGATGAATGAAGCAGTGAAAAGTAATTATGTCCTGAGTAAAATAAGATTCTTGCAAGTACTTTTTCAATAGCGTCACCGCACCGTGAAACGCATTTAACACAGCTTCTTTTATATCTATTTTATATTCACGTGTTGTGTCATAAAGTCCAACAAGATCTTCGTAAGCAGATAGGTCTTTTGCTACAGCGCGGACTGATAATTGCTCAGTATCACTCATATCACAGCTTTTATCAAAAGCCAGTGAAAAATATTCGAAGGTCTACTTTCGATTGCAGTTGCTCATCTGATTGTCGTATCAGGTATTTATTGTATTTTTGCTTATGTTTATTTGTTTGTGTTGTTTTTATATGGACCAAAGCGGTCTGGAGTAATAAACGAATTGAACTGAATTAGGATTTTCGCCAATTTCTTCAATTCTTCTAGGAATGGTAGTCTTCGAAAGGCTGATTCTCGAGCGAACTCGCCATCTGTGAATGGTCTGGAAGAGCTTTTTCTGTTGGAATGGCCTGTAACTTTTTCTGGTAAAACATAAGATGCAGCGATGGCGTTTTCATTTCCCCCGATGGGCTTTTAAAATACGTCCTGCTGCACTCCCAGAGAATTTTTTAGTTTCAACATCAAACTTTCTCTCGGCTTTCCGACAGTTTTATCATATTTGTGTTGATGTAGCGCGGTATGGTGTCTCTTCACATTGAAGGCTTTTAAAATAGAAAGAGTTGTGCCACAAACAAGAATAAGGGCTTCTTTTTATATATATTCGATAAAGAGATATTCGCTTGTCCACGAGTCTTGAAATCCACGAGTCTCATTTTCTTTCCTTTTGCAGCGAATGATTTTACCCATTGCTGCAATCAGTGCGAATTCAGGTGTTACTTATTTTCAGCAACTACCTTCTGAAACAGGCCACAAGCTAGCAATGTGTGATCATTAAAGTTTCTTTCGATATAATGGTGATATTTTGATGTTTATCATAAATAAACTAAAATTTTCACAAAACCGTTCGCGTGCCACGTTTGAGCGCATGGCGTGCCAAATTTGGCACGCGTGCCACGTGTTGTGCACCCCTGCTCTAGGGCAGTGGTCGGCAACCGTTTTCAAGTGACGGACCGGTAAAGCCTGACCAAAATTTTGGCGGACCACCTTTATACAAACCAACTATCCCTGTGCAATAAATTATACACATTAGGAAATTACTGTTGTCAATATACTAGAAACGACGGTGATGCTATTTTAGGGGAATTTGAGATATGGTCGACATTGACACACGTTACGTGTTTCTTGAATCCAGCCTACTACGATATTTCGTTTTTGTAGTTATCAATATGGAAAACCAGGCCTCACATTAATAAGATTTATGGGAAGGTGACAATCAATGCCTGTTAACCTTTCTGACCTTAGTCTGGGTATTGATGTGATGTTTTGCCAAACCTAATTATTTTACTCGATGTGCCAACTTTATTCTGAAGTATAGAATTAGCACTGACTAGGTATGACCGGTTAGCTACGAGCCAGTAGTGGTGTAGTCACGTTTAGAGATGTATCGGCAATATCGGTCAATTTTTCGGTATCGGCTGAGTGTATACCGATATATTTTGCTTTTTAATATGATCCAAAATATTTTAAAAAATAAGTTAGAATCTTGAAACTATTTTATGCTTGGATTGATCGTGAACTATGAGCCATTCACATGTCGGGAATAGGATTCACCTGTTTTTAGCTATTTATCAGCCAAACTGGCTCAACTAATTTGGCTATTTTAGCTGCTAAATTTTCAATATTACATGGAAATTATGAAGAAATATATCAATCGAATATTAGTGGATGTTCCGATGTGTAAAATACAAAATACGACGTTATATTGACATTGAACAATTGAATTGAACATTGAGATTACTAGCGTTAGTACTCAACGCATCTGAACCAATTAACACTTTTGATCCAAAAAATCAATTGCTTATTATGTGATATATCTCGTTTTCAATCTGAAATATTGAGCGCTATCAATATTTCTCAAAAGACTATTGTTTTAACTCGTCTGTCCTGCACATTGGAGGTAATAATTATAGTATCCGAATATCGGCCGGCAATATCGGCATCACCGTTTTAAGCTAATATCGGATCGGTATCAGTGACAACAGTGGTATTGATGCATCTCCAGTCACGTTCTCAGCGAGAATCATGCGGCAATATCGGCATCGCCGTTCTAGTCACGTTCTCAGCGAAAATCATTTTGTTGGAGATGCCGTATTCGGATTGATGAGAGACATTCTTATACGGGCGTAGAGGAAACAATTGACCTAGCATGACATGGCAAAGTCAGACATGCTGCTCAAAAGTGTTGTGCCTGTCTAGTTTTGGTTTGCTGTTGGCTGCTGTTTTTCGTTGTAAGGTTAGTGGTTATATTGTAGGGGTTTTATTACGGCCTTGTCCATTTTTGTGTCCCCTTTCTGCGGACCGGCAGTAATCTTTCCGCGGACCGGCGATGGGCTGCGGCCCGGTGGTTGCCGACCACTGCTCTAGGGAGTAACAAGCAAAAACCCTATACTAGGTGTCATTTACAATTTTCTGAAGAAGATTTTGACTACTGGTACTTTTATCAGTATTGAAAGTCTGCAATTCTGGGGAATTCAAAATTTTCGACTCTGGCCCCGAGAAGAAATGATTAAATCCTGTTGTTGTTCCCCCAGTTGGTTTCCCCTAGCTTCATTTTGACGACTCCACCAATTGCAGTACAGAAAAAGATTTAATACTGTTAAAAAATAAACATACCGTCCATTTCCACCAAGATCTGATTCAAAGTTTGATCTGACTCGCTATTTTGTCCAAACTTTCCGCCAGATCTTTTTCGTCCAATAGCGTCTATTTCATCGATAAAAAGTATACAAGGAGCATTCTGCCGAGCATTTGAAAACATGTCACGCACCCTGGAGGCTCCCACTCCAACAAACATTTCTAAGAATTCCGATCCGCTCACACTAATGAATGGGACATCAGCCTCACCCGCTGTCGCTTTGGCAAGCAGAGTTTTACCTGTTCCAGGTGGACCAGATAAAATTGCACCCTAGAAGATTTCGGAAAAAATGTAAAATTGTTAGACAAAATTAAATCTATTTGTAATGCAGTGAATTTGTTAAGTTCCTCCCTTTGCATATTTTGGAACTCTTTTATCCATCCCTCCTTGAGCTCAAATTACTCTATTTGTTCAATTTTGATCTTTCGCCAGTGTTATGCGGAGGTCGCATTTCTGATTTTATACAGTAGGTATTCAGGAATGAGTATTATACTACTACTAATAAAAAACCAATGAACAGTAATAATACTACAGCGAACACAAAAAAAATACCTTCCTGATAACGACAAAATTCCCTCCTGGAAGGAATTCCTCCCCAATTGGGAAACGTTGGTGAAAGGCATCTTCTCAAATCCATGTGCCAGTTAAAAAATTATGAAGTTACCTCCGTAGGTATTTTATCAAAATCTACCTTTGGAATCTTTGCTCCCAACTGTTCATATTTATGTGGATTTTTTAAAAAATTCACAAATTCCATAATTTCTATTTTTGCTTCTTCACACCCAGCTACGTCTTTGAATGAAACTGTCATTTTTTCTTTTTCAACAACTCTGGCTGTTGACTGAAGCATCTGAAATGGATTGCCGAATCCACCAAATCCACCCTCTAAAATGAGTTTGTGACATAAAGAGATCTAGAATTAACGATGTACGTACTGGTTTTAGAGATGTCTACAGTATTTAATTCAAACATTATTTGAAAAACATTTATTTTGAAAAGAGCGGTCTTTATTTTTCTGTAAAATTGATTTGTAATGAAATTGGGAATTGCATCACAATTCAAAAAACAAAATTTGACAATACGATTAACCTCGATCCCTCGTCCAGTACCTTTCAATGCCTGGTATGGAAATAGCTAATCAAGTATTAGCTTCATATGCATATAACAATTTAAAAAAATAAAATTCAACACCATAATTAACCACAATCTCTCGTACAGTTACCAGTCTATATCGGGTATGGGAATAGTTAAGCAGGTATTTGCATAGACTTGCTCAAAATAACAATTTTCTTGAACGTTAATATTGCCATTTTTTACCTAAAACCATGAACTTTACAAATCTTTTTTAATTGTACTGAGTATAACCAATTTTACAAGTTTTCAACTTGATTAGAAAATCTACTTTATTATTAGGACAAATTTTGGATATTTGGAAAAATCCTCATTTCCATATAAGAATCAACATATGCTGCATAACCAAATGGATACACAGTAGAACTACTGTCACTATTACTAAGGGATGCTTGTTGAACATGAATTGTTCAGTAAAATCCCTATGGTTGCATAATGTTTTGAGCAAAATTTAGAGTGGAAAGGATCAAAGCAAAACAGTTTACAGGTCCATTCTTCGAAATGAATTCAATACACCACCGCATTGGTTAATGAGAATTGTAAATAAGTAAACTTACTTTCTTTTGGACGACCAGCTGAGCTTCCACCCATTGATCTCATCATTCTCGATCCTTGAAAAAGTGAAAAAAGAATCCAACCCGCGATAAGCATAGTTATGGGTCCAGGTAAATTCCGAACACTGAAAAATGAAATTATTATTCAGGATTAGCAGATAATCTGAAAATTTGAATGAAAGGACTAAGCTATTTTATTATTGCAATGATTGCAGAAAAATTTTTTAGAACGAAAGAGGGAATACCAAACAAATGGCGTCATTTACATACTAGCAACCTATTTCTATAAAAGCATCTGTATCAAAGAAACAAATAATTATCTCAATACAAATGACTTCTTGATGTCACTGCAATTAATCAAAAACAGAATAGATTTTGATCTCTATCAGAATCCATCCATCATTCATCAATTCCATGCATTTGAAACAAATTACTATTTCGGTACTCCCGTAGTATGTATACCAGTTTAGGGTTAGACAATAATTTTAGTCCGATTTAGTTAGTTACCTCCATATTGGTACTTAACATACTTCCTCCCTATTTCTATACCCGACATAGAGAGGTAACCAGATGAGAAGTTTGATATTTGATTGGACATACATTTTTTTACTTACAAAAAGTTTTCTTGTTTATATTCAATATATACTCTTTGAGAAGGTGGAATCTCAAGACCATCTTGCACTCGTTCCATATTTCTTTCAAGAGAATCCGGGGAACCGACATAAAAATACAGTTGTGACTGTTGAAAATGTACAGTAAACAAAATAATGTCATATTAGGATAATGGATTGAGTTTTGGGAGTATTAATAAACACTATCCCACGGAAATAGGACTTTAATAACACGCTGATAAAAACCGAATAACTTACTATCCTTATTAATATAGTCTAAAACAGGGCTTCCCAAATTTTTATCCTCACCAACCCTTTCGATAAAAATTAAAATTTTCCTCGACCCGTGTTAGGTCCGAATTATTACGCAACCGAGCCGCTTCTCTGATCCTATGTATTCTCTCTAAATTGTGAGATTTGTGTTTTGCACTAGTTTTAATAATTGTGTTTCAAACAGTACTTTGTGTGAAAAATTCATGGTGCGCCCAACTATGCGGTCGCAAGCCCAGTTTGGGGAGCCCTGGTCTAAAATAATATTTTTGAACATGAAATATCAAATTTGTACTAAATTAAGCCATGCCATATTCATAAACAAATTTGCATCAACCACCATAATATATTGATAAAATGTGGTGTGGTACTGGTAATGTAGAAACTTTTTTGATAGTTATTATTATTATATTATTATATTTTCTTTGTGCAATGCTTGAAAAAACATCACAAACCTGTAGCCCAGATGTAGTTTTCAAGTGCACATATGCATGGTGCTCTCCAACAACAATCAATCTGTCAACCTGAGAAAATTTATCAAAAACATTTGCTAAAAAACACCCACTCAGATGGAAAAGAGATTGATCTTAAAAATACACGACTAGGGCTGGGCATTTTCGAATGCCTTATGATCTCAGAATCAAATCGATTATTTTTTCTTTTGAATCGAATCTCGAATACTCATAATTGAATGTGACTTTTTTATTGTATTGGATCCTCCAGACACGTAAATTACCGAAACGTAAAATCCACCACTCAGTTAGTTTGCTGAGCATTTAAACGCAATGAGAAACATGTTCCAGCAATACCTAACTATAGAAAACTAGTCATATGTTGAAATTACAATGTAAAAATGTAAAATATGGTTTTAATAAAGAAAATAATAGAAATTAGAATTCACCTCAAAAAGATGGCGGTGAGTCGCAATTTTTGTCAGAACCGAATCAAATAGTTTATTATTCAATTCTATTCGAATATTCGATTCGAAATGGCCAGCCCAAAACACGATACCATCCCATCATTATCATAAAAAACATTATGAACAAGCTTGTCATAGTCAAATTTACTACTAATAATTTGACAAAATCATGACAATATAGTGAAACTGATATTGACCATAATCATAAAATTAAAATGTTTGAATAACTGAAAAAGCTGTATAACCAATTGAAAATGAAAGCATACTCACAGCATTTGTAGAAAGATAGTTATTTACAAATTCATTCCACGATACTTGTCTGTAATTAGCATTGTATGTGTTGACTGCATAGACAATACCGATAGCTACAATCAACCCAAGGATTACTGCCATATTCTTATTGTTTTCTGGATTTTCCATCAACTGCAATAAAGATTCAATGTTCAAGAGTTTATTGTTGTTTGGTGGGCGCATTGAAGTGCAAGTCCTCAACTGTGTTGCCACGGCAGGCAAGTCGCACATCTCAGGTTCAAATTCTATGTCACCCACCTCCCCTTCGATCCCTACAAAAATAGTAGCGTAGCAGACAACGTATCGAAGATCGTAAGAGCAAAAAGTGTGGGTAGGAATCCAATTAAAATGCTGATTATAATACTACAGCCTACAGAAAAGTTACACAATCGTTTTGTATTTAGGAATTCCCTGTCATCTTATTTTGTTATAAAATATTGTATGACGTATGATGAATCAGTAATAAACAGGCAGCAGGTGCTTATTTTAACCACTCAAACCAAAGGGGATGTTTGGAATCCCCACATTGGGCATAGCATGAGTTGGTGAGACCAATGGGCAATGGTATAACAGACACAGACAACAATCAATTCCAACATGTGTCAGCTAAAAACTGAATTGGATGTGTTACCTCTTGAAGAAAGCTTTTTGATGAATCAGATTTTTCCTTTTTACCAGAACCTTTTTGTTGTTTTTCATTATTTTGACGACCACCACCACTACTTTCTTGTTTTTTGGTCATATTTTGACGTTTCGATTCATTCTGTAATTGCGCATCCACTGAAACACAAAATCACACGCTATTTCCAACAAAAAAACTTATAATTCAGGAAATTTATAAAGTACAAAATAATATCAGGGCTTGTGTGTACATCTGAATGGGTATTGATATATATTTGGGAAGGGCAATAGAATTCCCATGTTTATCCCAGGAAGTGGAAAGTTGACAAGACAGCCTATTAATGACGAGGCGAACAACGGCCTCTCAAATGTACAAGTTATGGTATAGAAATAATGGTGCTCCCGAAGTATGCGAACCAAGATGGCGGACATCGGAACGTAACATGGGTAACAGGTTAGGGTTAGGCGATAATTTTTTTTCCAATTTACCTTATTTTAGTCCTATTATCAGTTCGAAGACTAGCCAAGAGCCTCCCGTAGTATTTATAGCTAAAATTATGACCTAACCCTAACCTAGTACACATATTACATTCCGATGTCCGCCATCTTGGTTCGCATACTTCGTAAGTCTCGAAATAATTAACCATTTGTTTTTAGTTGCATGGACTTGATGGTGGAGGATAATATGATTGACCAGCGGTTACATGAACTACCCTACAACCCCGTGGAGCAGGGGCGTAGCCAGAAATTTTCAAAGGAGGGGGGTTCTGAATTCTTTTTTTGGGGCTCCCGAAGTATGCGAACCAAGATGGCGGACATCGGAATGTAATATGTGTACTAGGTTAGGGTTAGGCCATAAATTTAAGTATAAATACTACGGGAGGCTCTTGGCTAGTCTTCGAACTGATAATAGGACTAAAATAAGGAAAATTGGAAAAAAAATTATCGCCTAACCCTAACCTGTTACCCATGTTACGTTCCGATGTCCGCCATCTTGGTTCGCATACTTCGAGAGCACCCTTTTTTTTGCCAAGTTAGATCGAAAGTCGAAACTGCTAGCGGGTCCGATCGAACGCTGGAATACGCATGTTTTCAGTAGTCTTAGGGGTCTAAAAAGCATTTCAAGTTAAGGAGAATTGCTATCTATGATACAGAAAAATGATTTTATTTTTCATTTCAAAAGGGGGGAGGGGTTCGACCCGCAAAACCACTCCCCTGGCTACGCCACTGCCGAGGAGTCCAGCAAACCTCTTGATTCAAACCTGCAAACCAGCACAGGAAAATCAGAAATGGACAAGCGCAATCCTAAGCTTAGAATAATGTGCCAACTGTAGGGCACAATACAACAATGAGCAATATTTCAATTTATATTCATTTGGCAAATTTGTTAAGAAGTGTATCAAAAACAGTGAGAGTCAATAAATCGTGTCTTGAAAAGGAATAAAAGTAAATAACATGACTCACTTTCCTTCACCTTCGTCCAAAGATCTTTTAGACCTGAGAACATGAAGTGAAGTAAATGAAGAGATGAATTGATGGCATGTTCTGGGTTTGAGCTCAGATTAAATACATTTTGAGCAAGTGATAAAAATAAACCAATTAAATTTGGCCAAATTTTTTAAAATCAAATAATCAAGAAAAAAAAGTTGAAAAATGAATTCACTCGTCCTGAAGCTACTTACTCAATTTCTTTCCAGACTTTACAGAATCCTCTACAACTGTAAACATAAAAATAGTATTGAAGATATTCAAAAAATTAAAGATATTCAAATAATGAACACACTTTAGGTAAATTAATAATGGTTGATGGCATCACAAAACTTCATGGATGGTTTGCAGCAAACCACTGAAGCAATGACAAGAATCATGGAAGAAAACTTGAAACCCCAGACAAGAGAAAAACTGATAAGGTGGCCTAAATGTATGGCAAACCATGTCCTCTCGTCCACTCGACCAGTTCATGTCGGGTGTGGGGCTAGTTAAACAGTCATTTGTTTCAGATGCATGAACTTGACTTTACGATAGAGGAAGCCAGCCTAACTAACCAGCGTGAGGTTAACCAGTCATTTGTTTCAGATGCATGGACTTAACTTTATGATAGAGGAAACAGTAACTGGTCGGTGGTCAGCGTTATGTGAACCATGGCGCGGCGTCAAGCAAGACCCATACATGATTATCCCAACCAGAACAATAGCATTTAGTAGCAAATTTTACCTTTTGAGACTGTTTTAAATAGTTCTTCCAACTCTGCTCCATTGTCTTTCTTTTCTAGGAAATGTCAACAAATTGATAAAGTGCATTTTTTGAAAAAATGATGATTGTTATGGCAAAATTCAATAGTATATGTCAAAGGCAAAAGAGATGTCATTCGAAAAAATTTCTTGAATGACTTTCTATAAGAAAAATCGCATACCTTTTTCAGGTTTTTTTGCTAATAAATGAGAGCTGGTTTTTGTCCAACATGAATGTCCATTGGTAATTTTTCTTGCAAGGATTTTAGCTTGAAAAAGGGGAATCTGAATGATAAAATATAGAAATTATTTTTATGTTTTTCAATATGATCATATTGAAAATAAGATATAAATTTGGATTTAAATTACTCCACCACAACTTAAACTTCAATAATGACATATGGCCGATCGCATAACAAGACGACACTAGGTTTATTGTCATTTATTTTTCTGGTTATGCTCGAACTCGAATCAAATAATACTAAAACTAAACCTATAAATTATATTTTTTTGATTATGTGAAACAGAATTCTAAAACTTAATAAACTTCTATTTCTGATTGTTAATTCAACCTAGTTTAAAAATAACTATTAACTTCTGAATATAAAAATATGAAAGAAAAAGTTTCTTCTGGTTTGGAGATCAAACGACTCAATGATGCATAGTTGCAAAAACTTTAAATGAAGAAATATACAATGATATACCGTAGGTTATGTTCTTACCTTATTTTGGCAATTCAATCTGGTATGAAGTAACTTTTGAATGCATCTCCCACAAATTTTACTTTCTGCGGCCTTGAGCACATGTAGCATTTTTGGTATTGACTGTCAGACTTTTTAGGACAGTTCGAAACTTGTTAATTCAAAAGTATGTATGTCATGCTTCAGAAAACAAAAGACATTCCCTTTTTTAGAGGATGATCTAAAAATGTTTTTCCTGCTGAAATCTCTGACCTATTTACATGAAAATCTAAGTACCTCTGGTGGGCGCAGCACAAACATAAATAAATTCATGCTTTTGTTATTCTTAACCCCCATCTCATCATCCAAAAATTATGTTACTAAAGTACAATGTCACAAATACGTCATAGAGCTTGTGAAAGTATTGCTATGATAGCCTGGAATGGAAGCTGCACTGATGATAACAAACTCACCAACGCCAGCGATCTCACTCATAATGGGATTGTTACGGCGAGAAAGCAAGAGCTTGTTCAATTTCGGTTGATTGTCTCATTTGTCTGCACGTTTTGTACGGCAATCTGTATATTTTAGCAGACCATATTGTTGTGTCACTGTGACATAATTTTTGGATGACGTAGTCAGATGTGGGTTAGGAATGACATATGCAAAAATTGTTGAGCCATGCCAACTAGAAGAACATAAAATAGAAATTTATTTTCATTTCGCGGAAAAAAAACATGTGCCACTCAACTGCATCAGACCCAAATGAATTGGATACTGAGGTATGTATTTCATCCCAATCAATAAATAACTTAATCTGTAATCCTGTAAATAAATCAAGACCTTTCTGCCTTTATTTCAATTTTTAATAAAATCAGAAAATGATAAACATCATTACCGGTATATCTTGTCCATATTTCAAGTCTATTTAGTCTATCTATTTTAGTCTATTTAGTCCAAATACAGAAATAGGAGACTCTCCGACAGGATTAGAAGATCGATAAATTTGGCAGTGGCAACTTACAAAATTATCAATACAGTACCGGTATGGTGTGCCAAATAATTTTTTCCATTTTTTAGTATTTTTGGGGTCTTACTACTTACTGAATACAGCGCGAAACACCGCAAAGAGCGCAAAACAGAAGGAAACCAGCGCAAAACAGAGGGAAACAGCGCAAAACAGGAGACGCAGTCATTACCACCTCCTGCCACGAAAGAACCACGGCGCCTCTCGCCATGGTTTTATGGCGCTATTTCCGGCATATTTACAAGGTTATGTATCGGATTATAGGTCATCATGCGAAATTTTATCTACCTTTTTGGTGCTCCAGAAGTATGTGCAGCAATATGTCGCACAACCTGAATCCGCTACACACACACACACACACACATACTATTTTCAGGTTGTGCGCCATCTTGGTGCACATACTTCTGGAGGTCCCTTTTTACCTAACCCTAAAGCCAACGGGTCTCGTGTAGTTTCGTACCTAACGAACTTCTAGTAGGCGTAGCATAACAATTTTTTTGACATGCCAATCCTAACCCTCACCTGACTACGCCATCCAAAAATTACGTCACTACGACGTCACAATCACGTCATAGAGCTTGCCAAATACTCGTACGATCGCCCGAAATAGCATCGGCGCCGACGATAAAGAACTGACTGACGTCAACGACCTCTCTCCTATCGGGATCGTTGCGACGAGAAAACGAGAGAAATGGCTGTTCGATTTCGGGTTCTCGTCTGCGCGTCTTGGATGACAGTTCGCATAGTTTGAAGGGCTCTATTACGTCACTGTGACGTTGTAGTGACGTAATTTTTGGATGGTGTGGTCAGGTGGGGGTTAGGATTGATATGTAAAAAAATTGTCATGTTACACCCACTAGAAGTATGTTAGGTAAGAAACTACATGAGACCCAAGCCAACCATATCCATATGAAAAATGTCCTAAATTATGGTACCCAAAATGTGTCTCCAGCAGGGGCAGACCTGCCATTACAGCATTACTGGCTACATACGTTGGTTTGTGTTTTTAATTTGCTGCCGTGGTACTCCAACTCAAAACAAGGTGCCCCGAACTCATTGCAAATTTTTTTTTTCTGCCTCACACTGTTTCCCTCTGTTTTGCGCTCTTTCGCGCTGTTTTGCGCTGTTTCCACACTGTTTTGCGCTGTTTCCCTCTGTTTTGCGCTCTTTGCGGTGTTTCGCGCTGTATTCAGTAAGTAGTAAGACCGGTATTTTTGTTTAATGTGTAGTTTACACTAACTGCCTACAGGCCTAAGGTTATCATGTTTTCTATTTTACTTAAACAATTTCTCTGTGGTTGTGTGTGTGTGCGAATGTGAAATAATTTTAGGTGAGTGAAAACCTACAGAGGTCACTTCTTCTTGCAGTCTTAGCAAAACCCTCCATCTTATATACCGGTACCGTATATAATCTGGGGTCTGGTATAGTTTAGTACCACACGTACTTCTAGTTGACCTGACTCAACAATTTTTGCATATGTCAATCCTAACCCCCACCTATCTACGTCACTGAAAAATTACGTCATTTCGACGTCACAGTGGCGTAATAAGGCCCACCAAAGTAGGGTGGCTTACCCACTTTGCGGCCATGACCTATCTGCGACCATCAACTTCATCGATTAAATTAATGCCGAAAAAATTAACGAACCGCGACGATATTTCACACGCGTTATCGTCCACTTATCCCTCGGAGCTCTGCGAAATTACACTAAAATGCGGCCACAAATAAAAAAGTTACGACCGAAAACCTGACCGAAGAAAAAAAACGGACCATTTTACCATGTCGCCAACTACCCATTGTTCCCTCAAAGAAGCTTGAAAATCCATACAAATATAAGAGATAAAGAGATGAAACTTGGCAGGTGGGTAGAGTTGTGTTTCTTTTAACCATCTTTAAAGTTTCGCCTTTCTACCTTTAAAGGAGGGGGAGTAGGGGGGTGCGCATTTCCAATACGTCAATAAAATCTTTGTCAACTAATTTGCGACCACCGTGTTTTTGTCTGTTTGATTGCTGTGATGCGGTGCTTTGTTTATAATTTGAAGAATTTTGTTGAAATAACCGTGTTCTTAAAATATATGACGGTCAGAAATGCAATTAGAAGCCCATTTTTTCACGCATGGCTGCGTATGCCCTAGTCTCGACGCAGCAGAAACGATGTTCAAGGCTTGAAATCCGTGATCGCACACTGGTCGTTCGGTCGCAAATACGTCTTCAGAGTGTCGTACTTTGGTGGTTTGTATAGCTTTAACCCCTGGTCGTAGAAAGTTAATTCGAAGTTCAGCGTGTAGAATAAATGCCAATGCACCTACGGTGGAAAAATTAACGGGTTAGAAATATTGGTTTTTGTTTTATAGCGGTTTGAATGAAATCGTCCGCAGACTGGCTACACCACCCTATGCGGATGGTCGTCCAAAACGCGCAGACGATCACCCGAAATCGAGCAAGCTATTTCTCTCGTTAGCTCGCCACAACGATCACGATAGGAGAGAGATCGCCGGCGTTAGCGAATTCCTTATCGGCGGCGCATATGCCATTTCGGGCGATGTTAATTATACTTTGGCAAGCCCTATGCTGCGATGGTGACATAATTTTTTGATAGCATGGTCAGGTAGGGGTTAGGAATGAATAACATATGCAAAATTCATTATGCTACGCCCAATGGAAGTACTTGTGGTACTAAACTATACTAGACCCTATAATCTGTACGTTTTAAACCTTATCTAGGGTTTTGTTTGCTCTCCTCATTTCATAATCTGTTTTAATCTACCGTACCGGTCCCGTACATCAGTACCGGTAGCCGGTAGGCCTACTTATTACTCAGATTTCTGGATTTGGGCTTTGCCTTAAGACTGTAAAAGAGAAATATTACCAACCTCTGAACTTATATCCACCCCACATCGTTCACACTTTAGGCATCTAAAACACACTGAATTACATCTGCTAATATACCGGTACCAGCCTATAAATAAATGAATATATATATGTAAATCCATTACTTTTGAAGCCATGTGTATATCATGAGTTCTGACAGTGCAATCATAATCCACTCATTGTGGTGCAATGGATGTTTATCCGACCCTTGACCTCAGGAGAGTTTTCCCTGTCAACAAATATTTAACGTGTGCGTCAAGGAGAATGAATACATATATGTGTGTGGATATACTCATTGTGTGCACGAAGTTTGCGCGTGAATAGTTTTGATAAATTGTTGTTGTTGGCGGTATATTTAGAGAAAAGTTTATTAGGAAGAGTATTTTCGCAAGATGGCGCATGTTGCTCGCCCCTAATTTTGCTGACTCATGATTCCAAAAATGAAGCACAAAGTTTGGATGTTTTTGTAATTAACTCGAGAAGAAAAGAGGCGACAAGAAGGCGTAGTTCTATGGAAAACTATGGGTGTAGGGCGAATGCTGGTTCGACTGAATCACCTCTTACATTTACAGCACGGTTCGCTGTTTAAAATCTAAATTGTTTGACCAAGTATTCTTATTTGTAGATAAACTGAGGGTATGGTAGGGTGATGATAGAATATATGATTTCTCGAATCGGAGTTTAACTCAGAATAGGCGTTTTTTTAAACCTGGTATTAAGGTGGTTCAACTTGCTCATTGGCGTATGTAATCGCTAAACATATGTTTATTACCTTAATCTGCATTTTTCACGGGTGGTCCCTCAGAATGTGACATTATATATATTTACGATTTTATCGCCTGTTGTAATCAGTTGTTTACGATGAACTGACCCTGCTAATTTCGAGATTCACAGCGAAAAGTAGCAATACTGTACGTTTTTCGAATATTGAGCAAGATATGTTAATTGTTTGTAAAAGTTTTCATTGACTAATTTTAAATAAATATCGGAATATTTTTCGACCAACGCATCAGGTAACGCGGAGACAAATGTTGGTAATAATTAGTCGCCAATATTTATCTTCCCAGGAATTAATGAATCAAAAAGAAAGCATGGTACTTTGCGACTTTGACAAAATTCAAATCACTCTATTAGCTTGAAGATGTTGGACATGTATTCTCGACCTTCAAGTTCAACAATATTCACTAACTGGGAGTTCGTTTTTTTTCTAACCGAGTCAGCATCAAGTATGAAAGCGCTTCTACGAAATGAATATTTGTCTTATTGTAGATGTCAAACTATTTAAAAAATCATGCAGGGGATTATTCATCGTGGACTGATTTCCGGAATCCTCGCAAGGTGCTTCACATCTTAAATTTGTTAAATATACCGCACTTTTTTATTTTAATACCTTCATACTTTTTTTACTGATTTACTTGAAACTGGTTGAGGCATTCTGTTTATACACAAATATTTGTCACTGTTACTGTATTATTCGTCACAAACACAATCAAAATATGCCTAAACACTGCTTTAAATAGAGATATAAATCACATAAATAAAAAATAATAAACGAATACCGCAATGATTTTCTTACAATTAAAAAGAATTCTGTTTAAATATATACATTTTATACGGAAATAAGTACATAATTAAGAACATATACTGAAATAAATAAATACACATTGAAAAAATTTACATCAATAACTATTTTATATACAGTACATTTAGTTGGGTTCAGGGTCGCGATCCACAGTCCGGGAACCACTGCACTACTGTAATGCGCTTATACGTAGCCACAACAACAACACTTCAAATACTACAATTTTACGTAGATGAAAAAATAAAAAAAGCTTTATATATAACATCTCACTTTGTAAGAGGGATAAATGTAAATTGTGGTTTTTCCGATGGATAACTGGTAAGCTTAAAAGCGAGACGGATAGGTTTGTGGTGGTATTCTACACAAAATTCAGATAGGATGGCAATCAATAGCATTTTCAATTCTTGTTGTGCAAATTTCCTTCCCAGACACTTTCTTGCTCCCATGCCGAATGAACCGGTCATTACAAACCTAGAACACCGAAGATTTGTGCTTTAATAGATATCGTGAATGCATAAAATAGAGCAATTTTAAAGACCAGCTGTATTGATGTAGTATGTTTTTTTAACACCCCTCATCAAGCATATTAGGATTGTTTGACAGAATTTAAAGTTTTTATAATTGGAATGTAATTCATCTATTATAATTTCCCAATGTTTTATCAAAAATGTTTGAAATCGTAATATAAATCATTATCATCGCCTTTTCATAAAAAAAGGATTACTTATTAAGTTACATTCATTTTTTCCAATAGTCATCAAGTTCTTGTCATTAACTATAGGTACATACATGCACAACATAGTCCCAACAATTATTTGATACATAAGATCGTTTACCTATTTTTCGCATCTCTTGTTCTAGGCCCCATCCACCTTTCCGGCATAAAGCTATCTGGCTCGTTGAAGAATTCTGGGTTTCGTCCATGTATGGCATTAGATGTGTTCAGTATATTTGTACCTATGAAATGTGTAATTTTGTTGTAACTCGATCATGCTTGACTGAGATTGATTTAACTAGTAAAATATAATGTTCCGTTTCGAATGTAAGGATTATAAACCGCTCCACATCCTACCTTTTGGAACGTGATATCCTGATAAAATAATATCTTCAGACGCTCTCCTGCTGTGACTCGTAACAAACGGAAACATTCGCTGAGTTTCCTTTATCACAGCATTCATATACGTCATATTTTCCAGTAACTGAAATGTTTAAATCATCATTCATACATATTATCAAAATGCAGACTGAAGTAAACTACAAACTTGTAGTCTTCGGGAGCCAATGAATAAATAATGATAAATTAATCAATATTAACTTCCACGTCCTTGTACTTGTTCTATATATATCTTACCCTTCCTGTTATTTCTGGTTTCTTCAACAATTCGAATATTTCTTGTCGCACTTTATGTTGGGCATCTTGATTCAATGTGAGACAATACAAAGTAAATGCAGCTGCATTAGAAGTTGTATCTATTCCGGCCAGCAGTAGATCACTAGCCATCATTTGTTTCTCTCTGAGTTTGAATAAGAGTTTATCACAATAACAAAACTACCATATATAGTATGGAGTAACTAAGTGACAATAAATCCCAAAATATATAATGAATAGACGTACAGTTTCTGTATTTATATAAACTAAAAATCCATGTGTGCATATGCCATCCTCTACTCCGACTAATTACATACCAACGTGTGATAATGTTGCGATATAAATTTTGCAAACGAAATATATCAAATTAAAAATTGAGTCCTCACGCTCTGCTCAATTTCGGACAACAGAGAATCTTTTCAATGAGTGTTTTGTCTTCATCGCTTCTTTTCTTGTTGGACGACCACATAGATTTATCGTAGTAATGATTCGTGTACTCGAGTTGTGTTTGTTGGGCTGCACAAAGTTCCTGTGAACGTTGAAATCGGAGCTACACACTTGTTGTATAAATATTTGTAGCTCGAAGACGAGACATGTAATTTTTAATGACGACGAAAAAAACTTCTACAAATCCCCGACGCACTCTAGTCTAACAAATTCGCCTCTTACGCGTTACTGACATCATGATTTGCCAAGACTGGAATCCAAAATATTTATCAAACCAATATACTGTAACTTAAGCCTAGATTCCAAATCTATTTTAATTTCCTGATTATGAAATATTTTATGTTAGGCAATGATCGTTGATATATTGCTTGCCAGCAGTTGATATATCGCTTGTTCAGCAATCTGAGACAGGCTCTTAATAGAAATGTATGTCACCTTCATTTTTGGTGTATCAAAATATTTCCACAGTTGCAAACCGTACATAGTTTCCCCGACTATTTGAAACATCTTCAAACTGCTCCTAATAATTTCCTTAGCGGTAAAATCAACCTTATCTGATAAGAGCCCTGTTATATAAAATACTATTATAAACCGAATATGCAATTAGTAGAGAAAAAGCTATAATTTAATAAAGACACGAATAATGCTGCGGCAAAATCGAATCTTACCAAGACGAGTGTCAAACACGAAAACGCCAGTCATTTCAAATGCCCACCGCACTAGAACTTTGTTGAAGTCGGGAACCTACATTAACAAAATGGAAAATGTTTTTCGTTTATTAGTAGTTTTTGATATTTCAAAAAGATAGATATAAAAGCAAAAGCTAGTGCATCTGCTCATATAATGTGAAAAATATAGCCAAGTCTTTATTGATATGCATTCAGCCAGCCATCGAAACTAATTCAGAATAAGAGAAATTTCGTAAAGTTACTAAGAAGTTGGTGTCGGTATCAGGTTATCATTGCAAAACCGTATATAATTATATCTGATATGCATATTCACTCACTTCAAAATCACGATTTAAGTTTTCTTTCATATAAACAACTAAATCATTGGCAACGCTGAACTGGCTTCCCATGTACTTCCATACAGAATCATTTTGAAGCATTAGAGGATTCACAGCAGAACGAATCTGTAATTATTGAAATTGAAAAATGGAAAGATTTTTAAAAGCGATATTTAACCCATGAGGCGGATCTATTTAATAAAACGGAAACATATTTGTGGGAATAATCGTCGATACTAAATATGTATTTCATTATAATCATTTGAATCTCTGAATATTCATAACACCACTGTGATGTCTGGTTTCTGGTGAGGAGTTTCAAACCCTGCTCCAAACTAATGGGATTGATAAGAAAGGATCTTCATACTTGAAAAGAAAGAGAGAAAATTACCCTGTACCACTCCAATCCACTAAGATTCATCAGTCCTAACGGTACTCCTAGCTTTTTTCTTGCGTGCTTCACGTTCAACAACGCATCGCGGATCGGAGTTCTTCCATCTGATCGAAACATCACTTCTGAATCACGCGGTGACGAACAGTACACAATGTATTCTCCACCTAAAAGTAATAATTTGATACTCAAATATAAAAATATAACAGAATACACAACGGCCGAATGTCGTGCCTTACCAGGTGCTCTTTCTTTATATAGCTCTCCGCATTCGGCAGATCTTTTTTTCCACAATTCGTGAATATATTTTAGCTCAAATCCTTTGGCGGAAGTATAATCGAGTGCGGAACCGATAAAAGGCAATTTTGTCGGCTCGACTACTTCAGTGAATGGCTTGGGCATGTAAGTATTTTCTGCAAAAACATGCAAACTAGTAGTTATTGTGTTAATTGCAATTTTTACATGTATAAAATATGTAAGTCAGAGAAATTAAATAATTTAGATTCGAATCGAAGCCGAAGAAGATTCTGAATGTAAAATAGGCGGATAAACCTTTAATTACGTTTCATGTGCATGGTTATGTGCAAAGCTTTTCTTGTCCTAGTCGAAAGAAACTTGTATGAATTGGTCAGACGAAACGTTACAGAAATACATGTTCACCAAAACTCTTGGTTTGGATTATCAAAGCAAGTTGATTATCTATATATTAGTCATTCATTTCAATCCTTACCATGAGCAGTGTGTACAGGACAAGATAGAAGAGAAACCGAACTTAGCCTCTGCAATCTTCTCTCATGTAAGCATGCCTGCTCAATATTAAAAACACAGAAAATATTAGAAATTAGATATATTACACGAAAATATTCCTACACATTTATGCTAAATTCCTCACGGGAGAAATCGTTGAGACACACAGTGCGGTAAATTTACTGTTCATATCTAGAAGTAGGTTAGTCTATTAAGTTTGTGTCCGTTCACCTGTAGAAATCTTCTCCCGAATGAGTTTCCAGCAAAAAGCATTGCCTTTCTTGCACTGCTGATAGAATCCTATCGATCCAACAGCCTACGCAGTACACTGCCGTACTACTTGGTGAATGCAGGTATATAACTTTCTACTCACCATACTGCAATATATACTACTTTGTAAATAAGAGGTAATACTTGAAGAAATGACTAATAATTAATCATAAGAATTACTGGATCTCTGGTGAGAACAAAGAGTCATTTTTAGTTCATACTATAAGTAACAAAGGGTTGGAAGCTAAGTAACCATTCATAAAGAAGAAAGCATATATCAGTATGAATAATCGGGTTACAGTTAATTAAGAAGTTATTAATCAGAATTAACATGATATCATCTTATCATGATTGGGTATTTCCATTTGATAATTATGTTTTTGATAAAGTGTAATCATCGTTACTATGAGAGTCAAAGAATAGTATATTATTAAAGAAATCTCATTAGGATGTCAAATTATTTTAAATCCACGTATGTATTAATTCATTGGTAAAAGAAACGTGCCACAGGAGTTCGTTATCTAAACCGGCAACACATCTCATGATTTGAGCAGAATTATCACCTTAAGGATGTAATAATACCCGTTTACACGCTTTAAGTCAAAACACTATTTCATACAAGCGCCAATCCACTCGATGCTGTGGGTCCAGGCTGGTAGAATACAGATTTGGTATAGTCTACTTTCGGATACAGGTGATCATTATTATGGACTTGCTAACACTACCAGGATGTTTTAATAGGGAATTAACTTGCTATAATCTAGCTTTTAGACTTTCTCTTATAGTCCGGCAGAATCGGGCCTTAACATTGTTTTGGGACATAAAGTTTTTTTTATTGATTAGATATAATGTATATGACATATATAATGATACCCAGGTGGGTGTGGAGTATATAATGTTGAGCAATTTTTTTTAAGTGGATTTAAAGTATTCGGCCCAAGATGACGCACATCCTGAACCCTAACTTAGTAAACACACAATGTTTAGGTTTGTGCGCCCACTTGGTACGCATACTTCCAGGAGCGCCTTTTTGTTAAAAACAATTATTTCATAACTACATGGTTTAGTTTTGCATACATAGTAACATTGAATCTCCTTACAATGTCAGAAATTCAATTTTAGTAGAATAAATGGTAGTTTATTTCACTAATACAAGCCAAGATCCATCGACAGCATCTAGCCACTTTCTATTGCGCTCTTCAAACTACATTTGCGTTGCCGCGCGCATTTCGTTTTCCTAGTTTAAGCTTAGGGACTTGGGAAATATTTTATTAGTTGAATTGGATTGGAATATTTGACCTCGTCTTTCACTCCGAACAAGGCCATGTAAAACCATCCACTGGTATCTAAAGATGTGTAACGTGTTTTCTTTTGGAAGAACCGCAACCTTCAGTGCTGCATTGACTTTGGCAAAATTAATATATCCTTGTGGAGATAGAAGGTATGCGTATGCGAAACCGAGATGTGCACCTGTTATGCCAACATAGTTGAGTCAAAGTTTTGAATACTAGTACATCACACACATCGTTCCTGCGTGCATTCGGTTGTACGTAGTAACGCGCACATTTTGCGCACATGTATCAAATTCACTTGATTATGAGCTATAGGTTTTGACGAGCTCTTGTTGTATGATTTCATTCCATAAATTTGTATGCTGTTCTAAAGAATACTAGTTTCAGCTTTTTCATTCATTCAAACCTCGTGTAAAAGTAAGTTTTGTATATTGCGTGTTGTTTCCAATATTCTTAAATCGGTGATGCCAGTAAATCTTAAACGACAAAAATATCAGTAACATCTGCAATAAAACAGCAGTACCCTCTCAAATGACAGCTGGGGGATGGATACTCTTAGTATCTGCTCATCGCGTGCCTCTTACAGTCTTACCAGTTACATGAGTGTCAATTGGTATCTAAGCTCAGCTAGAGACAAAAAGTTCGGACTGCAGTTGGCGTGACGAAATTTTTTTAAATATATATTCTACAATAAGATTATTTGATTGTATACTACTGAAGTTCCACCTTATATGTCTTTTCCCATTGCAACTATTCCTTTAACTGATATTCGATAATATGAAGCTCACTGACATAGTTCTTAAAGGTGTGTAGATGGTATAATCTTTTTCCACGCTGTTCAGGTGGGAATGCGCGAATAATATATAAGAATTGCTAATATTGGCTTGCAATGCGATGAAATCCCATCTTGGCATTTCTGCCTCTCGCATTGCTGTGTATACTTATCGGGGAAGTTCTGTGGCGTGGTTATCAAATGGAAAAAAAAAACATGGGAGTATTTTTCTACTTCTCTACTACTATCAAACCTTGACATTTTGTGAAAACTTTTTTCCATGCAACCTTTTTATAAAACATCCCCAACACCACAATTAATTCTGTTATTAAACTTCCGAAACAAACACATAAAATCATCAACAGATGCATATATCACCAAGTAGATATTGCTGAATTGATCTTTATTTTACCATTTTTTCAATGTAATTCTTTTTTGGTAAACCTATTATCTATCGTAAATACAGCACATTTGACAAGTGTTGTAGTGTGCCACTGCCTTGTTTTGGCCTCACATTATTTGCTATTTGTAGTTAGAGCTCTTGGGGCTCTGTCAAAACAAAGTTTACATACAAAATATTGTTTGTAAATTGCAAAACATGATCATGTTGTTTGGAATAACTTGGCATTTTACCACCCGTATATCATTCATTGTTGAGAATATTAAATAAATCATAAAATTTAAAAATCCGTTCTTGTGAAATTTTTGTTGTTATGCTAAATCCAGGGACAGCATGACAACAGGCAAGAGAAGCACGGTCGCCTCTTTTAGTTTATGACAGGGTTTCTTAAAAGGGGACCCCGTCTCCTGGAGGCCGCTGATCGGTTATCTGGAGCACGAACAAACAGATGGAAATGCGAATATACAATTACAATGTATTTTATAGAAGAGAAGAAGCAAAAGTGTTGAGAGTCTTTGGTAGTTTGAAAAGCATTGGCATGGAACATAAGAATGAACTACATTCTTTCCCAGGGATATACTATGAAATGTAGCAATTTTCTCCAGCTTTTTCTCGTGATATCATTATCTTTCACTGTGTCGTCGTGATCATCCCGCTGCCTAACAATTCTCGCTAACAAATAATTGACTGTTCTCCACTGGGTGTATATCCACTTGAACCACTGGCATTAGCAGGCTTGTATTGTTAATTGCAACAAAAACGGGTATTTTGAAATAGTACTCTTTATTTTACGCGCATGTTTCGACAGTATTTCCATATACTTAATATGGGTCGCGACCCAAACTGGGCTCAACAAATACCTAAAAGTGATTGATTTTATTTCCTAGTAAATTTGGTGCTTGCGTAGTTTGTGCACCAAGATTGCGCACAACCTGAACATAGTATTGTAACAGGTTATGGTTCAGGTTGTGCGTCATTATGATGCACAGGTTTGACGAAAAACACTAATACAAATATCGAGCCGTAAAAAAATTGCTCAAGGCTGCAAACTCCACACCCATGTAGAAATGATGGGCAATGACCCCAAGATGAATAATCACAAATAAAAAAAACTTTATGTCTGAAATCAAACTTGGGCCAAAAAGGGCCCCTTATCTGCCGGACTATTAGAGATGTACCGATGTATCGGTATCGGGTATCGGTATCGGCAATATCGGCCATTTTTTCGGTATCGGCCATGTATCGGTATCGGTTAGATTAAGGCCGATATTACCGATATATTTACCTTTTTGATATGGTCCAGAATGTTTTAAAAGATAAGTTGGAATACTACTTTTTAATTTATTTTGTCTGGAGAGATCGTGAGCTATGAGCCATACATGTCCCACCCCTGCGAGAGAATAGGATTCACGTGTTTTTAGCTATTTATCAGCTAAACTAGCTCAACTAATTTGGCTATTTTCGCTGTCAAATTTTTATATTGACATTTTAATATTACATAGTTTTTATGAAGAAATATATCAACACAGCACATAACAAAAAGCAACTATAGGCGCCCAGTTTTAAATCATACAGTGGAATTGGGGTCCTTCCTTATTAATGGCACATGGACTTTTGGCACGGGTATAAATTCTGACTGTTTGTCGTCAAGTACGAGTGTCATTTAGTCCGTCGACATCGATAAACTAAATTCCGACACAATTATCCCACTACACAGGTATCAATTTTAATTCTGCTTAACTACACGATTTCTTTATAGATATATTGACTTGACCGCCTAGCCCTAGACTGTCTCAAAATATATGATAGCAATTGTAAAATATTATAAAATAGTGAAGTAAAAAAACATCCTCAACGGTTATCGGTGGGCCTTTTTTTTGTCGTTGCTGATTGATATTCTTTCATGTTGGCTTTTACTTATTGCGTCGACGATTACGATTAGCCACTAAATTAAATATTTGTAAAATGCTTTTGATTTGAACGTAGGACGGCGGCGCTAGAATGTGTGGGTGATATTCGATATTCTTTTAAACACGAATAACGATATTCGAAGCTCGCGATATTAACATTAAATTCAAATTGGACATCCCGGCATATGAGTTTTCTAATTGAACACCGAGATTACTAGCGTTACTGTGCAATGTATCTTAATCAGTTACAGCATATGGATACCAAACATTAATTTCATATTATGTGATATATATATATCTTTTTTTTCGATCTGAAATAATGTGTACTATGAACAACGCTTAAAGACCATTTTTTTAACCCATCTGCCCTACACAGCATACCTAATTAAGTAATAATTACATAGTATCGGTATCGGAATATCGGTAATGTCGGCCTTTTTTTAAAGTATCGGCGTATCGGTATCGGCGTTTTTAGCTGGTATCGGATCGGTATCGGTATCGGCGACAAAAGTGGTATCGGTACATCTCTAATCTAGAGCAGGGGTCACCAACTATTTTGACCGCGGGCCTGGTATGACCCAAACTGTGTTGAAACGGGCCGGATAAATATTTTTGTCAATGCAATACAATCAATTCACAAAAATTGGGAAATCCATTCAATTTATTCAACAATATATATTCTACATTTCTGAAGACTTATATTAAATTCTATATATATTCTATATATATATATATATCGCAGACTATAGATCGAGAACATCCTAGGAAAACAAA